TTTAAATACATTTTTAGCCTAGTTTATCCTATTTTTTTAAAATCCTTTACCATAGCCTACATTACATTCCTTAAAAGTTCATTTATCAAACATAAATGCTTGAATTTAAAATTGTATATTTAATTAAAGTATGCTTGGGTATAGTTTAAGGACTAAGAAAGTATGATATTTTCCTATATTTTAGAATTAAGTTGGAGTTTGATGAGAATGAAGCAAAAATAAAAAGAAAAAAGGCAAACAAAATGAAAAAGACATGACAAAAATGAAAATGAAAAAAAAAAAAGAGAAAAGAAAACTTAAATTGAAAATTCAAATAGGCGATTTAAGTAAAAAGAGACATCAATGCTGAAAACATAAAAAGACAACTTGTGGTTAAGAAGAGCAATATCATTTGATAATCTTGTTGCATAAGGGCAAGATGTGATTTAATCGCTCAAAAGGATTTAAAGTGTTGATGAAATGAGTTTTTGATAAAAAATTTTGGATTTATGTTAAAATTTGTATGCCTATTTATTATGTGAATGTTGTTATGCCATCTAAACACTTATCCTAATAATATACTTTAATATTGTTTATTAGCTTATTTATTTTTTACTAGATTTATTTTTGCATTGAATACCTGTTTCCTTCAATTTACCTTGTTCTTTACCATTTTTGATATCATAATAAATTACGATGAATTGCATTTTTTATGAAATTGAAATGTTGAGAAATAATTGATAAAATACAAGAAAAGTCGAAAGTGCCAGGGACAAAATGAAGATGAAGAGATGAAAAGAACTTATGAAAATGTAAATGTTCAAAATTTTCAAAAGAAAAAGTTTTTTGTAAAAAGTTCTGACTTGGTGATTAAATTTGACAAAAAACATTTGGTTTATGAAGTAGTTGAAAAAAATTATGAAGGTAACTAGTTTAGGAGATGGAAAAAAAACCCTTGAAAACCTTTTTACCATAATTATGGATGCATTCATTACATTTCATACACGGCATTCATTGTATACAAGAAGTTTTAACTTTGGATTCTAAAATTAAAATTAGTAACAAGTTGACAATTTTTCAAGAAAAGTAATCTCAAACTTGTCAATCCTCCATTGAGGAAAGTTTTCAAAATTGTAGACACCCTATTTAGTTATGGCCCAAACTAGTTGCGTTCAGACTTGCTTCAAGCCCAATTATTAAATTTGATAATATTATTTGAATTTTTTATTTTTTTTATTTTTATTTTTGTATTTATCCTTCATTTTCCTATTATATATCTTTATTATTTATCTTTTTTATTTTATTTTAATTTGTTTATTTATTTATTTATTTTCTTATCTTATTCTTACTTCTAATTATCTAATTGTCTAAAAAAAAAGAGAATTTTGAAATTAAAACAAGAAGTTTGGTGACAAGGTTAAGAGGAATAGAAAGAATCTGGATGATAATTTATGCTTTATTAAAGTTGGAATTAGGTTGAGACTTTTAAGGATAAATTTTGTTTTTTTTGTGATAATTTAGTGTTTCAAAATTTGAGTTTGAAGTGATAAAAAACTCTCTTAATTTTTCTTATAAATATTGCTACAAGCTACACAACAGGGCACATAACAATCACAGAGGAAAATTTAAAAGAAAAAAAAGTTTTAGATAGTTTAAGTTCAAATTTTAGACTTTTTCCAATTTTCAACGATTTTCTAGTGAGATTTTGATGACGATTCTCAGTTTCCCAAGCATTAATCTGATCTAACCCATACCATAGGTTTTGTCTTTTTTGTTTGTTTTTGTTTATTGTGTTTTAATTGGTTTATTTTATGTTATTTTTATCATATTTTACTTATGGTAGGAATTTTTAAGTAAAATTAATTAATAAAAATAAATAGAAGTAAATTAAAGGTAAAATGAAAATTTAACAAAATCTTGAAAAATAAATGGTAACTATCCAAAGATGAAATTCTTAAAAATTATAAAAGGATAATTTTCTAAGAGATTTCTAGTGAAAGATTTTTTTTCTAAGTTTGATCCAAATAGAGGAAAAATTTATATAAAACTTCAACAACAATTGGTATTTATTTTCAACGTAAAAATAATAATAATAAACTTTATAAAATTTTGGGAATGAATAGTAATTATCTAATAATGAGATTCTTAAAAATTACAAATGGTTAATTCTCTAAGAAATTTTTAGATAAGAAATTTTCTAAATTTAGCTTGAATTGTGAAATAATTTAGATGAAATTTCAACAAAAGTAATTACATTCATTTTCAAATTAAATCAAAGAATATAACTCATAATTTTTTTTAAGTATATGGAAATTATCTAAGGATGAAATCCTAGGAAAACCACAAATAATTGATTTTCTAAGAGTTTTCTAGGTGATGAATTTTCTAAATTCCGTCGAAATAGTGGAAGAATTTAGATAATATTTCAATAAAGATAACTTGTATTTATTTTCAATCTAAAAATTAAAAATGTAAATAAAAAAAACTCTGATGATGAAATTCTTAGTAATCGTAAATGAACGATTTTTAAAATATTTTTTAGTAAGAAAATATTTTTAAATTTGACTCAAATGGTGAAAAATTTATATATTTTTTCAATAAGTTAAGACTTAATAAAACAATTTATTTAATTCTTTTACGACGATGGAACATTTTCAAGAAAACAAATGAAATTCTTAAATACTGTTGAAATGAGAAAATATTTTTAAGAATTTTGCTAGATTAATGGAGAAAACTTAAAAGTAATTTTCAATATTTAACTATCAAAATTTAATAAAACTAAAAGATCATTTAAATTAAGATTTTTATGATAATTTAATATAAATTGGAACCGTCTTTTGGATGGACATGTAGGGGAGCTATAATCTTCTCTACATGTAACTGAACTTTTGAACTTAATTTGAAACGCAAATCAAAACCCATTTTTTTTAAGGACCCTTAGTCTAAGGACCTTTAGTCAAGCTTATAACTTTCTCAAAAATGAATAGATTCACCCAAAGGGCTAATCGCACTTAAATAAAAAAGATTGGTAGGGACTCTTTAGGTTGTGTCTAACAATAGGTTCACAGACCTATACATTATTACAAAATATAAGATTTTAATCATCGATTGAGGAAATGATGATACTTCAATCCTTGATTAGGAAGAATTTTTCATATATATGATCTTAACTTTCAGATGATAGAAATATTTCAAAATAAAGCTTTCAAAAAGTCATTTACCTTTGTCTAGAGGAGCATAATTTAAAAGATGAAATTGATTTGTATAACCTTCGAGTTTACTCTTTAAGATCTCTGGATATGATTTGTAAGACCTCTTATCATAATATGTAAAACCTTCGATTATTATTTTCAAGATCTTGTGATTACATGTTTCGACTTAATCTCATGGTAAATCACATCATTTTTTACCTTAGTTCAATCCTATCGCTTTTATTTTCTATCTTGGCTCAGTTCGTTCATTTTCATTTTCGACCATGATTTAGTCTAATCACTTTTATTTTCAACATTGGTTTTATCATTTTCGACCTTGATTCAATTTAGTTACCTTCATTTTTTACTTTGACTTAGTCCAACTTATTTTACTTTCAAACTTTGGCTCAAATCAAGTCATCTCACTTTCAGAATTAAGCTCAGTCTAAGTTATTTCATTTTTAGACTTGCATTCAATCCAAATTGTCTCATTTTCAAACTTTGGTTCAGTCTAAGCCATCTCATTTTCAAACTTCAGCTAAATCCAAGTTATGTCATTTATTTTTTAACTTCGATTCAATTCAAGTCATTCTTTTAAATTTTAGCTCTGTCTAAATTATTTTATTTTGAACTTTGGCTTAGTCTAAATAATTTCATTTTTCGAACCCAAACGTAATAAATGTTTGTCTTTGCAAAATTTTTATTATACAAAAATTTTATAAAAAAGAGTAACTATAGATATTTTATTTGTCTAAACCAACTGACTCAATCTAGTTTCAAGCCCGAATGCCCAATCTTTGTTTATTTTATTTCATATTTTGTTATTTATATTTATATTTATTTATATTTATAATTTTATGATATATTTTTCATAAATCAGAATATACAAAAAGCGAGAGGCCATAGTGCAATTTTATTTATGAATAAACTATGAAACTTTTTTGGAAGCAGGTTATCTATCTATAACCAAATTGGTCATGCTTATAGCGCGTTTTGTGAATGACATACAAATTTATTTGTAAACATACCATTTAATTCAAAATATTTTAAAATTTGAAATTTATTTTTTGTCCATTAATAAATTCACATTTTTATTTGGATTTTCATCTGTCCCTTGGGTCACACGATTTATTCCATTTGTTTTCCATTTTGTTTTACTTTATTTATTAAGAAAAAAGAAAAGAAAAGAAAGGTTAACAGAAAAAAAATTGAAAAAAAAAATTCAGATGAAGGTTACTGAATTTGAAAGTTACAAGTTCGCTCAAGGTTGGATTTAGATAATAGATAAAATTTTCAGATAGTACAAAATTTATAATTTTTTTCTCCATTTACATTCAGTTCTTTTATATATAATTATTATAGTATAATTAATTAATTATAATTTATTATTGTATAATATCCATTAAAAAATTACGTGGAATTTATATTTTTAAGTGGTGAATTTTTATATAATTTTTTATTATAATTAATTAATTGTAATATTTTAATAAAGAGAATTATAGATAAATTTATAGCAGCAGAATGTTGTCGGTTTCCGGTTAGTATTGTGGTGGTTGAAATTTTGCTATTCGGTTCTAGATTTAGGCTATTTTAGTTTGATTTCAAGAAAGCTGATTAGGTGTTGAGATTCAGGGGGAAGCCAAGTATAATTTTCAACCAAAAATTTTGGCAAGACAGGTTTACTTTTTTTTTTTTTTTATTTGAGTGTTTGGGTTCACTAAAGAACAGAGGGAAAAAAAGGCAACAATTATACACAAACAATTCGAGAGGCGAGAAAGAGGAGAAGAAGAAACTGGAGAGGGAATCACGAGTGGCGGCTAAAGATTGAGAATGGTGACTGTGTTTTATAAACAAAGTAGCCTTTGGTATAGAGAGAGTGAGAGGCGAGAAAGAGGAGAAGAAAAAACTGGAGAGCGAAAGTCTGGCATTTGACCTGATTGAGACTAGGGCTAGGTCCATCCCACAATTTGCTTAGGCCCAAGCATTGAGTTAATCAAGTCCAATATTCATCCCATATAGATTCAAGTTGGTATTTTTCTTTCCTTTTTTATTTGTGTTTCACTTATTCTTTTTTCATTTATTTGTTCTGTTTTATTCATTAATTTATGGAAATTTTGTAAGTATTGGATACAATAACGTAAAATTTAGAAAAAGGAATTTCATAGAATAATTTTGTAAATTAAATTTTTATATAACTTGAATATATAATTCATAAAATTTTTTTTTTTAAATCCAACTTTCTTATTTCCTTTTTTTCTTCATGGAAGCTAAAATCACAAAAAATTGCGTAGGAAAATAGAAGACGGAAAAATGATGTATCACTTTATATGAAAGAAAACCCCGGAGACAGACATTGATGATTCGATTGCCTTCGTTAGAGACTTAATTGACAAAAAGAGGAAAGAGTTGCTCAAACATGCTCTGATTGATGGATTCAGTGATTTGCCTATAGCATCTAGGCGTCTTCACTTAACATGCATCAAGGTATTTCAGATGTTCTACAACAAATATGATTCCAACCCAGAGATGCTTCATCAAGACATCCAGAAGGCAATCTATATTCCTTTATATGTTGGGGCATCGAAGCCATCGATGCCCCTTCCTTATGACTCTGGATCAAAGAAGGAATTTGCAGCAATAAATTCTCTACTTTGTTCATCCTTTCAAATATCAGAGCAAGAGAATTATGGGATACAAAGCGTTTGTGCCCATTTCAAGGCGTGAATATGCTAATTTGTTTCTTTCGCCTAAATCAGTTCTACTTGGTCAACATGTCCTTTCCATACTGCAGTCTAAAAGTCTGTTAACCAATTGAATTGGAAAGATAAACTTTGAGCCAAATTGCAATATAGTTATAATATGTGGGTGCTATTATCGTAGACTACTCAAAGCAAAAGACCAATTGTATACATCAACCTTGTTGTCATCTTTTATTTGCTAGTCCAAGCATTGAATGAACATCTTGACTGCTTTGTGGAATAAGCCAGCTGGAAGAAAATATGCAGTGGTTTGACTGGGCAAACCAGCTCAATCGGACAAAAGAAACCCATCACATACACAAAAAAAGATGGTAATTTGACAGCAATTCCTTTTCAGTTTTTATGAGATAAGCACCATCTAGGACAAATAGGGACACCTTATTATTAATTAATCAGCAAAAAAAAAAAAAAAAAGAAATGCCTTGTAACTGGTCGCACAAAAATCAGAAATAGGAATTCCTCTCCATCTGCCTTATTATGTATGGTAGTCTAGCTCATTTCCTATGCATAAAGCTGAAAGGAATATTTTAGTTGGTGAAGACACACCTAGAACTTGTTATTTTTCTACTGTTACTGTTTTCTGATACCTACAGAGTACTAATTAAGACCCAAATCTTCTAACTCTCTATCGGGAGGAAGATGGGGATTCCCCAAGGAGAAAAGCTGAGAAGAAAGCAAGTGAACTGCTTGGTTTGAAGCAGGGCACTGCATGGCCAGCTCCTCTAAATGTTGCAAAGGTAAGTCCTTTGTACTCTTGAAACCAACCGCTGACCTGACCAAATGAATGGCAAAACTTGAAGTTAGTAAAAGATGTATGCTTGTGCTATGCATTGTTCACGACCAAAATGCAGGATCTCGGTTTTATAAAGATGTTAAGACTTCGAATCTTCCATACATAACCCACAAGATTTAAATGCAAAACTTGATAGAGGGATAGAGAGAGCTTTTTAAATGAGAAACAACAATCATGTACAATAAGCAAATCATATAATTTAGACATTCTTACTCACCATTCTAAAATGTTTAAGTAGACCCTTAAAGTATTAGTATTAATCAACTAAAACCATCACATGGTAGGGCTTGACTAATCAGTTCTTTAGGACAAGATGGCATGATTTCGAGACATAATTAGAGCTGAGAGTTTTTGTCAGTTAAGCTCATAATTCCAAGGTTCAGAACTTCAGATACATTGCTGAATGAACCACAATAAAGAAATCATGGCATTTCAGCTCCCGTTTGAAAAGAGAAGGGAGTTGTTCTTTATCTCTTTTTTTTTTTTTTTTCCAATGACAAATGCAAAAGAAATAGAGTAATGGTACGATCACACTACTAATACGCCCCCCCCCCCTTTACCTTCCTATCTCTCTGTCTCAGAGAAATACTAAGGGGAAGGAGCTTTTGCAGTGGAGAAATATATTAAAATGTTTTTAGTAAGTTTAAGTTGTAAGGTTAATAGAATCAGATTGAAAATAAAATATTAATCAGAGTCATTAATAGTGAAACAAGTTAAACCATGTGTTTTTATTTTCATCTTGACTGTCATCATCAATACCTGTTTGTCATGATACCATGGTCTCCATGCCTTAGTGATGGGCAATCCCAAAGCACTTATGCTGTATCGCGTTGACAGAACAGGAACTCTTCCATCCGTGTCTCCACTATACCACTCAGAAGCTATTACCATGAGACAGAAAAACAATCGACTACAATATCTAGAAAACTGTTTGAAGCATGTGACTTACCTGTAGACCCAAATTCTAACTCCTGCTGCAATAAGCTTTTTGTATATGGGAAGTACCGACGGCTTTGAATCTGACCAATCATCAAATATCTTTTGACTGCGTCATACAAGGGAATGGCAATGTTCAGTTGGCATTAGAAAACCTCAATCCTAATATGCTTCTTCTCATCATTACAGGCTTATAAGAATGATGGTTGAAGAAAGAATTATAAGGAATCATATATAACAAGATATCAACAAGACATTACTTGCAGATGCTCCAGTTCCTGAGATGATAACCATCACTAACGTGGAGAGCTTTTTGAACATCCAGTCTATTGTAGAAAGCTTTTGCATAATCATCAAGGCAGGGATCAAAGCCACCCAAAATCCTTGGCATCTGGTAAGGAAAATCCATGAAACCACCGTATCATAACTTTGCCACACAAGTTAATGGAAGTACTATAACATGGAATGAAGGAAATCCTACACCCCCCCCCCCCAAAAAAAAAAAAAGAAAGAAAGAGGACAAGAATTAAGTCATGAGAAATTCCTCTGACAATGATATTGTATTATAGGTCAATGTAAGTTACAGAAATGAAACATGTGATCACCATGTTGGATGTTCGCTTCATCATGACTTGCAATATTGATTTGGTATTTGAACCAGCACTATCACCAATACACACAGGGGTGTATAGGCTGTAGATATCAATCTTCTTATACTGTTTGAGTACTTCATCTACAGCTTGACTACAATCTTCATTGCTCCATGTATCATTGCTTTTAAAATCACAGCTTTCACTGATTATTTTGTGAGTTTCATCAGATACCACAGCATGGCTCCAAGCATAATCCGTCATACCTCTCCAGTCCTCAGCATCATATGTTTCAGGATTTCCCAACTGTTGACAAGAAAATTTCAGCACGTCAACCAAGCATGCAATGGTCTAGCAGAAAAAACAGGACCAGGTTTACTATCACGCGTTTACAAATAGCCTAAATAATTTATTTTTTATAATTCACAAATGATCATACCAAAATACCCTTGAGCTCAATATGAAGTGAAGGATCCTTGTTGTTGTCATAAATGAGCTCAGCCAACTCTGGCACATATTTTCCTGTGAAAAACAAGTCATCAATTGAGAATCACTCCGTCGAGATAAAGACAAAATAAATTATTAAAGAGGAATACCTGCATAGCTTTCTCCAGCAATATAAAAGGTCCGTGTTCTGTATGATGGAAACTTCAGGAACCAGTTATGCAGAAAAGAATAAGCATCATTTGCTGGTGTCCGTGGTAGAAAAAAACACTAATTAGTTACAAGAATAATTTTATGATAATCTGATAATGATCAGAAGCTCCTATAATAGAATTTTTACGTAGAAGCTACACATTTTTTTTAAAAAAAATTTGAATGAAATCCCATCTTTGACAGTGGTATGACAGAAATTAGGTCATATTTTAGCCACAATTTACCAATAGTATTGGACAGACTACTTGTCTAAAAAAAATAATTTAATTGGCAATACCATGTTAAGATACAGTCGCAGCAATTTACAAGTGTAATTTTGTGTTAAACTCACCGGTAAACTCATCTCCTAGATTATCATAATCAGTGGAAGTATTAGAGTACGAAAATCCAACTCCAATAGGAGATTCCAGGAATAACATATTGGCTTCTGCATCACCGAAGACATTAAAAAATTCTTAGTAATGGTATTGGAATATGGAGAGAGCAACATACAGAGGTTGAAAAGAGCAACCATAAAAGTATATTGATTTTATGTGATGCAATAACAGATATTTTAATAATGATAACAATGATGACGTCCTTGACAAGAACAATGAACAACCAAGATGAATAGATAAGAAGAACATACTTGCAACTTACATATGCAAGTTGCTAGAAAACTACAAATTCCGAACTTTATACCTTTATTCCATGAGAAGTTGTTAAATTTAATTCCACGCCCACCAGTGTCCACTATGAATGGACCAATCTCTTGCGTTGCTCCATATCCCACAGAAGAGCACCCAGGACCTGAAACATAAAGAACTTGTCAGCTTATTAGAGAACATAGAAAAAAAAAACATATTGAATTGTGGAATGAGGCTTATTTCCACAAGTGTAAATGAAAAAAAGAGCAATGACCTCCTCTAAGAGAGGACATGTGACAATGATCATGTATCATATACCCTAGGATATTATAGCAATTATTTTATATATATGGCCCGTGGTCTGTCTAACAACCAGGCAACACTTGAAATGAAGGAATCTGTGATAGCTTTCTCTTTTTCTCTCTTTATGCGATATGTGCGAATAAAAGGATGTAAAGATAGAAATGTATAGGGAGAGATCTTTTGGTCAAAAGATTGGAATCTGAAAAGGCCTGGGGTAGGTTTTAAAAACTATGTAACCTTTGATAACAAATGTATTTCGAACACCAGGATCAAATTTGTTTTGGCCAGCATCTTCCATTAATACAATCTACCCGGAGGTGAACAAGACTGCGGATGTAGAACAAGATGCAATAGCTCAAGATCAAATTTGATCACTTTCCAGATAATTTAATCCATTATTCTTACCTCCATTAAGCCACAGCACCAGTGGTTTTTCATCAGGGTTAGACATAGCCTCATAGAACCAATAAAAAAGTGCTCTTCCATTCTTTTCATTCACAGTAACATAGCCAGCATAATGGCGGAAGTCTACTGATGGCTGGCCAGGCAAGTTGGTAACGGGGTCATCATTCCCCAGGGAACTTATTCCCTTCCTGTTATACCTTCGCCAATGTCTATCACCAGTGATAGGATGCACTGATGATATAGTTGAAACAAAAGCCAAAGTAAGGAAAGCTACCCCTTTCAGTCCCAAATCCATGTTGATACAGACAAACAAGTCAGACTGATTTCAACAGAAGGATTGATGATTACCAAGAAAGATCACATATCTATTTATAATGCCTCGATATAGGGACAATTAACAAAAGTGCCAAGATACAGAAGAAAATGTCCTACGTGGCATCGAAATTTTTATATGATTGGCTACTTTATGGCAATCTGACATGGTTTTTAGACAGTTTCTAGAGTGTTCAAGGGACAGTGGAATCTCTGTGTTGGATCGGTGAATCATGGTAATATGAACTACGTCGATCATTATCCCCAATAATTTGTGCCAAACACATTCCACATGATCTTCTTATTTGTCAAAGCAACGATGACTATCAGTTCTAAGAAAATTTTCGATTCTGATTAAGATATACTTGATTTTCAAAAGTATATGGTCACTCATTGCAATAGTGCTATTGATCCATGATTCAACGAAACGAGACTAAATATACAGTCAACATTTGGTGACCATCATGTATACAAAATTTCTTGTCATGAAGTGAAAAGCAAAGCTCAGTTTGGGGGATATGATTTCTGGCTTAATTGTGATCAAGAATATTTGACTAACTACAGATAAATAAGGGAACATATATTAAAATAGAAATAAAGATAAACAAGGAAAGACATTAAAAGAGAAAATATGGACAGGGAAAGGTGATAAGATTTATTTTTATCAATATGGAATGATTTTCCAAGCAATTAAGAGAGTCAAAGTTGCCATTTATATTTTTCTTTTTTGAAGATTTATTCTTAATTAAGAAAACATTTTAAACGATAGCAAAGATCGGATACATTGTAACGTGCTTGTTTATATCATGGTTAACTTCCATTTTTTTTATGTTATCCACCAATTATTTAATCAAGTTGTGATTTCCGATATATAGCATCAAATTTATCTTTCACTTCATCAGTTTATTGGAACAAATGATCCTAAAACAAGTAGGAAAGGGCCTTTAGCAGATTTAAGGTTAACAAAATATTGGTTTTTAGTAGAAAAGCATATAAATATGGTAATTCATAAATCTATCTTCATTCAGTTAAAGTCTCCATGGTTATTGAGAAAAAGATAAAGCAAATTTTTTTTTTATTGAACCTCTAGATTCTTTTACACTTCTGTCGACAATAATGTTCAAAATGATGGGAGCTCAACTGTGTAAACTTTGAACATAAAAGTTTGACTGGGAAAGGTTATCCAGAAATTTGTTCATTTTGCCATGTTTGTCAATGTTTTTTTTTTGTTTTTAGAAAAAGTGTTTGAATCTAGAATTGACCTACATTAGTGAAACTGTATGTATTAAATAATTAGGCCCCTTTGTTTCATGAACAGATAAATAACTGATAATAAATGATCATTTTGGTAAGCTATGTGGAGAAATGCGACCAATAGATTCAAAAATATCACCTGACACTACGTACCTGGTGATCCATCTTTCTTTCATCTCAAACCAATCGAAAAGATGAAGAAAATCAGTTATGTTTCCACTACAACGCTCAATGAGGGAATGACTGACCAAAAGAGCCAAGACCAACCAAGGGACAATTGTTAACATATAACGCACTTACGGATTCTTAACTGTGGTGCTGAATTAGTTAGCTTCTTTGACAAATAAAAAGATAATTAATTATAAAAGAATGAAGTAACAGATGGATTTTTTTTCAATTCTGCGTATGCAACAGATAAATCAAGTCTAATTGCGCTTTGGATTGATCCTGTATTAAAGAGATACTAGTTAAGGTATTTATTTGTATATCGACCTGTCTGATTGTCCTAAAACTGCATTGCAAGTACTAACAAGTCACAACAACCTAATTGGAGTGCCCTGAATGCAATGTACTATCTGCCCAGTGTTAGTTAAATCATTTAAAGGTCGGAGAGACTGTTCCAAAGTCTACAATGGTCCACTTCTATGATTATACGAAGACTAAAACATCACATGGCAGTATCTTCATAAGAATTGACTGGCTTATTGCCAGTGAATTATCTTATCAAAAAGTAGCCAGTATATATGAAAAGACATTGTGGCATATATTCGGAACTAGTGGTTCTTCTTAAATACAGAAAAAAGCTAACTGTTTCTAAGAATCTCATCATCACAAAGTTGAAAGATGGAATTTTGTGGCGAACCTTGTGCATCGTGACCCTTGAATCTGATGAACTCCAGGTGGTGAAAGGTATGAAAGGAACATCAATTAGGTTGTTGAGCAATGACCTGGATCCTAACTTTATTTCGTTGAATAATGAGATGGAAGACATCTCATAGATATTCAGTGAATGATTTATTCATGTTATTACTTCATTTTCTATTTGATGTACATTTATCAGAGGCTAACTGACCATATATATCATCATCACAAGCATCAAAGATATTCCTAAATAAAGTTTACCTCAAGAGTTTTTGCACTCTTTCTGAAAGCATTAATGAAGATAAACAAATATAGCCTTTAGCATTGTAATGCTGATCAATCCCATTGTAATATGACAAATACTCTCTTTAGCTAGTTAATAAATATGAGAAAAATTAGTGTACATTCTTCTGCTTCACTTATTTTAATGATTATATGTAAAACACAGCTAAATATCCATCCAACATATGCATCATTCTGTTTTTGCACAAAGAAATGGCACCCAAAAAGCAAACTGCCACTTGTAATTCTGACTCATATGCTGCAACCTAACTTTTTTTGGCCTCCAAATGGATGGCCACCTAATCCCTTTATTTAATTCTTATTTTCATTCTCTTTGGTATTGAGCCACTGCCACTAATCAGAAATGAGGACAATGTCAAGAAAGAAAAGTGCAGATCTATGCTTAAGCTCATTATAGAAAACATATTATTTTATCTAATTTATGTGTGTGTATCATGCATAAGCGCAAACATTTATATGATGCTCCACACAGTTATCTGGCAAAAAAATCTGACCAATGAGGAAACAAATTAGCAGACATGAAAAATCAGTGTATCGTTTTTCACTGGAGATAAACATCTGAACTACAATAAGCTCGAGGTCTTTCTTTTTTTTTTATTTAATCTTTTGTACTTTAGCGGTTTTGGGATAATCAAGTCAATGGGCTGAGCAAGTTGAGATAAAACGCACTAACAAATTAAGAGGCAAAGTGCATATGCTTTGGCGCAACTTTTAAAGCAACTTCTCTACTACAAAATGTTGAAGTTGGGAAAATCAAGTTTGACAAGTCAATCTTTGGCTCCTGTAAAAACTAACCAGGGACTAAAAGCTAAAACTCAAAGGGGAGCTTCTGAAAAGAGCTGAAATGAGAAGCTGATAATCACCTTTAATAAAGTTTTAAAATGAGCAAAATATTATAAATTATTTCAAATAATCTCAATCTGACGGAACCTTTTAAAAGCTCCACTTCAGTACTACTCTTTACTCCAGCTCTAGCCCAAGTCAAATGTGTTCTACAGGATTAATATCAAGTTTGCAAAGTGAAGTAGCCAACCTACTCAAATTCATGAGCCCTGCAGAACGGGAGAGTAGGAGAGGAATCGCATCCACATTTTTATTTATATCTACATTCTCAAGATTCAGAAGATAATACAAAAGCATAACTGATAGCTAATCAGTCATACTCTTTTCATGTTTATGTATTTTGAAATTTGGTTATCAATGAGAATAATCAGCTAATGCCTCTTAAACATACAATAATTTTATTTTGCTATTGTTTCTAGCATCTAGTTTACTGTCATAATTCCCAATCAGTATTGTTGTCGGTAAGATAAAATTTCTAAATACTTCCCTCAACAGTCAACATCCCATATTGAAAAAGTCATGCATCCAGAAAGTTCATCTAAAATGTATATTATACCAAGAACCTTGAGAAAGATTGCAGAAGGTTGTTCATTCTAAGTAAAACCAAGTTTGAAGCGTTTCTTCTATCATCTAAAAGACAAATGCAGCCAGAAATTAGAAGAGTAAACATGCTTTGGTACTTTTTCAATGATAAATCAATTAAAATGCACTTTGAATAGAGCAGTACATAGCAAAACCTCCTCTTCATGCCTAAATGGTAAAACTGTGCCAAAAAAATACTCTCAACAAATTAGCATATAAAAGATATGTATGACATTTTCTTTGTTTTCTTATGATAAACTCAATAAAGAGGTAATTTCCGCCTTTCTAGCTTTGAAGGTAAATAAATAGGCTTGCTTTTCTTTATCTGATCACCACCACCTTCCTATTTTTAAATTTCAAGCAGCAGAACCAGCACCCATTTGCCCAACACTGCTGCGTTATTCCTTTTCCACATGATGCAAATATACTAAATTACTAACAGTTTCTCACTTAAGGACAAAGATTTTATGATTCTATTATGTAGAAAAAGTGCTTAAGCCATTCATATAAAGTATTTTTTTACCTATGTTCCAGGGTGTACATATACAAGAGCCTACAAATGGTGGACGACATTGAAAATCAATGGTTTTCTGACTATTCCGACGCATGAGAAGACACGTTTGGCATGTGGAATATGTTACGTATAAAATTCCAATTGAACGAAAATCGTATTCTGATAAGCCTCATCTTGAATCATTCTCTCAAATAACATCTTTAGAACAGCTATTGTGTAATTGATAATATTTTTATTCTTTAGACACAATTGTATGACCATAAAGTTGATGCAAAAGGGACAATTTTCTTTATCTGTTCTCATTTTAGTGGGCACGAGCATTATCGATTTCATGATGACCTAAGAACTTCAGTGTACTTAGTGAGAAGCAGATTAGATTTGTGGCAAGCTGCTGTGTACAATGCATTGACAACCAGATGATAAGAGTACATTATCTTGAAATGAGTTTTTGGATGAACTTATCCCATAACTGTTTGAAAGGTATCTGAATTACTTTGTAAATGTTGACTGTTTGAAATGCTTCTCATCAATGTAACAGCATAATCATTTATTAAATTGAATCAAGCAGACTGAATCTAATTTGCTTCAATAATCAAATTATATGCTACATTTCCTAGAAACCTTTTTTGGCTTGCATAGGCCCCCATTCTTGACCTAGTTCAATTGACCATCTTCTGCATTTATCATTAAAAATTTTAAATGTTACTGGGGGGCCAATACATTAGCCCAATACCTATCTCTGATCTAGGAATATAAATTTCTTTTGTATTTCTCCTTTGTGCTTTTAAAGGTTTCTACTACCACTAACAAAAGAATAGAACTTTTGCAACGCTTATTTGACCTACCTAACATGGGAAGCAATTGTGGATAAACCAAAAGCTCACGGAATCCTTACAAGCTAGCTTTTGGCAATGTTCCTTGAGCATCCAGCCAAGAAAGTGAAAGTGTTGTTATGAAATTACTCAAATCTTTTATAGACTGCAATTACAGCCTAACAGGACCATAGCAAACTAAGGAAGTTATAAGAGTTTTCACTTTCGGTGTTACACTTTTTGTTTAACTACCTTCTCCATTTCCGTTTCTCTGTTTCCAGCTAACCCAACAAACAGAACAGTCAAAATGAAAAAACCTACTTAACCATTTTGTCTTCCTAGGACTGGCCTTGGTTGATTTTTTTTTGCAAAGATAATAATTTGAGAAAAAATTTTAATTTGTAAGACATGTTTTTTGGATGTTTGGGTTTTGAAGCTTTAGTTATAGAGATGCATTGCCTTAGGGCCACTGGCCATATTGAGCTTCTTAGAGGGCATGTTTTCACTATCTCTGATCCTGTTGGATATGAACATTCAAAATTATGTCTTCACTTCTTGTTTGCTTTCACACAACAAATAAATTGGATATATAAATGCCCTGTGAAGTATCTAAATTCATCATGCAATTATCCACTAACATGGAGCTAATTGATACTAAATTATCATTAAGGTCGAGTACTCTCACCATGAAGTTTAACACCAAATTATACCCCAATAAGTTCAACTGCATAACTGCAAGGAATATATCAAAGAAACTACAAATAGAACTAAACTATTTAAATACTTAACAGTCCAGCATCCCCTTGGTCAACTGTCCAAAAAATGAAATATTCAACAGTTTCTTACCACTCCTATGACAAAGAGAGTGAGAATCATTATAACTTTGTGCACAGGACTTGTCCTACTGGATGCTCATAAAGAGTACCGGTAACTAGATGAAATGTAGCAATGTTTTTTAAAAAAGGACAAAATGCAAGAGAAGCAAAATGAAAACTTACCAAAATCAAGAACATCATGAAGTGAAGAGAAAGAAGGAACGGCCAAGGAATGTTGACTAAAGTCATACTATCAAACTATATTTACATACTTCCTTTTCTAGGTTAATTCTTTGACAAGTTTAAGCAACTAAATAGAAGTTGAATCACCTACCAACTTTTTTTTTGTTGGTTTTTTGTTTAACTTTCCCTTTGGGGTTTATGTTGAAACTGCCTTCCCTAAGAAACAGAATCTTTTCTAACTGTATCATTTGAGCCAGTAGCAGATATCTAATTAACACCAACCCCACTAAGCTATATGTTTAGATATCCTAGCTTGAGTGCCTCATTTAATAAATTAAGCCAATCAAATGCAATTATTATCGAAGCCTATGAGACCACTGGATAATCTACACTGGTGAGTGTGATCTGCATAGAGATCCTTGGTTCCAGCATTAATGCTCTCCTCTTTAAGGGAAAGAAAACTAATCCACTAAGTGTAGTAGAAAGACTAAAAGAAGAGCTAGACGTCGAGGGTAGATCGATGGGTACATTTTCAAGGTCAAGGAAGGTTTGTTCTATCATGTTATAACTTCGAAGGACCAAGAAGGCTAATTAATACAATCAGAACCCCAAAGTCCAATGTTCAAGGTCCCCCACTCCCCCCTCTGATCTACAAACAATAATCATCAACTAGGCAAAAGCAAGATGCATTAAATTTTTAGGGTCGGGGGAGGTTGATGCATGATCCAGTTTTAGTATGGTATAAAATTCATGGGCATAAAAAGCACTTCAATCCAGCGCCAGCATATGGCATATAAGTAGGACGAAAACTTTTTCAAGGTTACACATTTGCTTTTCTAGCCATCAGGAAAGGTTACTTGCAACATGTAATCAAATGCCAATAATTCCTACCAATTATATTAAAGTTAGCGTTCTTAAAATGCAAAACAATAAGACGAGTGCTAATGGAACATTATTACTTGTGCAGAAAGAAAGCAGAGCCTTATAACGAAACGAAAAAAAAAATGAAGGAAATGACCAACTGACCAAAACTCCAAAACGAACAGAAGCAGCGAGCAAGACCCGAAATCAACAGAGAACAAGCCCGAGTCTTCTAGCCCAACTCAACCAACACCACAGCCCAATACAAGAGTCAGCCTCACCAAATCCAAATCCAGTAACCATTAAAAAGCAAACCACAAAGTCTCTACCAATCAAATAGCAGACCCCCCAAAATTTGATCATTCTCTCTTCCTCTCAGAAAATGATGGAAAAAGAAGAAAATGTTAACTATTGGGGAAGCTTCTCAGAGGAAGAGTACTACAAGCAGCAAGGAATCAAGGGATCAAAATCATTCTACACCTCACCAAGAGGCCTCTCTCTCTTCACAAGATCATGGCTTCCCATCTCTGGGAGTGCACGTGGCATCATCTTTGGAATCCACGGGTATGGCAATGACATGAGTTGGACTTTCCAGTCCACAACAATCTTCCTTGCTCAGAAAGGTTTTGCTTGCTTTGGTCTTGACCTTGAAGGCCATGGTAGATCTCAAGGCCTAAAATGTTATGTCCCAAATGTTGATTTAGTTGTACAAGATTGTCTCTCTTACTTCAATCTCATCAAGCAAGATCCTAACTTTGATGGGTTACCTTGTTTTCTTTATGGAGAATCAATGGGTGGTGCTATTTCTTTGTTGGTTCATTTTGCTGATCCAAATGGGTTCCAAGGAGCAGTTTTGGTAGCACCCATGTGCAAAATCTCAGATAAGGTAAGACCCAGATGGCCATTTCCTCAATTTCTCACCTTTATCTCAAAATTCATGCCCACTTTACCAATTGTACCAACTAAAGATCTTTTACACAAATCAGTCAAAGTAGAAGAAAAGAAGATTGTAGGAAACAAGAATCCTTTAAGATACAGGGGAAAGCCAAGATTGGGAACGGTTGTTGAACTCCTGAGGGTAACTGAGTATTTGAGTCAAAAACTATGTGATGTGAGTATCCCATTCCTTGTAGTACATGGCAGCGCAGATGTTGTTACGGATCCTGAAGTGAGTAGGACTTTGTACAAGGAAGCATCAAGCCAAGACAAGACGATAAGGATCTATGAAGGAATGTGGCATTCGTTGTTGTTTGGTGAACCTGATGACAACATCGAAATTGTTCGTAGTGATATTTTGTCTTGGTTGAATGATAGATGTAACACAATTTCTGTCTGAATGGGTTTAAATTATGCTGTATGATTTAAAGCACATTAATAAAAAAAAAATTTTAAAATCATGATCCAGGGTTTGATTTACTTGTTTATGATTGAGGATTGGAAATTCAATATACAGAATATTTGGACTTGAGAATTGGGACGGCAATTTTGGAAGGAAAAATCAGATTCAACGAGGGTCACCTGATTTCAAGTCCATTCATATGTTTCCTGTGCCGTTTTAACGATGTCATTTACGTCGTTTTAGATATTCTTTGTGGCTCAAGTGTGCAGCAAACAAAGCCCTTTTATTGAGGGCAGGCAAAGAAACACGATACCAAAGAAAAAATGTGTCGCATTTGTGTAGCGATTGATTCCTTACGTTTCTAATCCGTCTGGTGACTGCCAGTTAGGCTTTGGACTGGTCTCTATTTATTGTTCTCATTTGCGCATGGAATGAATCAACAAGCAGTTCAAATTTAATACTCCGTTCACTCTTCGCTCTGAGAAACACCAATACACATAAAAGTAGAAGGTTCCAATTAGCCTTGAAATTAATGAATGAATACACTACAGGGAAATAGTATACTCAAAATTACCGATGAAGCTACAAACTTTCAATTTCTGTATCTTTGGAAGAGAAAAGAATAAGAAAACAAAAATTGGAGACCTATCATTTACAACTCTAACTAACAGAATCACTCGTTCAACTCTATTATGTTACGTGTTATGGCGCAATTGCCTTAAACCCTATACAATGTCACAGGTGATTAGAGGTTGAGAACTATCAATGGCCAGATAAAAAACCAATAAAGAAAAATAACTTTCCTTTTGTGACCAAGAGTAAGGGGATCATGAGGATTCTTTCGTGACTATTCACAGAGTGTCTCAGTAGAGCCTTACTCGCTCTCATGTCCAAAAGAACCTACAATCGGTATTTGGGTTAGCAAAATGGCATCCGCTAGGCCGGGAACATGGATCAGGAAATGGTTCTAAACGAAGAAGCTGGGATCCAATCATTCCACCACCAACAAGATGCACCGACCTTGGCATGCAAGTCTAGCACTACCAATTTAAGAATGCAAATCTACCATTGTTATCTTAAAAGTGAAATGTCATGCCATAAACAAGTACTCCAAGTCTTCTACTGTGAGCCGCGTCTGACGACCACCAGTTTCATCTTCCCCAAACGCGGATGCAACCATCTCCCTCTTCTTTTGCTGTTAATTTAAAAAGTAAAAACAAAGTTAAATTAAAATTCAAGGATAAACAAAAAAAAAAGCAAATATTTATTGCATGAGCTAATATTTCAGGCTAAACAATTAAAGTTCTGGGTCTGGGTGAAAGTAAGCACAGAATTCGTATTGGTGCCAAGAAACCATTTCAACAGGGACATTTAACCAAGCACAATTTAATTTTAACTTAATATTCCTGACAGCTACCAGGTAGAGAGGTATCCACTGGCTGGAGCAAATTCAGGCCAGGGCTTTGAAGAGCAAGCTCCTGCCTGCCCATAGGCCTGAACTTATGATAAACAAATTTAAAACAGTTATATTGAATTATAATTATGTTACTTAGCTAATGATGAAATAAGCATTCAGAACAGGCATAGCCCAGGTACAGGCTAAAAATTCTGTTTAGCGTATGGACTGCTTTATCTATGTCTATAACACTGACAATTAACTTGTCAGAACAGTAACACTATCAGATACATCCAAGTTTTTCTAGACAGCTAAAAACCCTATCCATCATCACATATTGTCTTCAGCTCAATAAAAATTACAGCATTAACTACAAAAGAGAAAAGGAAAAAGGTGTTGTGCCTGCATAGGTGGGGGAAAAGCTTACCTGAAGAGATAAAATACGATCTTCAACTGTATCTTTTACAGTTAATCGTAAAACACTTACAGGGCGAGTCTGCCCAATACGATGTGCTCTATCAATTGCCTGGTCCTCAGTTGTAGGGTTCCACCAAAGATCCAGCAGAAGAACATGGCATGCAGCAACCATGTTCAGCCCAAGACTGGCAGCTTTCAAAGACATAATCATAACGGATACCTACACACAAAGGAATCAATTTCACAAGTAAATAAGCGGAATCGCTAAACACCAGAATCTCACACTCCTTCATGACATAGAGGTCAAATAATAGATATCATTAAAACCTCTGGTAGGATGTTGAAATCTTTCACTGCTTTATCTCTAGCAGCAACTGACATAGTCCCATCAAGTCTTCTGTATTGGATGGAAGAACTTTTAAGACAGGCTTCAAATAAATCCAGCATCCTTGTCCACTGGGAAAACACTATGGCTTTCTCTCCAGGTACCTTACAGGAATCATTCAAACTTTCACCCGTAACCACATTTTTTTCATCAGGAAAACCATTTGGTGAATCCCCAGAATGGAGATCTGATGAACCTTCTGGACAGCCACTAGTCCTTAATCTATGATCTTGAGGTTTAGCTAGTGATTGCAGGACCTCAAGGGCAGCCTTAATTTTGGAAGAATCATTCAAACTATCCTCAGAACAAGGCCCAATTACCTCTACAACTTTAGAACCAGGACAATCAGGGGAGCTATCCTGACCATGCGGCTCAGAGAGAAAACTGTTTAAAGCAGCATTTGAAAACACAGAAGATGCACTGAGTCGAACTTTGCAATTTGTAGTGGGACACTGGTTGTCATCACCAGTAAGATGTTCAGAGATGCATTGGTTGCAGAAAACATGACCACAGACAGCGACAACAGCATCTTCCGGTGGATCCTACAAAACATAAGCAAGGATGTTGGAACGGAAATTAAGCTTTAAAAAGTTCAAGGATAACTAGAGGAATAGCTAAAATAATTATGCCAAAAGAGATGATTATGGTAGTTAGCCATGCAAGGCAAAACATGCCTCCATGACAGCACAATATGATCCTTCCGCATACCCCAAGCTGAAGCATCTAAATATACCCAAACAAGTATTTCATCTATCCACATTGAGTGAATCATTATTTGATCACTCAAATCCTTTCAAAACCATATCAACAGGAAGAAATGTGCCTAGGCAAGTGAAATCATCAGAAATATTGCAAAAAGGAAGCAGTTCTTAAAGTAGAAGGAAAGCAACTAAAGAAACAAGCTGAAAAAGCTACATACATTGCAGATGCCACAAAGAGCCAAAGATGATAAACGACTCAGAAGAAATGTTCGCTTCTCCTGAGGAAGCTTATTGGCATTCTCAATCGATGATCTCCATGAAGAGTTCGAATCAAATCCCCTGACAAGAAGAGGATGATCACAGGCTTGGCGAAGGCGCAAAAGCATCAACAAGATATTCACATAGTTTTGTTTGACAGTCCCAGCAGCTGCATACTCCTGAAAAACATTTCAAAATTAGAAAAGAAAAAACAGAATGTACCATAGCATAGTAATATAACCACATAAACTACTATTACTATTAGGAATATCCTATAAAGCAACAAGAACTGTAGAAGATCTGCAATGAAAATTTAAATTTAATTAGACTAAAACCATACTTTAAACTGAGCACGTGAATCACTCTCCAATCTGGAATAGAAGTCACGTTCATCCTTTGTGAATTCCACCTTTTTCAATTGTATCACTTTAGGTGGCAAGTTTATAATTGGTTTCCCATCAAGAAAAGTACCTGAAATGATTGCGAGTGATTGCAGTTAGTTGCATGCAAATAACAACCTCAAGGAAATTCTACAACCAGTGATATATATTGGATTTAGCACATCACAGTAGAACCACATTTCACTGCAAGGCCAACCAAAATTAATTAAAAATTGCATACTTAGTACCTTTGGTGCGACGTAACATTATTGTCTGCAAGATAGCTTGCAATTTTGGATACCCTTTCGCTGGATTTTTAGTAATCGGAATCTTTATGGAAGAACAGAATGACTTGTAAGCGGCATATGGGTCATATCTCAGAAATCTGAAGTAGCTATAAAGGTCATCAATGGCATTTTGAATTGGAGTTCCAGACAAGCACCATCTACGTTTAGCACGAAGGCCCCAACAGGCCCTAGCAACTTGTGTTCTATGGTTCTTTATGCTTTGGGCCTCATCCAGAACAATTCTAAACCATGCAACTTTTGCAAGAGGTCGAGAAGCAGAATCAAGAAGCAATTCATCCAATTGCTTCTTGTGCTTCACTCCTTTTTTATTAGAACTAGGAGGGTATTTCCTTTTCCTGCTTAGTGGAAAATCGAGAGATGAAGCATGTTCACCTTCCAACTTCCCTTTCTCATCATTTTCTCCACGAACAGGAGGCTGCTTGGGGACCTCCATGCTAACAATTGAATATGTAGTAAGGACAACATCATACTTTGCTAACTCAAAAGGATCCTTTGTTCTGTTGCTTCCATGGTATACTAGAACGGAGAGATTAGCTTTGCTCGTCACCTTATTGTGTAGCTCCTCTGCCCATTGCCTCAATACACTTGTGGGACATACAATGAGAGTTCCACCAGCTGGCCTTCCCTTTGCTTGCCCTGATGGAGAAGAGCTTTTCTTTGGAGCACCATTTGACATAACTTGACTGTTATCAGATTCTTGCTTCATCCCTTCATCATCATCATCATCCTCATCATCATCCAAATTTAGTGTTTCCATCTCACCCTTTCCCATATCTTGAGAAGATGCTGTAGAAGATGGGGGCCTCTCACTGAGAATAAGTGCAATTGTTGACACAGTTTTTCCTAATCCCTGCAAGAAAAAGATATATATGAAAACATAATTCACTAATGGTATAACTAGTGTAGGACAACCTCAGAATATGGCAACTGACCTGATCATCTGCAAGAATTCCTCCCAAACAGTGCGAGCCAGCTTTCTCCTTCTGGGTCATCCAAGACAAAGCAATTCTCTGTTCATGGATTATGTTAGAACAGAATTGGAACAGAATCATAACACTCACAAGTGAACATGTAAGAGAACTTTGGCACCCACCATGCAAACATACAGAAAATCAGAAAAGAAACATGGAAAAAGCTATTTTCCACTTAAAAATCAACAGTTACACCATAGTTAATAATAGCATAGAATCTTAAATCAAACTACAATAAAGAAAACAACATAATCTCTGCCTAAGGTTTCTTCTTTGACTGCATCCATAAATAGTAAGGAAATATCTAACCTTCCAAAAAACGAGCAAAAGACTCAAAAAATTAACATTGCACGTTGCAAAGAAAGAGGGTAGCAAACAATCACCATATATAACTACTTTTAAGTCCAATTTTATCCAACTTGATCAAGATAAGTATATTTTAGCTATGTTTATTCCTTCTTGTAGATAAGTCACGCCCATTTTAGGCATTCATAGATAACCAAACCATAAACCATATGCAAATGTCCTTTTCAAATCAATTCTTCAACTGGAGCTATTTTCACCTTAACGCAAATACCATTGCCCAATCTCTGAAAGTACAAAACTTCAGAGAACCTCAACATTCACAAACTGAAATACAAAGAAAAAAGTACAATATGGAACAATTCAAACCTGATGTCGTAGAAGAGGTACTGCCAAAACACCATCCGGAGTACTAGCTTCAGACTTTGGCTGAGAAAGACCCTGTGAAGCATACCACAATCTCATTAATCATGCCAATATACAGACATAAACATTAAATATAACATTGATTCCAACAGAAGGGGGCACCAATTTAAGCTTAGAAACAAGGCAACATCAATGCTTTATCCACACAGGAGTATCAAAGGAGCCTAAACATCCATCTTTGAAAACACTTTCACAGGATAATATCTCCACTGTGAGACCCAATTTGATTCAGAATCAAATTAACCTGAAAAATATTTTGAGAGAATCTAAACTCTAAAGATTTTTAGTTGAAATCTTTTATTACACATTATAACAGTTTATGCAGCAGAGTCTTAAGAAAGTGCTTCACTCAAGGTCACAGTTGCATTAAACGGGGTTTGATATTGGAAGGAATCACAATCATCTTTCAACAAGCCTTCAGTTTCCCCTCTTTCAAAGTTTTTTTTTTTTTTTTTTTTGCCTTTTGGCAAAACAAGCCAGAAAAGGACATCAAAAAGAACATTACAATGTTTTAGAAGTATTAATCCTAACAAGGTTCCAGCAAAGAGATAGCCAAATCATTAACAGCCCTATTTTATTTGACCACTCCATTACACATAATAATTAACTTTTTTTTTTTGTGGTGAGAGAAATTAAATTACTATGTTTTGGAAATAAAATTCTTCCAAAAAGTTCAATGAACTATTAGGGGCACAATTTCATTCAACCACTTCCTAAAGGATGACATTTTTTGCGAAAGATAATGCATAACTAAATAAAGATGTAACTTAAAATGAGTGGAAAACTGTTTCCTTCTAGCCATTTATGCCACAGTGCACTATAATGCAAGCAATCCCCAGAAATTCATCCAAATTCTTTTGATTCACCAGACATAGGATGCTAATTGCAGACCAATTCTCAATTTACAATTTTAAATATGTTCAGTATCTGCAAAACTTCGAAGATGTCAAGATCAAACATTATTTTAAACTTTGAAGAAATTTAAAATCAATATTGCAGCAATAATGCTAGCACATTACCAATCCATAACTGCTAAGAGCAAGAAACAATGCAATCTCAAAAGAACAGCACTTACCTGCAATGCAACCTGAAAAATTAACTGCTCATCATTTCCCTTGAGCCTGATACCCCCCATTCCTGAGTTATGAATTGGACTACTAAATGCAGTATTTGGACTACTAAACGCAGTATTCGGCAAACTAGAAGTCTTCTTTACAAGCACCAGGGATTGATTTGGGCGGGCAGGTTGACAGATATCTTCAAGAATACATATATCAGGGTCATCATCAAAATGAGATCTGCAATCTGATGAATTGCTGTGAATAGATTCGGGACTGACTTTTGAAAGACCCATACTCCTTGAAGGAATCAACTTACTCTCTCTTTCACCCCCAAAACAACCTATCTGCATCTTGGTTGAAGGAATTGGGTGAGCACTGGAAAAATATTGCTCTGAGGAAGTTAAATTCAAATGTCCACTACAGAGGGAAGATTGACTACTAACATTTAGATTAATGTCATGATAATAATGATGAGCACCCTTGCCATTAACCAAAAACTCCTGATTTGATATAGAAGGTGAAATATCAGACAACTGCTTCGAGTCTTCATCAACAGATAATGAGTCATCAACCCTGTTAGTAGACCTTCTACAGCTAGCCTCATCTAATGCTTCAGCAGAATGACATAAAATGTTGCCAGATGTAATCAATTTATTATCTTCATTCTTTACAGAAACCGCTTGCTTGTTTTTTGAAATGTAAGGTTGAGAATGAATGAATGGCAGCACCGATCCTTTGTCATCAAAAACGTCACCATTAGCAATGTATGACAAATTCTGGCAGGCCGGTAAAACATGCCCATTCCCTTCACCTTCCATATGCTGTTGCTTTACATCAGAGAAATCAGTCATTGAGAGCTGTGACACAGACCTATTATCAGTCCCACCCTGAGCATTGAAAATTATCCTACCATTTGAGCACGCACTCTCATTCAAATATTCCACTACTTCACCCTCCTTACTTTCTTCAAACATAAAATTTAAGAAACCAGGCCAATATTGCATTGAGGAATCAGCAAAATGTGCATCATCTCCGTTCATGTAATGAGGTATAACAGAACAAGGATCACTAACATCACTAACAATATCAGAACCATGACAGATGGTAGACTCATTAGAAGTAACATTGTGTGAAGTCATATCTGCATCGAAGGACAAAAAATCCATAGACCTATCTACCTTATTTTCAGGCGCTTCCAGGGTTTCCAAGGTATTAGTTGGAAAATCAACATAATGATCAAACATTAAGTTTGTATTCTCAACAGCAGGGCTGTGCAAAGCATCTGTAATATTCAGTAAACAAGAATCAGCATTTCCACTAAAAATTTCAAAACTGAGCTTTCAAGCAATGATACACAAAAATTTCAAAAATGCACAAGTGAATGACATTGTTTAAGTTTACTTAGGTAGTGGCTAACATACTTTTGTAGTCAAACTCTACTGTAGTATTCTTGAATTGTACACCAGTTTTATTATCCATAAGATCAAAATTCAAATTATCTCCATGATCCAACATATGGTTGCCATCTATCTAAGCAAAACTTGATGCTATACTACAGCTGGGCATCTCAAGCAGAGATATTCCAACCCTCTCTGTACAGGATGCCCCATAACCAATCGCAAACAACTCTTTAAAACTTGCAGAAGATGTTTGGACCCTGAGAACAACCATGCGCAGGGGTCCTAATTTCCCATGATAATCAAATGAACCACCTACAGACCCTGTCCTAGCATTTGAAGCCTCAGAATTATGTCCTAAAAGATCTCCAAAGTAAACCTCGAGGATGATGATTCTTCAAATTTCAAGCAAGAAAATATATAAAAATTCATTATATCAAGAAAAAATTTTTGGCCTAACATGATTCCTCTTTTTGGCCTTTGATACAGCCAACCCAAAGTTATGGGATAAAGCTTAGTTTGTTTTTGTTGATGCATCAAGAAAAAATTTAGAAAAACACTTGTGTAAAGAAAATTTTACCACTCAGAAACTGGATGGCTTCAGGAGCCGAGTCCCCTTGAGACATATTTCTAAGTGATGGATCTTCTGGATTACTCTGCAATTTAACACAGAAAAGTTACACAACCCAATGAAAGAATAGAAAAGAAGATTGAAATTTAATTGAGAAAAGGGAACACAAAAAGCTACGAGATATGAGTTCAATCTTTTATATCCATAAGTTTAAGACTAAAAGCACCGCAAAGTAAATTACAATTTCAGCAACTTAAATGAGATGACTTTGAATTCCAGAATCACAAATTAACGAAGTACTAGGATTTATTAAATTCACAAAAAAAGAAAAAGAGCAGTAGAATCCAGTGGTCCTCAAATAAAATAAATTCCGTTTCATTTGATTTCAATCAAACTATAAAAATCAATGTTCTCATAAAATCAGCTAAAATTAAGCTGTCATTGACTCGTTGCTTGTTACACTACGTGAAGATATAAACTTGTTAGGGTTTTCAATACAGAGTACTTGATCTACACAACAAAATCCTTTTCAAAATTTCACACTTGAGAGTAGGATTCCACCAGAATCTTCACGCACGAAACCCTAAAAAACGGCACCGAATCTAACCGAGAAAAAGTAACTACCTGCGGAGGATCAAAATTCTCTTCAAGAATGCTATTGAAGATGTCGAGATCGATGCATAGACCATCGGCAGCTAAGTCATCGAACTTATAATCAGCCGAGGGATCGCCACTTGGCAATAAACCGGATCTATCGTTATAGTCATCATCCCCCATCATCAACATCAGAAATAAAAGAACAAAACGGAAAACCCTAAATTGCTTTTTTTGGAAACCCTAACCAAAAGCTCTTATAAACCGCGGCCAATTTACCGGAAACAACAAAGGCTTGCGCCCAAACAACCCAAATCGCATCACTTCAACGAAGAAAATAAAGAGAAGTTTCCTAGAAAGTTCGCGTTGGCGGTTTGGAATGAGTTGCGACTTTTTTTTTGTTTTGGAAAATTAAAAAAAAAAGGGCAAGAGAGTCGTGAAGGATTTGATGGCTTTTTTGCGGTTTAAATAGGGATTGGGTTTTGGAGAAAGACTTTTTCGCAGACGATTTTTCCTTTTTAAAAATTAATTTTTTTTTTTTTTAAATATTGTTTGTCTCGGTTTCTTCGATTGAGCGAGAGGGAAGGGAAAACGAAGAAGAAGAGGAAAGACTTGGTGATTCTACGTCGTATTGTCGTTTTCACGTTCGATATTTTTTTGGGGTATTTCGGTGTTTTGAGAAAACAGGAGCTGGCCGAGTTGCTCAAGTCGGTGGGTAATTGAGAGGCGACTTTAACGCGCATGCCTAAAAAGGTCATGGAAAAAGCTTTGAATTTGCATGAAATATATTTCATTTTTATATGGGTTATTAATATTGAGCAAATTAGCTTGTCACAATGATATTTTGCTAAGAGTAATAATGTTTAATTTTTTATTTTCTAAATTAAATTATCAAATTTCTGGCCAAAATAATAAAATTATCGAAATGAATTTAATACATGTAAAAAGAATTAAAGATTAAAGGTTTTAATTTTTTTCTTTAAGCTTTGTATATTTAAAAAAATACACTAATAAGTATGTTCCGTAAATTCCATATATAATACATATTTATTAATAACTACGTAATTTATTTTAAAATTTTAATTTTAATGATTTCAAATGAAAAAATTGTATACATTCGCTTAATCATTCATGCAATCATTCTGATAAATCAAGACATGAAAATTTCATTTTTGTTTTCTCTACTCAACAAAGAAATGAGTGATAAGGAAGTTTCAAAAGATCATATATATTCCATCATTTTTTTTTCCAATCAAAAGAAAACGAGTTTTAATTGTTAAATATTATTATATCATAATAGATAAAGTTTTAACAGTATGTTTAGATTGAACGAAAGGGAAGAAAAGGAAAAGAAAATAATAGAAACAAAAAAAAATTTTTTATTTGAATAAACTTTTAATTTAAAAAAATATATATATGAAAATTCAATAACTTTTGATTTTTCATATAATCTTCATTTTTTTAATACCCAATTTATGGGAAAAGCTAAAGAAATGAAAGCTAAAAAAATTTTATTTTTGTAAAAAAATTATTATATTCAATTTTTTATTAATACAAAAAATCTAGTAAAAAAAACTTAACCACATCATAATTTTTTTGTAATTTTTTTTAAGTCATTTTTTTTTTCAAATAAGTTTCACATGTCTTTTCTAATATAAAATTTTTTTATAATTTTTTGGTGATTTAATTTTGATGAATGATTAAATATGAATAGACATAATTTTTTAAGTTTATGAGATATCAAACTAACTCAAAATTTTTATTTTTATATGTAATATATTATAGTTTGAGATGTCGGTAATTTTATGAGATGTTTCATTGAAACACAATTAACTTGACTATGATTATAAACATATCAATACGCTTCCCACACAAATTTAATTGGTAAATATTAGTTTTATTTTTCTTAGGATGGAAATATTTATTTTTTATTTTAGTAAAATAAATTTATGTTGAACAATTATATGGTGATATGTTATTACTTATTGTTTGGTACAAAAATGACATATAATTCACTCCTATGTAATATTTTTATGTGATTGTATTTCTTATATTTAATAGTTTTTATGTGAATATATCGTCAAAGTGATAATATACTGAAATTTTGATAATGACCAATAAATCCATCAATAAATATTTGTAAAACATCTTATTGTTTCACTTTATTAAAAATCAATGATATAGTAACAATTGCGAGATTAAACAAGATAATAAATATATTATGGTCCAAAAGTATCCTAAAATCACAAGTAATGAAAAATTATAATTTGAAAAAATTATTATAATGAATCATTTATTTTTTTTACACAATTTATCCAAACAGTGTTTATTAGAATTCATTTCATTTCATTTCATTTATTAATTTTAATTATTCAAATAAGGTATACATATATAATTTCATTTCATTTATTTTTCTTTCATTTTTTTTCATTTATTAATATTTATCCAAACACAATGTAAGATTCATAATTGTCATATCATAATAGTTAAGACCTAAAACTTAGAATAAAATTAAATTCCCGAGGTTTATTAATAATATTCACATTACTAATATTTTGATTTGAATAATTTTCTCTGTTAGTTTGCTTCCTTTTTCATGTAAATTACCTCATTACCCAGGTAATCAATTGCGTTCCGAAGGAGTTGAAAAGGCTTTTTACTGATTAAAATTTCATTGAATTTGCGTTTTGGAGGGGTTGGCAGCAAAGCAAAAAAAAACAAAAACGTTGAAGTTGGGTTCCTTAATATGGAAGCAAATGGCAGCAATGAAATAAGTTGAGGCGCACGCACGCGCCACCGAAAGGTAAGTGAGTTTCCGATTTTCCAAAAGAGGAGGAGGAAACTTCCTCCTGCCACACCCTCAATTTCTAATTTTACCTTGGGACGAATTTACTTAGCCTAGGATCACGTGTTTTGTATTCAGACACAAGTTGTTCCCTAGGAGCGACCAAGACTTAAATAAAAGTAGCAAATATTTAAAAAAAAAAAAAAAAACTAACCAAATTCTCGAATAAAAAATAAAGCACATTTGCACTTATCTCATGTGAACTTTACGTAAAGCTGTAAATCAGGAAATGCAGGCGATAAATTTCTCAATTTAAAATATGATATAATAAAATAAAATAATATAAAATAAAAATATCAATATTTTATAATATACATTATTACGATCCACTTTGAAAGCTTTTACTCGTGCTTTAATATACAAAATTTTAAAGTTAGATTCCGACGATTACATAAATAAATCATCGGAGATAAAAAAAAAAAGGGGGGGGGGGCGCGCAAAGATCTGCATGAATCTACTTACTGTTCTGTCCCTCTGGATTTCCATTTTCAACGGCTTAATTAAAGATTCTCGTGAAAAGCATGCATGCCACATCCTTTGAGAAACATTTGTCAAAAACAATAACAAAGATAAAGCCTTTCCACATACCCTTTCTAATTTTTCGTTATAATTGATAAGCACTTTGCTTAAGATTTAATAATTCGTGAATATATTTAATTTTTATTTATTTATATTTTCAAAATTTATTAATTAAATATTTTTTTATTAATTTACATTTTACACCCCTAACTATCGCTGAAATTTCCGCAAAATCCAAGCACAAAAATTTCTCGGAAGGGGAAATTGAGAAACAAGCATCTTTTAGTGGTCCCCCATTTTTTTAAATCTGGCAAGCAACTTATTCCAAAATTTGTTGAAAACTTTGCTTTCTCTTCGTGGGAACTTCTGGGCTTCAAGCAAGTTGTTTTGTGGTGAGAACAGAATAGTAGGTCATTGTTGACTTTCAAAAAAAAAAAAAGGACAAAAGAAAGTTAGAGCAAGTTGTGTTTTTAATGCAAACAATGAGGGGTTTGGTTACGTCGTGTGACTTTTTGGCAGCAATAATATCAAATGGTTGGTCCAAAAGCATTAACACAATTGTTTATTAATAAACCTTACTTTGATAGCTGCAGATTTAATCTAATCCGATTAGCTATGAGATGTACTGGAAAATATCTTGAACAAAGCATGGTAAGAAAGAATTATCTTATTAAGATGGGTATTGGGCTTAACAAAGGCCCATCGACCAAGAGATCCAGAGTTAACGGACTGAAAAGAACGAAAATATATGAAAGCCTAAAACTCATGTCTTAACAACGTAGGTTAAGGCCCATCAGCCTCCAACCAAAGCCAATCCGTTTAAACCGATTTTTTTTTCTTTTTCATTGAAAGAACCCGGCCGGAAGCAAGCCGGAAGCAATGATGAACCAGAGCAGCAAAACATAAAACGGGGATAGGGATCTTAGCAAGAACTCTTTGGAAACCTAAATAACCCTTTTTTTTTTTTCATATAATACGTAATTGTTACAATTTCAGTTATTTCTAAATCCATCTCTCTACGGTATTTCCTTTTCCTAATTTCAGCAAGATTAGGGTTTTTCTTTTCTTGTTAACTAATTGTTCGGTGGAGTTTGGAGATGAAAAAGTTAAAATCTTTTTAATGTGAAAATTTAGGGTTTTTGTTTTTTCTGATATAATTTTCTTTATAAGGTTTGGGTAAACAAATGGGAGTGAAGGTGGAGCAATGATGCCACTATTCTGGATTGTTAGTCGTCAGCTAGCTGAAATCGCAGAACAAATGGTATTTTTCTTTTGGTTTTTATAATTAATCTTGATTTGATAAATTGGGATAATTTGATCACTGGTTTTTATTCTTTTAAGAATTTGAAGTTGTTTAATTTTTAGCTGAAAAGTTAATTCAAAGTTAGCTATACATTTGGGTATTGTTGAAGCAATGAAATCTTTAATCTTGATAAAGAAAATTTTAACTTCAGCTAGTCGTGTTTTTCTGCTTTTAAATTGTCAGCATTTTATTTGTATTGAAATATGCATGAGAACCATGATAGATTGCCTTTAAACGGAATATTGAAGGCATTGGAGAAATAGTTTATGGGTTGGAGTGTATTTATGTTTCGAATTGTTTCCTTGACAGGCTACCTCAAAGAAAGTGATTACACGGGAAGAGTGGGAAAAGAGATTGAATGATGTTAAAATCAGAAAAGAAGACATGAATAAATTGGTGATGAATTTTCTTGTTACTGAGGGTTATGTTGAAGTTGCTGAAAAATTCCGGATGGAATCTGGAACCCAGCGTATCCTACAAAGAAAATAAATGCTTATTCTTGTGCTCCGTTATTGGTTTTCTTAAACTATGTTTTATTTTCCTTATCACGGAATAGCAGATATTGATCTTGCAACAATCACGGATCGCATGGCTGTTAAAAAGGCTGTACAATGTGGAAATGTTGAGGACGCGATTGAGAAAGTTAATGATTTAAATCCCGAGGTAGGATGTTTGATTACAATGTGATGAGCTCTCTAACTACTAAATTTTCTGTTTGATTACTTATAATGTTAAACTATTCAGTTACTTGTTCAAAGGATCACAGGATCTGTTTCCTATCATTGATTCATTGGTACTATACATCTTTACTTCCACTAGTCTCTATGAAAATCTAAATTTGTCTTATGAATGTAATGGAAGAAGTAATAATGTGCTGAAAGGGACATGTCACTGTTGTATTTTTTTCAATTTTGTACTAATGAAACTGGGATGATTTTATATTCCATGATATCTTGCTTTAGCCAGAGCTAGATCAACTATTAGGAAATCCTTTATTAGGACCTTGTTGTACTTCCAGGGAGAGTCGTGTTTCTTAGTTGTTTGTCATCAACCATGGTATTGATAGAAGTTGGGTGTTAAAAAGGGCCACTCTTATATTTAATTATTTTGATTGGAAATGACTAACTCCATATTTACTGGTGGCTAAGTGATGTTGGAAATCTTTCACCAGGGTGGAGGAACTCTTTTCAGATATGAATATATTTCTGATACTTGCTGTAAAGGAAAATAAACGTCATACTACTCTTTTGAAAATATCTTCACTTTTTGAAATTCATTTTGTTGCAGATATTGGATACAAACCCCCAAATCTTTTTCCATCTCCAACAGCAGAGACTGATAGAATTGATTAGGAATGGAAAAGTGGAAGAAGCCCTGGAGTTTGCCCAGGAGGAGCTTGCACCTAGGGGAGAAGAAAATGTAACTTTTCGTCATTAATGCATGAGAACTTTCTTATGCATACTCGTTTTGCTTCTTAACATTTTGTACATTTAACAAGCATTAATCAGTTGTTGCTAATACTTGGATCTAAGATCACAATTTTTTTTTTCTGCAGCAAAGCTTTTTAGAAGAGTTGGAGAGGACTGTTTCCCTCCTTGCTTTTGAAGATGTTTCAAACTGCCCAGTAGGAGAGCTTCTGGACATGTCACAGCGCCTTAAGACAGCAAGTGAGGTGAATGCAGCCATTCTTACCAGCCAGAGTCATGAAAAAGGTTTGTGTGCTGGTCTTTTTCATTTTATATTTATCTACTTTTGGGGAGCAGATGACCGATTGTTTGCAAGTTAGTATACCTAGTCATTAAAGAGGTTTGACCTTCCTGCCTTGGTACCGCAACAATGTTTTAGCAACTTACTTGGTACCAACTTTTCTAGGCTTTATCATAATGTTCTATGGGGTTGGAACTTTTAAATCTGATCGTGTATTTCTCTTCTAGATCACCTTCCAATTTTATGCACAACCCACTTAGTCCTTTACAAGTCTGGCCTTAATACCTTATTATTGATCAACAAATAAAGAAGAATGCAAATGTTTTCCGTGTAGCATCATCCTAGAAATACTTTACCAATCAATTGGCATTTTATTTGCCATCCTTTCTTTAATTCTTGTGTCAGCAATAAAATATTAGTTTTCTTTTAGTGGTAAGTGGCAACATTCATGCAGCTACCATGTGACTTATTTATCTGTTTGTCCTTCAGCTGAATACTGTCATCATTAAATTGAATATAGTGCCTAGTATGTACAAAGTATACAAGAAATGGTCAAAGAAGCCTTTCTGTGCTCTTGTGTGATTTAGAAGGCATCAATAATCAGATCCTGACGTATTTTGGTTACAGAATTTCTTAAATTTGGAGGGTAAGTGTCAAAATTGTGCATCAAATCTCTACCTATTTTGGTCCAAATAACTTTTTGATGTTCAACAAGCAAAGAAGATTTCTGTGATTGCTGTGCTATGCCAATTTCTTTTTAAATTCCAACCGTTTACTTAAGTTGATACCCGCATGTCTGGGTTTGATTTAAAATTTGAGATTATTTCTTCCATCCTCGAGAATTAATAAGATTTGCTTAACCTGCTTGCTGGATTACAGACCCAAAGCTTCCAAGCTTGCTAAAGATGCTGATATGGGCTCAGAATCAACTGGATGAAAAGGCTGCTTATCCTCGCATAAATGACTTGTTAAACGCCACACTTGAAGATCCTGCAGTATGAAAGGTTTGCGAGTCATTGTGGGGGAATCAAGTTGTCTTGGATTGACCAGAGATAGAGCTGAACGGAATGAAGTGTTATGCTTGTATCCTCTTCACAGGGACTGTAGCTAGGAATTTGTTGGATGTCATTTGTTAATATGTGATTGGTGTTTATTTTCATTTTAGAAGAATTTAGTTGTCTTTGTGGTTGGTGATTACTTTGTTTTTAGGTGAAGCCAGTGCCCTTGTAAAATTGATGATCATGCATTCATCCCTTCAAAAGGGGATTCCATTCGACAATTTGAAGCAAAAAATAGAAAAAGCTCGAAGCTTTGTTGTTATTGCTATGTTTACCCTCCTTTCTAGTTCTTCCATATTCAAGCTCTCTCATCTCATTGGCATTGCCAATTGAAATCAAGCGTAACCAACAGATACGGTGCAAATAGCCGGTTCAGCGGCCATGCAACAAGTATAAATCAACACGTCCATTTATGTCTGCTAAACTGTCTTGCATGTGAATTCGTTACCATAAAATGAGTTTGAAAGATGGGAGGACGAAAATCTGCCATAGAGAGAGCAAAAGAACAAGAAGGATGAAAATGTAAATTATTGAAAGAGCAAATCTTCTTAACAAAATACTCGTTTAACGTCCAACCGAAAACAATAACGACAAGCTTTAACTCTTCTGCTTTCTACTGGACAGAATGAACAAAGAAAGAACATAAAAAACAAAATATTGATTTAGGATTTTATACAAAGAACATAAACCCACATGATATTCTTGCACTCTGAATCTGAACAATCCTGAAATCGAGCAAGTTCGATTGTATTTGCTCGTATACCCGAATCGTAAAAACCATCATCAAAATTGAGAGCATAACTGGAAGGATCATACTGGAACTTGAACTGTTGTTTGCTCCTACTCTTCACAGCTTTCTTCAATGCTGCTTTCACTCTCCAAAACAGACTTCTGCATTGCTTCTTACCATAGCTATTCACCCATTCCAACCTTCCCATGAAATCGACATATGCTCCCATTTTTCCTCTTATTAGAAGCAAAACTCAGTGACCCTTTAGGCTAAAATGTATAGAAAGATGAGGAGAAAGAGCAAGAGAGGAGGCTTTTTATAAAGGAGAAGCAGAATAGTTTGCAATCCAGTTATGATGCAGAAGAAAAATGAAAGAACAAAAAGACAACAAAGAAAGACTTCAAAAACTTTTGAATAGGAGAGCTGAGGTAAACAGGAACGGAAAAAGAAAAATGAAAGTGGGTGCTGACTACAGACTACAGACTACAACAGAGTGAAATTTTTTTGGTCTTTCAAATAAGCTGCGCAGCTTCACTTGCAATCTCAAAAGCAAAACTGCTTTCTTTGAAATTACATTGGGATGCTAAAATTCCATCCAAAAGCAAGAGAGAGAGAGGAAGAAAAAAAAAAAGGGGTTACAGTGGGCAGAGAGCCTTCCCTATAGTCGTAGTATCACCATCAGATACGTTTGCTTTCCATCGAGAGGCATCTTTGATTCAACAACCTCATTAGTTCTCAATCTTTTCACTTTTAAGCTCTGTCTAAGTTTCTTGAGGTCCCCTCTTTGTTTTTACTAAACCTTGCTATAGTAGATTTTTTTGGTAATATTTGTTTATATCTTCAAACTTAAATTTCTATTTTAATAGTTGATGTGATTCAATTTTGTAAACCATCTAATGAAAATGTCATTCACTTTCTTAAATTTTTACATATCCCTAACCAAAACTATGGTGGACACTGAATAGAATTGGGACCATTGGCCAGTTTTGCCAGCTGCTGTGCTGTATTGAAATGTCCAAGCTAACCTAATCGCTATCAGATTCTTCTTGGCCCTTAGTATAAACATCATTGAACAACCTGGTTAACCAACAAGCCAAGGACTACAATGAATGAAGCAAAATTCATTCCTCTTCCTTTCTTGTTCTCTTCTTGTACCATGTTTGAGTGAGCAAATAATAAAATTGATCAGTCTGGTTAACGGATGCCTATAAGCACTAGTTAAAGATAGTCAAAATTCTTTTTCCGAAAAAATTTTCTAGATTTAATACACTATTTTTTTATCAACTCAATATGAGACAATGTCATTAGACACCAATTAACATTACATAATTTTATCCATCCAATTTGAGAATTTTTCATAAGATGAAGTTAGTAAATTTTTTATATTTCTTTTGATCTAGAAATATTACATTTATCTTCCTGCTCATCAAATCCATTCCCCAAAATTTCTTTCATTGGCCCTGAAATGGTCATCGGTTAAAGATTGTTGCAGGCAGTTAAATTATAAATAGAATGCAACTTGGTTTAGTACCTTACAAAATCACTCAACGGACTTGGATCTGAATGGACCCCAAAGTCTAATGTCCAGTTACTTTCATATCAAGCACATATCAAATGCATCCAAAAACAATTCCAAGGCCAAAGGTGAACAAAGCTGCAATATAACTCGACAGTGATCGATCATAATCACAGTACCCTTTTATAGTTTTTTCGACCCTAGAAGCTTGAGGCAATGAGGCTCTTTTGCATGATCTTATTGGCTTCTTTTTGTCTTCATCTTCGAAGCCCTTTTATATATTCTCAGTAAATTCCCTTTTGTCTCATCAATGCTGTTTCCCGTTTTGGTTTTTTACTGTTGGCTCTTGTGGAAATTGCTGGTCCCCTGTAAGACTCAGATGAATGTCATTCTAAGCCAACAGGGCAATGTTGGTCCCAAGTTTTGGCACCAATCTCTCTATAAACTATTCTATTTCCTGGTTATGGGCTTAGCTTATGGCCATTCCTGTTGATTGGGGTTTTAAAGTGTCAGGTTTTCGTCATATGGCAATATCTTCAAGTTCGGTTCATGTTCTCAACTGGAAAGTTTGTGATTGGTAAATCCCCTTTTTTGATCAATGGACTCTTGGGGAGTTAGATTAGGAATGGAGTGTTAGAATTACCCTAAGGGAGCCAACTTTAGAAAGTAGAAACTATGAAACTATGTAATATAACAATATGCAAAGCCAAAACTATTCATTCAATGATAAGCTGTCAGCTCAGTCATTCCCATCTCTCAAAATTAGCTGGATTTTCTTGTAAGCGTGCTATCGCTTTCTTTTTTTGATGGTGCTTCCTCATGTGCCTTTTCAGGATTGCTCTGCAACAAACTAGTCCTAGTAGTATTTATGCTATGTATGAGCATCTCGAATAGATATTTCGTTATTTTTGGCCTCATATCAATTTCATTCTGTCTGGAAGGTCGTTGGGCACAATTATTGACTTGAAAACTACCAAACTTGGTCTGTCATTGATACTTTTTTTTTTCATTGATTGTTTTGTTCGGAGTTGTGCACATTTACAACCACATAGCACCTCAGAGAAATTGGAACCCCATACATTGGCGTCATGCTGATGAAAAATATACGTATAAGCTTGCTCCCAAAGAAGTACCAGTTCAAACTTGGGAAAAAAGGGCTTTTCCCATGGACGAGGGCTTTTCCAATGGATGTGGTTACCCTTGCAGGATTTTCTTTTTCAAGATATGAATTTGGGTTTAGGACTTGTCTATGTCTGTTGTCAAAGTTCTAAATACTTAGTATTTCATATTCATATTTATCTGAAGAAATAGTAAGTTTCATTAAAAAAGAGAAAAAAAAAATCATAAAACTGTTTTTTAATGAGCGTATATCAACAGGTATTGGCTCAGTAAGGAGCAGTCCATTGACTTTGACAAAACTGCATTGGTAGTTTGATTTGTCACAAGTCACATGCCATGGTTTCAGTCTGTTGCCTTAAAACAACAAAAAGATAAAAACAAAGCCTAATGTTCTCACTTCTCAAATCAATATACAGATAAAAGCAGATAAAAGATATTCCTCCTACTGGTATAGTAAAAGATATAAGATCAGATCCCAGGAGCATGCCATCAATATATAAAAGAAATTTTTAATCACTTCATTGGCATGAAGTGAAGGATATTTCTTGATAAGCAAACCTAAGGCCTAAAACAAAGTATATACTGGCTTAATGAGAGCAAAAGTATGAGATTCCAGAAGTTGTATCTTGTAGCAGTATCTCATATGGATTTGCTCCCTACTCCTTTTTTTTCAGTTCTTTTTTTCCCAAATTTACTGTGGGTTCCAAAGCATATGCTTGGTCTTACTATTAGTCATATGTGTGTTCATTGTTGAAATGTTCAGATTTTTCAACAAAATCTTTTGTTGAAAAAACAAATGTTTAGATCTTGGTAGATCTGAGGATAATCCTGACAGTATTATAAAAAAATAATGCACTTGAAATTACTAGAAACTGCTTTATGCCTAAAATATACTGGGTGGCTGAAAGTAGAGATGGAAGAAAGGGAGAGAATATATGGACAGAATAGAAATCTAGGTTTGGTGATGGAAAAGAATGGGTTGGTGCCACTGATTCTTGTTTTATTCTTTCTGGTAAAAAAAAATGTCGAGTAAGTCTGATAACTTTAAATCCCACTGTAGAATATTGACCTTCACTAAAATTATGACTAAATTCATTGATGTTCATAGTTTCAGAAATGGATTAACAAGCCTGAAATGGTTGACTCACTACTGAAACTTAGATGCCTAGAAACATTTGTTACACAACAGCCCCCAAGCTCCAAATTTGATTGATCATAGCTTAAACAAGGCTATAAGCCAATAACTATATTCAAGTATATTCAAGTCATAGAAAACTACGGAGATGTTCCGGCACATAACAAACGATGCAACAGACAACAGCCTACCAAAAACATTCAATCAAATATTTGATCAAAACATGAACAAGAAGAACTCTAGGTATTATCTCCCAATGCTTGGATGATACGCACCCTCCATCCTAAATTCTTAGTCGATGCCTACATACTCAAAATTCTTGTGTTATCCGCCATGCTTTTTTTTTTCTTTCTATATCTTGCTCTAAGCTTTACATTAAATCTTCCCATTTGACATTGAAACAACCATAAGAACCCGTTTTAGGCCTATCACCTTCCCCTACTACTCCAATGGTTTCACTACCTTCTCCGCCACGACCCATAACACCACCGCCTTCACCTGAATACAACCGTTCTGGCTATCGCGTTCTGGTGGCTTTTTGTCCTAAAGAGGCAGGGCCTGATGCTAACATTTTTAACTGTATACAGAGTTACAATCCCTCTAACAACACATGGAGTCATGTCAGCTTAATTCCAGACCTACTCGAAAACCATGTCTTGAAAGGTTTTGCTATGGTTTCTCTAGGAGAGTCGATTTACATTATTGGTGGGAGGTTATGGAACAAAGGGAGGCCTCCAAATTCAAGCGAATCCGTTGAATTTGTCGATGTTGGTGCCGAAGTGTCACCTTTAGTATTACGTTACAATGTTCGATTGGACCAATGGTCCAAATGTGCGCCATTAGGCACACCACGATACGATTTTGCTTGTACTGTTTGTGACAATAAAATTTATGTGGCAGGAGGGAAGTCCAATTTGGCTAGTACTAGAGGAATTTCATCGGCTGAGGTGTATGATCCTGCTCTTGATGAATGGACCCAATTGCCGAGCATGAGCACTTTGAGATACAAAGGTGTTGCGGTGACTTGGCAGGGGAAAATCTACGTGGTGGGTGGTTTTGCAGAAAGAGGAGATTCGGATCTAAACATGCTGACATTTTCTCCACAGCGTAGCTCTGCTGAGGTGTTCGACACACGAGCAGGAAGATGGGACCTCGTGGCAGGGATGTGGCAGCTGGATGTACCACCAAATCAAATCGTTGCAGTGGATGACAAGTTGTTTAGCTCTGGGGACTGCCTCAAGACCTGGAAAGGTCACATTGAGTTCTATGATGGAAAACTGAACATGTGGGATGAAGTGGATGGATCTCGTTTCCAAACTCTTAATCCACCACTCTCCACAATAGGTGCCAATAATGAAAATTGGCCTCCAATGGAACGGCTTTACTTAACAATGGCACCAATTGGAACCCATTTATATTTCTTGGCGGGGTATCGGATGGCAGGTGAATCATCCCGAACACTTTCAGTGGTCTTTATATTTGATACATCAGCAACGGTTGATGCGTGGAAGATCTTAGAACCAAAGGAGGAAGAAGGTGTAAAAGAGCTATGCAGTCATTGTTGTGTCGTTCAACTCCCGTAAGCAGTCCAACCATCGCAAAGATCTTACTTTGGTTAGGTTGGTTATACTGCATAAGGTATTTCTTAATTGATGATATGTACTACCTACCTTGGTTGCCTTGTTTGGATGGTGAACTAGTATGTCTGAGTAGCATATGTTATAACAAATAAGCAACTACTAGTTTCACCACTCATAAAAGAGAATTTTTGGATTCCTGAAAATTTTTTTATTTACAAGGTTTGCATTGATTGATTTATGTGAGATAAACAGAAGAAGGAAAAATATTGTGTGACAGCATTTTGATGATGTTTGTCCAAACTAGAAAGAAACCAATGACCTTTCTCCCTTTCTGATTTACCAAAGTTGACAGGGGTTTAATCAAATCATATTTTAGAATTACATTAATCCTTATAAATATTGTTCTTTTTCATATATTTAAGCAATAAATGATGCTGCTTTCTAACTGGGCCCATATCAAATGAATAAAATTTTCAATTTTGCAAGCTTTTGCCAGACACCTCAGGTCGTGGAATGAAAAAGCCCAAATGGTCAAATATAAGATCTTGTTGAATGCAAAAAAAGGAGATGGGTCAATTTAAAATTAGCCATAGGCCTGCAAACCTCAAAAGAGGGAAGCCCAATCCCATGTCATCAAGTGCTCAAGATCCAAGAGCATCATTTCACTACAGCTTTTTCTCTCCTCAAAAGAAGAGACAGTACACCAATCAGGCCAACCAATAAACGAACGTAAAGGGTCCTTTCACGTGAGACTTGAGCTTAGCCAACTTAGCAAAAGACACCATGCGCCTTCCTGATCCTGACCCTGACCCTGACCCTTCATGACCCAGGGCATGCGGCCGGTACCCTTTGCTAATTATTTGGTCAATGCCTTGCTTGAGCGCAGGAATAAGCGATCAGAATTTTTAATGAATCGTTAGATAATATATTCAGTTTTTATTTATTTAAATTTATTTATTAAATATAATAAATAATTTTAAATATTATTTATATATTTTATTTATTAAATAAATCAAACACAAATAATTATTTATTCATTCATTTATATTTACAAATAAATTTATTTAAGATTCATTTAAAATTTATTCATTTATTATTTATTTATAATAATATTAATAAAATTATGTTTTTATCTATTACTTTAATATTATTTTAAAATTCATTTATATTCAATTAAAATATATTTGTTAGTTTAAATTTATTTGATTATAATTTATTTATTATTTATGAATATATTTATTTATATATATTTATGAATATATTTATTTAATATTTAAAAATAAATTTATTTAATTTTATTTGAATATAAATAAATTATGAGTAATTTATTATTTAAATAAAAAAATAAACGAATAAAATAATTTTATTAACAAACACAAATTAAACACAAAAATATTTAAAAATAATAAACTCATTTATTTGTATTCAATTTGTTTACAATCTTATTAATACGTTATCACACGTGTGATGGTACAGTGCACGCGTGAGAAATTTTTAAGTTTTAACAATGCTTGACCCATTTGACTTTGACCCCCTGCTAATACCAAAATCAACGGCCAAGATCAAACAGAGTGAACAAGTAATCTGAACCGTTAAAATAAGGGACAATCTCGAGAATTTGGATGTCCACATGTTGGTTAGAGCCTGTAAAGGCCGACAGATGCAGCCTGATGTGTCGGATTTGTTACGGGAAAGAGAGAGTGAGGCTTTGCTTAGGCAAAATTTATCCCCTTTATTAATCCCTTTTCCAAGTAGGAGCTTTTTCTTTTTAAGGGATGCACCTTGTGTGCCACGTGGCTGGAAGGGCGGGCGTGACACCTGGAAGGAAGGCCCATCTAGGACCAGGGTGAGTCCCACTTCAACTTCCAAGCCTTCAAGGAGGTTGGGGGGACAAGGGCGCAGAACCCGACACGATACATGTGAAGGGTTACTGAAAATTGGGTTCGTAAATGGGGGTTTCATGGGCTAACCATTTACCCTATGGTTGGACGGACATTAATAAATAAAAATATAATGAAAACAATAATAAAATAAAATTTTTAAAAGAAAAGAAGGGATATTTGTGTTTATTTTTTTTGCTTGTGTATTTCTTGTTTGAATAGTTAAAATGAATAAAAAATTTTAATAATTATTATTTGGTTGAAGAGTGAAAAAAAATTTTATTTAAATTTTTTAGATTATATTCTTTTTAAATAAAATATTTTATTTATTACATGAATAATTTAAAAATTAATTGTTTAAGTAAAAAAAGAAAAGAATTCAATAAAAGAGAGATTTTTATTAATCCATATAAAAGAATGTATATTTGAAAATATATTTATATTTTCTAAAAATTAATTCTAATAAAAAATTCAAGAATTTAAATATGTATTAGTAAATAAAATTAATTATGAACTTGTATTAGTATTTTCTTGCAAATTTAACAAGTTTCATTCATTTAGATATAATTTCTCCAATTATATGTGTTTTTTTATATACATGTTTTTTTCTTGAATTTGTGAAATAGTAATAAAATATCAAAAAAATAGAAGGTTCTAGCTTAAATTAAAAAAAAATAAAAGATATAAAAAAAATAAAGTAGTGAGACGGATTTAGGTGAATAAAAAAGAAATATTAATTTTCAATTATTTATCAACAAAATTTTTATTTAACATAAAATTGATTTAATATTTTTTTAATTATTTATTAATTTTATAAATATCAAATAAACTAATTTTTTATTATATATTAATTTTAATAATTAATTTTTCATTATATTTTATCTCACTAATACGATAATTAATCTTACCAATAATACTAAATGTTATTATTATAATAATTAATCTCATCTTTTCACTATTGTTTTTAATATCATTAAATTAATTTTACGGTTAAATCAAATGAACCTTTGGCAATGACCGTCCACCCACGGTGGGGTGAAGACGCCACTGCAACTTCCCTAATCAGTAGATTGTTTAACAGATGCTGCTGATTCCTCAATTATTTGATGGGGGCTTCATATTGTTGTTGGCTATTGGCTAATGGCTATGCCTTCTAATAAATTGGCATGTTTACAACATGAACTTACCTTTATGCAATTTTGCATCATCTCATCAACTAAAAAGCCAATTTTTTTTGGTTACGAAAAAGCATGAAAACAAGCAAATGATCATCTGATTGGATAAAACATGAAAGGCATTCAAATTCAATTGAAATTTAGTTTGGCTAGCCCAGCTATGATTCTTGTCCTAGGAGGATTCAACAAGAAGGAGCTGCGAACTAATGATGTGTAATGCCATGTTGGACCACAAAAACTGCAATGTCGGATGCACTATCGCCACAAAGCCTGGGGGTCTTCAGGGACCACTTTTCCGAGTTGCCCTTTTCAAGATTGAAGAAGAAAGAAGAGAAAAAGAGATGTTACTTTTGTTTTCATGATTTTATATCGGTTCTCATGTTGTAAGCTGTTGCGCTTCTCTCTCTCCCTCTCTCTTTCATTCTGTCTGTATCACTGCAATTCTTGCTTTGGACTCTAGCATTCTTCAACTTCTCACATCAATGCTTCCAATAATTTCATAAATACCCCTCTCCTGGAGAGTAATGACAACTTGAAAGAAGATGTACTTTAGTAATTTAAATGGAAGTTTAAGGCAATAAACCAAGCAAACTAAGGTTTTCTTATGGGGGCCTTGGCCCCTGAAGTGAAACAAACTAAAAAAAAAAGAGAAAAAGGGAAAATTTTTTATACCTGGCAATGGCCCATGACATAACTCAGTGTTTTAATCTGTCTCCAAAACCTGTAATAATCATTTGATGGAGTGTACTGTTGAAAGGGAAAATGGAAAAGAAAGGATTATCATACTTATTTTCCTTTGGATCTGCTGGACATTTTTATGCTTTGATAGCAACTCTTGATGGGGGAAGCTCATATCTTTTAATCTTGCATGTTGGATGTCCTGTTGCAGTCTTTCTTTCCAATCAAAAAAGGTATTATATGGATAAAAAATGATAAAATGCTAGGCATGATGGCGAAGCTGGTCAAATTATTTGGATGGAAAGAATGCTCGATTGAACAGGATTTTGATCAAAGCATTTGTTTCTTCAACATGAAATTTTGTCATAAAATTAATCAAGAGAGAGAAAGAGAGGTCACTTTCGACACTTAAATTTGCCTCTCAGTCCAAAGAAAAAAGAAACTTGAATTTGCAAATGCCCAGAATTTTATTTGTTCTTCTACCAACAATTAAAAAGCATAAAAATTACAAGTAGTACCAGTAGCGGTAATAAGAAATAGAAAAGCCTCTCCAAATACTTTTTTTAACCCCCAGGTCACCTCCATATAAAGATAGCCCACATGCTCCTCCCTTTTACTCTCTTCTCTCTGCTCTCTCTTGCAAAGCCCCTAACCTAACCAGTTTAAGTACTCCACGAAGCTTTGATTCCGGTGTAAAAGCCTAAGTACTGCCATAACTTTTAACACTATCAAAAACCATCTCTCTCTTACGAAGAGTTAAGTGATGCGAGCTGAGTGAGAGCTAAAACTTCTTTTTTTTTTTCACTGCTGAAAAAATGGGACAAGAAGAAAGCTACTTCTATAGTTGGCCACCGGTAGGAGCTCCATTGAATGCACAAAGAGAGGACCACTGGAGACATTTTGACAACTATGTCAATTCGGTGTCCTTTGGTTTTGTTGCTACTGCCATTTTCATCTCCATGTTCTTAGTCATGGGCATCTTTGAACGCTTTCTTAGACCCAACTCATCCCCTGATGGTCGTAACCGTGGTGACCTTGAATCTCAGCTTAGTTTCAATGGCAAGCTCAGCCAACCAGCACCAAAAGTGAGTCACCCTTTTGTTTCTACATCTGGGATTTCTTCAGTTTTGTTCAAAGTTTCCTTTTTTTTTTTTTTTGGAATTTGATTGTTTAGCATGATATCCTTGGGGGAGGGGGGGGGGTTAAAGGTGGTTACTTTGCCTTACATGGTTACCGTTGTTTAATCTGACGCTTAAAGGAACAATCTTTTTTCTTCATTTTTGAAGGTTTGGGTTGCTTTATTTTCTTTTCTGAAAACAGTAGTAATTCTTATCTGACCTGACGTAAAGCTTCTGTACATCATACATTTTGTATAGCAGAATAGCAGGCAAATCCTTCCTTTTGGCTAAGCTAAAACTTGTTTGCTTCGTCAGTGATATACATTTCTTGTAAATTGTACTTCTAGTACTTTTAATCATGTTATAGATACTTAATTAGCTATGAATATCTTCACATTCTTTTCTTTAGGCGAAAGAGAAATTGTCGACATTTTTTCTTCTTTCTGCTCGCTTGTCTGATCTCAATGTTTAAGCTTTCTCTTTGAAGTTTGTTCCTCTTTTCCTCCGTCCTCTTTTTCACTTCGCTTGATGCCCATTTTCTATGAATAGTATTTCTTATCAACTGTAGGCTGTGGCCCTTGGCTTCTCTTTTTGTCTTGGGGACCATCCCTTCTCCTTTTCAGCTAGTCATCTACTGAATCTACCTTTGGATTATGTGTTCTCTCTTTGGATTTTCTTTATGGGTTATTGCTAACTGCTTCAAACAATTATATTGGTCAGTTATTTCTTTTTTAACTATAAAGTTATCCAATGAGAGCTTAATTTTCTGTAAATTTGACGTCTCATGACATAAAGCATCTCATTTGCTTTAATTTTCTTTCTTCCTTGCAATTGCTAATTTGCTTCTTTTAGTCAAAAGTTTCATCATTTTTTGGAGCCTGTCAAAACTGTGGTGACGTTGTATTTATGATCGTTTAGGCAATGGTCCATCTAAGAAGTGAAGGATCAGCCGAAGTTGAATGGTTGGTCCCGGTCCAAAGAGTCTAACAAATAGATGTAATTGTTTGTGTTTGGACCCACCATTTTACATGTTGGTCATGGGACTTAACAGTGTCAATCTTTCTGTTGCCGCCCATGTCCGGTACCTCGGATTGGGAACAAATGGTCAACCTTAGTGGACAAGCTTCAGTTGATTGTCTTCTTATTTTCAGCTCTTAATGTGCTTTCTTTAAGCTTCATTATGATAATTGACCCATGGATTCTGTGGATAATGAGATTACGCGTGGTGCACTTTCATCATGGGAGATATAAGGCAACTTAGATTAACTATCTCAGTTTAGGTTAATTTTTTCCAAAGGTATCCTAGGAGTGATCCTGCATCTTGCGACACATCTGTAGTCTACTCTACTTTGTTCCATGGCTTTTGATGTAGAAGCTAGGCTCGCCTACTTACAGTTTCAAACCTATTTTTCCATTTTAGGATTATATTCTGTGGGATGATCATGTAAAGGGTGTTTTCCCTAAATTATGCAATGCTTATTTCTAATCTCTGTGATATTAAGTTGTGTTTAATTAGAAGCAGGTTCAAAACCTTCTAAATGGTTCAATCTAGCCAACTATGGCATGTTATAGAATGTCCATGGAATCCTGCTGGTGATAGGTCTAAATCAATTCACAGGATACACCTGATTTTGTGCTTAAGGATGCATGCTCGCACCCTGGTATCTTGAGACATAATGTCCCAACTAAAGTTTTGAGTAGCACCTGTTGGGGGAGATCGAAATTGTTTAGTTGAGAGTTGGAAATTAATAGTTAGTTGCATTTGAGAGCCAAATCTGCTAGGAGGCTACCTCTATTCAACAAACAAGATACATTATAGTTGATGTGAGCTACTTATCCTGCTCAATGGCAATTACGGAAAAGAATTAACTATAGAAACAGATGATTTGTAAGGCCATAACATAATGTGTAATTAATTATCAAAAATTTTGTCAAATTATGAACCAATTTGAGAAAACTTGAGGGGAAATTGATAAGCAACTTAGAAGGCTCCTCTAAGTTCTTGTAGTCTTATGTTTGATGCTGTCTGATTCAAATAACTAATTTTTGTAGTTCTACTATTTGTTAATATAATTAAAACATCACTTCTGCATTATTAGTAATTTTGAGTTTTGTCCATTTTTGCTTTTCCTAAGCCAGAGGTGATTTGCTATATTATGTCCATATCACGACAACCAGGTAGGTCGTCAGTCTGTGACTGTAAGGTAGTAAGGTCCATGTTTCATTACCAAGGATGCTTTCCTGGAAGCTGTCTACTAGGTGGTTTTATTCAGTATAAACTTCTTATGCAGCTCCTTTCCCCTTATTCTTTGTGCATGATTTTGAGGCTGAGGGTTCTTCTTGTTCTTATTCGTTTGTTTATGTTGTTGCAAGTACCTTCTTTTTTCTAATTCGCCTAAATTATTGTTCATCTCCTACACTAGAACTATCATATGAAAACTTTCAACTTCTAGAGAAATTTCAATGAGTATACATCAAGACTATGATTGATATGCTGGTGCACTGATCTGCAATGAGCCTCGGCAAGGTTTGGCATACAATTCACTCATCCCAGGTTGCATCCTTGACATTTGTTGTTTGTGTTGCTTTTGCATGAGAATCAGTTACTGCTTCTCTTATATATGATTTCTCGGTAGAACTATTATCAGAGCATTTCATTTGGTTTTGTTAATGTGACATGGATTTTGGTGTAATGTTTTTCTGTAAGTTTTTTAGTTGTAGGAATTATGGAACACAGTACTCTTTTATTGTCCTAGAAAACATTCTTAATCTCGATTGGAAAGTCATATAAAGGTAATTTACTTTGTGCAGATGACGACATACACCAGTGGAGTTTCAGTATTAATGCCGGGGGATGAGATTCCTACTTTCATTGCACACCCAGCTCCAGTCCCGTCCCCCAGAACGCCCTTCAATGCCTCAAACTCCCCCATAAACAACACAACTCATCAGTCAATCCTGCCTCAAGCTCCCCCATAAACATTAATGCTAGTTCAGTAGGAGAAAGCTAAAACTGAGAAATAGAACTGCATATGCTACACCAAACAATGATCATTACTACTCTCTAGCAGGAGGCTTTCTATGAACAAGCAAGACTGTATAATTTGGATCAGAGTTGCCCTTTTTTCGCTTCTCGGCCATTAGATCGTGATGTTGTGTATATAGAAATAGTTTTTGGCGGGCTGGCTGGCTTTGGCTTAAATTGCCTTTCTGTCAAGTCTCCACCATTTCATGTTTAAAATGTTTGGAGATAGTGCCTTGGATCTGAAGATGGTTTGGATTGGCCATCAAATGGATCATTTTACATGTAAAAATTTGATGCCTATTATATAATTGTTGTTTGAGAATATGGAAAATCTGTTTCAAGAGCAATTTGTTAGAGGTGGTTAGAAATTAATATAAAACTGTGAATATGAACCTCTACATTTCCACTACACCCTGTGGTTCTGCGTAGAATATTGGTGATGAAAAAACAAGATGTGATTATTCATTTAGGACCCGAATCTGGCAAAAGAATCACTTCCATGGGCCATTACGTCCAGAATAGTAGATGGTTGAAGGTGAGCTTTAATGGAAAAACTTGGTCGAAGTTTTTTAAAAGAAAGTTTATGAAGTTCTTTTTATAAAAAATGATTAAATAAAAGTAAAATTAAAAAATTAAAATTTATAAATTAAAAAAGTTTTATTAAATAAATCAAGTGTACAAAATTTAATAAATTTTAATAAAAATTTTATATAGATATTTTTTAAAAAAATTTTAATATATTTTTTATCATTGAATAAATATTGATAAAATTTATATAATAAATTATATTTTTAATATTTTTCATATATTATTAATCTTTTCATAAATACTATAAATCTATCAATTTAAATTTTTTTATTAAAATTTTTATTAAATCATTTTTAATTAAAAATTTCATAAATTTCACTTAACAAGCTTCGTTAACAAAGTTCATTTAAAACACATCCAACTCTAGCTAGCAAGCAGAGGAGAAATCATGTCCCGTAGTCGAAAACGCCCAACTACCATACTCATCTTTTATAACGGAAACAAAAATGAAAGCCATTTGGTTGAAATTTTTTGAACTTCTGAACTTTGGGACATTCAATCATTGTCTTTATTTATGAAAGAGACGACTATAGAAAGCTAAAGAAACAATCGAAAATAACTGATATCTGATCTTCTCGCATTATTTCTTTCTGGAGGGAGTCCACCAACATATTCCATTAACGGGTTAATATCAAATATTGGACCACTCCCACTGTCTTGACTCCTTAATCTTCAACGGCTATAAATATGGATTTCCCTCTTTCCATTCTCCAAATTTTCAATTTTCACCTTCACATTTTCCTTTTTGTGTTTTTAATGTGGCGTTTAGGATCATAGAATATTTAATTTGGGCAATTCTCCATGTTTCCCTTTTCGTTGTACATCACTTTCCTCCATTTAATGTCTCTCATTTAGGCGTTATAAAGGGGAGTGTGGGACCAAGCATGGAGCCCTTTCTCTGTTTCTCTCTGGCAATGGGAAGTCAGCATGGGAACACATGCATATTCCTCGTGCTCTTGTGAGTAAAAAGTTGGATCTTAAAAGGATTTCCAAACATTTTTATGCCCCAAAATGATTAACAGCCTGCTCAAGATCCCAGTTTCGTAGGCATAAGCATGTGCCTGATTTATCTAATCTAATCGTGATTAATGTGTAAAGATCAACTTACGCTAAAAGTTGACTCACCAGCACCAATAACTGCTTTAACCAAACCCAAAAAAACAATAGAAACAGGGATATTCTACTTTTATTTGAATGTTTGGATTCCGTGACGATTCAAGCCTTAATATTTTTTGGATAAAGAAACAAGGAAAAGGAGAAATGATTTTGTACCAGATTGTATAATTGTTTGCAGAGATGCAGATCTTTTTTCACAGCAGCAAAGAAGAGTAGAGTAGAAAATACAATAGGAAAATAAATAAATGATGATAATCAGTCACCGGTCAATTAAAGGCATCTCGTATCAAGTATCCAAAATTCCAATCCACCAGTGGCAGACAAGACAACGCAGTCCACACTCTCTCAATTCTGAATTCTGAAATACCAAGCTTACACACCAAAATCTCTCCTTCCAGTCCAGATTTTCCTTTGACTTGATCAATATTCACAAACTAAACAAAAAGAAAGAAATTATAATATGAACTTAAGGGTACATTTCCTCATCTTTAGAGAAAGATGAAACATTCAAGGGAGACAAGAGGATTTTCAAGTGATTCATTTGGAGCGCTTGTTGTAGCACCATTATTACTGCTACTTGGCCATTTCCCTTCCATGGTAGTTGTAGAACTATGTTGTTGCGGCTGCTGCTGCAGCTGCTCCACTTTTTTGCTATTACCACACTCTCCTGGGTCACGTCTGACCCTACCAGGAGATTGATTAGTCCTTCTTCCAGATGGGCTTCGACCCATCGCAGATCTATTCACAGCAGGTGACCTTGACCTCCTCCCTGAACTCTCACCCGGATCCTTCCTCGGCGGGTCGGGTCTTGATCCACATCTCGCAGGGAGTTCCCTGCTTTGAACCAGCCTCACTGATGATCCCCCATTGACAACCCCATTTCTTCTGCCAGGTAATTGATCAAGTTTCCGGCCCGGCGACCGACCCACGACCTCGTTCCTTGTCCCGGATCTTGCTGGAGATCTGAACACTTTTTGCTGCCTCACTTCATCTTCTTCATCTATTCTATCAGTTATAGTTGAAAGGCTTTCAGTTAAACTTACGCTGCAAATCTCAGAAACATCTTCAGAAGCTGGCTCTTCAATGACAGGTGATTTTGGCTCAGTCTTGATGTTACAATCGAGGCTTTCCTTTTCTTGGATCTTGACAAAGGCTGGTTTCTCTATCTGGGTTTTCTTGTTCTCTTCTTCTTGTGGGGTAAAGATGTAAGCTTTCGGAGGAACTTTGGGTTTTGGAATTTCAGACAAAACTTCTTTCACTGTTTCTTCTTCAGTCGAAGGTGGTGGAGCTCTGCTTTCAAGACTTGGTTTTTGGTGAAAAGATTCATGACCCCCTTGTAAATGTGCTTTCATTTCACGAGGGGAACCTCTGTTTGTGCTTACACAGCAACCCATTAGAGGAAATGGAAGCTACAGGTTGACTCAGAAACAAGTTGGCATTGTTGGGTTAAGGCCAAAAACGAAGCTTTCTTTCTTCACAAGGTTGGAACTTTGGCAGTCGATCGATATTTCCCGGCTTAGGAAACAAAGAAGACGAGGAGACAATGAGCGGGTAGTTAAATGGGAAGTGAATGCGAAAGTCCTATAATTAAATGCATTTATTCTGACATCGAGATAACTTCTTGCTATTTCTGTTAGTGACCTCCACATTTTGTTCTTTGTCATTCAAGTCCTTTGAGCCTTTTCTTTTATTATGAATTTTCATTTTGTTGCTTTTAAGAAAACAGTACTCCGTCTCGTGATTTGTGCAATTTTTTAACAAGCCGTTGAAGGGGATTTTTGTATGTTCACAGCCGTCGGTACATTTGAATTTGGTGTGAACTTTTGTTGTATGTGGTGTCTAAATAAAATCAGATTGGGCAGATAATGGGGGCCACTATAAACAGTTTAACAGGAGACTTATGTGGGTTAAAGGTGATCATCTGACGGTGATTATTGGCTTTATGGTTTGTGGTCGACCACTTGACCTACAATTTTCATAGATTTACATGAACACGATCTATTCTTTGATTTGCTATCTATATATAATCAATGGGGAATCATACAATGCTAGTTTTCAACTGGATGAGAACCATAATGAAAATCATGTTGGAATGTATGAATCAATCAGAATATATTTGTATAGTTCTTATTGTCTCAATATTTGGAACAAAACTAATAATGTGAGGATATAAATATATATATGTAATGGAATCTTTACTAATAAATTGATAGATTCAGCAGTTGTATGCAGATCTAATTAATGGGCTAGATTTTGTGATAATATTATATAATTATACAAAGTAACATGAGAAACACAAACAGAGCTCTCTTTATGTGCAGTAAGCACATGTATTTATCAGGCTAAATGGGCAGAGCCAGAGTCAATAGGGGAACCAATCTAAGGCAAGAAAAGCATCAATGGATTGGGAGTAGATCCAGAGAATTTGCAAACAACAAACGTATTGAATTTATGCAATGGCAGGTAACAAGAGTGGTAAGTGAAACAATAAACAGGACATGATTGGAAAACAACCTTTCTCTTCTCCCACCCAATTGCAAGTTATTGAGTGTTGAAACATGGGCTGTCAAAAAATGTGAAACTGAAAAAGACCAGAAATGGAGACGTAGCTTATCTGCATTGCCAACTACCTCATATTATCAAAGGAAGCTCCAAAGCATGTATGTTACTAAAACAAACTTTTAATCAAGCAATGATGATGGTGGGATTTTGGTATAGATTCAAAGTTGGAGCAATACTACTTAAAGAACTTTATCAAGTAGTTGAAAAAAAATTTATAAAGCATAAAAGTTGTTTGAAGATGATAGAGTTGTAGCACTAATGGCTATGGTGGACTTAGAAGTTAGTAGTACAATCACCAGCATAGGGAGGAAAAAATGGTTGACATGGATGAAATTTGTGTGTGGCAGTTTGCAGGATTTGATTAGCAAGTTGACAGCCCATGAATCCAGCTTCTAATTTTTCAATTTCATGGTCAACAAAAATGTATGGCCGTTACAACTTACAACGTCCAATGTAAGTAGACAACAGCTCAATGAGACAATGTCCCATTTGGGTTTATCTTATGAGCCCTTTTCTCCAAGGCCCCATCTCTTTTGGGTTTGTCCGGAACCAGAACTGATCCATACTAATCCCAAATTTGCTGCCCAATATGTTATAATGTTTGTTTACTTTGAATTCAATCAAAATATAGTTATTTGTCTAAAACCATGTTAAAATCTTCACGGGTCATTTGATTTAGAAGAATTTAAGAAAATTTTTTATATTGTATTTGTGTAAATGTGATTTTTATGTTTGATTTACCAGTATTTGATTCTTAAAAAAAATTTATATTCTCAATACTATTTAAAAGTCCAAAATTAAAAAAACATATCTCTTTCTGTGATTTTTAAATATTTAAAATATATTTTGGTTTCACATTTAAACTGAATAATTTTTTTTTTAAATATCAAATCACTTTTGACTAAATTACAAATATCATGTTTTTTAAATAAAAAATATGATATTTATAAAAAATAAATTTTAATCAAATAAATACTATATTTATAATGTTAAAAAACATAATATTTAATTAAATAAATACTACGTTGCTAACATTAATAGCAGTAATAGGTCAAATACAAAACAAAACAAAATTTGTTAAAATAAAACGTCAAAAATACAAAGCAAAGCAAAAGAAAAAGAAGTGGTCTTAGATAATACCATGTGAGCGCCCAAGCCACCAATATTGTAAATTTTTTCTTTTACAACTGTGTAGTATAGGCTTTCATTGCATTTCTTTGTAAACAAACGCAGTATTTAAGGATCAAATGGTTTTTAATATAAATGTAGGACATGTAATTATTTATTATGTTTTTTTTTAACTAAATATAATATTTTTTGCCATGAAAATTTATTTTTTGTCAGGTATATATATATTTTAAAATTATTTTTTAAATTTAAAATTTTTTGAATAAAATACCTTTAACAGTATTTATAAATAAAAAAAAAATCAAATGACATATAATATAAAAGAAGAGGAGGTCAAAGACGTTTAATTCGTTTGAACAGGCGGTGGCAAACAACAAAGGTCAAAATCCAACCGTTGGATTAATACAGCTATATGTATATCATTTAGTTGACTATAATCTAAGCCCCTGTTGTTTTATTTTTGCTCAAGGAGTGCAACCTCCAAGTCCATGTCATATCACTTATCATTGCATTTTTCGAACGTTATGCCTCTCCATTTTTTAAACCAAAAGCTTTTTTTTTTTTTTTTTTTTTTTTTTTTTTTTTTTCTGCATTCGCAAGGGAGTCGGTAGGAATCCACCTCAAACTCTACTTGCTAATTGCTAAAAAAAAAAAAAATCAAATGAAAAGAAAAGAAAAAGAAGATAGGATTATTTATTACTGTATATAGTAATATATCATAATAAGGACTTGAATAAAAGAAAGTAATGACCCAAAAAAAAGTAATGAAAGGGAGCGTCATAGAAGGCGTAATGGGTGCAAATTATGTCCATTGTGGCAATCACATCATTGATAAAATGAATGAATGAATAAATTATTTTGGTCCCTAATTTCAAATGTTAATAGCAAAATTCACGTGGAATCCAAGCAAAACTATTTTAGTAGACATTTTATTTTTGATAAAAGTTAATGAGAAAAGAAAAATTTATATATAATTAATTTGAAATAATCCTCATTTTAAATATATTAAATTTTCAATTTTAATAATGAAGATTCCATTCTTAATAGTTTAAATAAAATAAACCTATAATTAACCTTTTACAAGATAAGATAAAACGATGGAAAGCTTTGCTTAAACATTCGTAATTTTGTAGGTGGACGGCTTGGATTAAAATGATCTTTTTTTTTAGTATTTTTACCACTTATTTCTTTTAATGTAAAAAAATTTATATTTTTATCCAAAAATTAGTAAAATCTTTTCTTTTTTTTTTTACTAAAAAAGTACTTAAAAACATTCTCGATATTTAAAAAGATAAAGTCGACACACAGGTTAGCGTGCCGTTGGTTGGTAATGGTTACTTTGAAGACAGAGATAGAGACAGAAGTGAGTGGGGTCGTTTCAGTTTGACACAAACAGAACCTCGAGAAAAAGCCAATACTAGGAAAAAACAAACTCTTTTTCTTCTCTGCCCTCACTCCTTTCTGTAGCTTACTCTCTTTGCTTTGCCACTAACTTTAGCTCTCTCCACCTAGAAGACCTTCATAGCTTATCTTTTTTCTAATAAAATAAATTTGGTCCATTTAATTTCTTTTCTTTTTTTAGAAAAAAACCCAGAAATTCAAATTTCTCTTTACATACATTGCTCGTTCTTTTTGTTGTTTGTTTGCTGGGAAAAGGAGAGAAGGTTGTGGTTTTTAAAAGGTATTTGTTAAGCAAGCAAATGGGTTTTGAGAGTTTGGGGATGGTATGTGTTGGGTTTTTGCTGGTTTTGACTGTGCCGTTTACTGGTGGAATTACTGACCCTCGTGATGGTAAACTGTCTTAGCTTAGTTTGCTTCGCTTTTTGGCAATATTTTTATTCTTAAACGATGATGCTGTGTTTGGTGTTGGGGAAAGTTCGAGGAAAGGGAAGGAAAATGCGAGAAAGTGAAGTCCATTAACTTGCATTTTGCTTTGTTAGCTTCGTTTCTTATAGAAAATCAAAATAAATGTGGTAGCTGGTGCTTCTAAAAATATGTTCATTAATGTTCAAAATTCTTTTTCGTTTACTCTCATTTTGGGTTAGATATATGCATTTTTTGAGCTGTTTCAACTTTCAAGTTCTGATAGAATTGCTGAGCCTAGATGATAGTATTTTCAAGTTTGAGCTTCTATTTACTATATTTATCCAGGCTACAGTCATTGGGTTCAAGCAAATGTCATTGGAGAATAGTTTTATTTCATTTTAAACATGTCCAAATTTTTAATTTAAATGTTGAAACTTGGAAGTTTCTCAAAGCAATTCATAGGAAGCCTGTAATAATTGTTTCTTTGTTTTCTGTTTGTCTCTAGTTTCAGCAATGAATAGCTTATATACTTCTCTGGGTTCCCCACCACTTCTTGGGTGGATTCCTGTTGGAGGAGATCCGTGTGGGGAAGAATGGCAGGGCGTTTCATGTGTTTTCTCGAATATTACAGAACTGTACGTGGATTTTTCTTCCCTTTTCCTTAATTTTCCTTATCCTCATCAATAAATTTTGTATCAATGTTTGTTGAGTTTATTGGTGTTCAGACGACTTAATGGCTTGAATCTGGGAGGAGTTTTGGATGAAGGCGTTGGAAGCTTCGAATCAATAATAGTAATGTAAGCATTTTTCTTTTTTAGTATATAATTTCTAGGTGATGTGCATATTAGCATTGATGACTAAGGTCCGGTCATATTCCCAACCATTTTAATCTCTCATAGATGCTGATGCTTCAAAACCAGCTATACTTGTTTCTTTCTCGAATCACTTGTGAATGTTGACGATATCCACTGAGCAAATGCATTTTCCCAAATGTTTCGTTTTGGCTGATTTTGAGCTTTGTGCTTCTTGGGCAATCAAAGAGTTGTCCAAATGGTTGAATCGTAGGCAGATGAATGTATGTAATGGAAAGCAGGTTGAGTAGGAAACATCAAGTTTCAGTTTTCAAATATCGTATATTGTTTCATTCATTCTGGAATTATACCTTTTCTTTGTAGAGCCTTATGCTGCTTTTTGCTGTTTTACGAAGCAGGGATCTAAGTCACAATCAGATTGGAGGGAGTATTCCATCCGCCTTACCTCTTACCATCAGAAATTTGTATGTTTTGACTCCAATCTTTATATTTATCTGTAGAGCATACTTCATAAGCTAATATAAGCAAATAGTATGTTTTTTTCCTTTACTAAGCTTATCCATGATTGAATCAGCTTTGTTTTTCCTTTCTTTAGTTATCTTTCAGGTAATCAGTTCAATGGGAGCATCCCTGCTACTTTGTCTGCCTTAACTCAACTAACATATTTGTAAGTTTGAGTCAAACTTGCTTATCCTGAAATCATACTCTCAAGCTGTAATAATTTTCTCATTATCATTCAATATTCTATCTTTATTGTCTTCAGGTTTTTGGATGATAACCATTTAAGTGATTCAATTCCAGATTCCTTTCAACAGCTTAAGGGTTTGGTCAATTTGTAAGCTCGTTAATTATATAGCTTCTATTCTGTTTAGTTTTCTAGGTTTAGTTCTGACAATATGTATTATTCAGGGATCTATCAAGAAATAATTTGACTGGTCAGTTGCCTCCATCATTTGGGAACTTGTCATCTCTTACAACATTGTGAGTAATAATCTCATTGAAAGATGAGATCATTAGATTCATTTACACGAAAACTTTTCATGAATTGCATATATGCTTCTTAACATCAAGGATTATATATACTTTTTCTGCTGCAGGCACTTGCAGAACAATAAACTTTCTGGGATCCTTGATGTCCTACAGGATCTTCCCCTTTCAGATTTGTACTCTTTTTCCTCTGAAGTTTCTCCATTCAATTTTGTTTTACAAATTGATCACCTAATGATCTAGCATTAACCTGAAAGTTGCTAAGCATTACAAATTGTTACTTTCTTCTTGTGTAGGAATGTAGAGAATAACATACTTTCTGGCCCTATACCTGCGAAGTTGCTGAATATTCGAAATTTCAGGTGAATTCTCAGATTTTCTTTTGACATTTTCAAGATCTTGCATACTTCTGTTTTAAGTATATATGTGTGTGTTCTAATGATGTGTGACATCTTCTCTGCAGGAAAGATGGAAATCCCTTTAATACTACGATTCTTCCTTCACCACCACCAGCACTCCCTGCATATATAGCCTGGGCTCCATCTCCTTTAGAAGGATCTATGGTACCAGCTGGTGGACCTTCTAGCCTAGAATTTCCTCAGTGGGCAAAGGCAAGAAAGTTTTGGACGAATAAGATAGTTATTGGGATTGCTGTTGCAGGACTTATAGCACTTGTTGTTTTAGGAGTGTTGCTGCTTTTAGTGTGGAGATGCTGTAAAAGAAACAAAAGTTCTGACAGGCATGGTGTGAATGCATATAAGGGCTCTAGTGAGAAGCTCAGCCGAATTAATAAATCATCATCTCAACCAACTTATCAAATGGAGAAAGGTAACTTAATAATAGTCTATCCTTGTGGCCGGTCTTGTAAAATTCTCCACTTTCCTTCTAGACCCTTATCTAATTGGAAGGCACTATGTTCAACAGTTGCTAAAGAGGCAGCTATGAAGCCAGTGGATGGATGTGGAAAAGAAAGTGGAGGAATAGGAATAAGTTCAAAGTTACAAGAAGAACAGTTTCTTGATGAAACTACGATGCCTGCAAGTTCAAGGGCCAAGAAAAATCATGCAATAAACATCAGAGGTGTGGATGTGAAGTCCATGTCCTTGCGGCCTCCACTACCTCCTCCTTTATTTCCCTCTGTGGAGGAGGTCAATATAAGCCCAATCATTCTAGCAGAAGTAAATGGAGGTGGTCGCTCTTCTAGAGGTCAGGACTCATGTTCTTTGACCGTGAGTGCCTTCACCATTGCATCCCTACAGCAGTATACAAACAGCTTTGCAGAGGAAAATTTTATTGGAGAAGGCATGCTTGGTGGTGTGTACATGGCTGAGTTTCCAGATGGAAAGGTAAGATGATTTGAATGTAGGAGTACAATGTGATAGCAAAATTGAGTGTGTTTCTAGCTTAGGCCCCCTTCTTCTGGCATTTTTTGCCTGTAGGTACAAGTCCTTTATGTTACTTTCGTTGTTATTCCAGTTTTGTTAGAGAGAGACAAAAAATACTGTTGGCAGCTTTATTTTCCTTCCTCCCAACCTCTATTTGCTGTATGTTTGACATTCTTATCTATCCTTTTGTAGCTACTTGCCATCAAGAAACTGGATACTAGAGCTTCCAGGTGGAAGAATGATGCTGAATTTCTTGAATTAGTGTGTACTATCTCTAAACTTAGGCATCCGAACATTTTGGAGCTTGTGGGTTACTGTAATGAGCATGGGCAACGGTTACTTGTGTATGAATATTGCAAAAATGGGACACTGTATGATGCATTGCATGTTAATGATGGGATCCATAAGAAACTTTCATGGAATGCACGTGTCCGAGTGGCGCTAGGAGTTGCAAGAGCCATACAGTAAGTAAACGTATTGACAATACAAGGGCCCTTTATTTATGTAACCAAGGAAATTTGATGTGCTATCATGGGAGGAAAATCCTTTAGTTTGGATATTTGAGCAGGTTGTATCATCTTTTATATGATTTGTAGATGAAATCCTAAAAAGCCCATAATTCCTTGCTTGTGGCTTATATGTATGTCTTTAGTCTCTTAAGTTTTTAAGCCACCAATCAATCAAAAACTGAGTTTTTTTTTTTTTGGTTGTTGGTGGTAAGGTATCTGCATGAAGCCTGTCAGCCACCAATCGTGCACAAGAATATAAAGTCTGTGAATATTCTCCTTGATGACAAGCTTGCAGTTCGTGTCTCAGAATGTGGTTTGGCTCCTTTGTTCTCATCTGGCTCTGCAAGTGAGGTAATTTTGGATGCAAATCTGTGTATAGATGTGATATTTGATTCCTGCTTATTTGAGGTTCTACAAATACATTAGTTACTAACAATACAAAATGTTAGTTGGTGACTTCAGACCTTTTTTTAATTTGAATTATACTCTTTAGCTGTTTGCAGTGGACATTGATGGACTACAATTGAACAGTGAGAAAGCTTAAACCAATATGTAGCAGAAAAGTTAACAAACCATGAGATTCAAGGGATGTGTGACACTATAAAGGAATATCAGTTGGGAGATGAACGTGTAAAATTTAGAGTCTCAAAATGAAGGCATGAAGGATCCTTTTTTTTTTTTTTTGGGATAAGTAGCATTTTCATTATCCAAGAAGCAGGAACCCTACTACAGTGTTACAAGAAGCAGTAAACCTCCTACCAAGTTACAGATCAAACATATCTCTACTTAGCTTCCATCTCTTACAGAATTCTTGATTTATATTATCAAAAGCAATACTTTTTAAGTCCTACTAAGCGTAGCCTGAGCATATCTCTTATCTGTTACAGTATCATCTCCCCTGTTGTTTTCTCTTACTTGTAGTTCCTCCTATTCCGTTCTGCCCATATCCAATATATAATGCCCCCCATGCCAGCCAAAGGATTACAGAAATTAGTGCCTTCCCTTTGAGCCTAGTTACAGTGTCACGGACCTAAGGGGGAGTTCTGAATCCCACATCGAACATAATAGGAAGGTCCCTGGGGTATAAAAGGGTTCACACCATCTCCGCCTTGTGAGGCGCCTTTTGTAGGACAAAACCGTGAGGCCAGAGGGGCCAGAGCGGACAATACCTCACAAGGGTGTGAACCGTGGCGAAAGGCTGATCTGGGACGCCGGAAGGTGAATGCCCGGGTCCCGGAGCCGCGCGGGTTCGGAGCTTGAGTCTCGACCCGTGACAAGTGGTATCAGAGCCAGCCCTATACCGTTCGATCCACGCCAAGCACCTCGAGGGAGGTAGGCAGGGTGGCCGGCCTCCGTGACGAGGGCGTCGCAAGGTTGGGTGCGGGAGAATGTCACGGACCCAAGGGGGAGTCCTGAATCCCACATCGAACATAATAGGAAGGTCACTGGGGTATAAAAGGATTCACACCACCTCCGCCTTGTGAGGCGCCTTTTGTAGGACAAAACCGTGAGGCCAGGGGGGCCAGAGCGGACAATACCTCACAAGGGTGTGAACCGTGACGAAAGGCTGATCTGGGACGCCGGAAGGGTGAATGCCCGGGTCCCGGAGCCGCGCGGGTTCGGAGCTTAAGTCTCGACCCGTGACAAGTGGTATTAGAGCCAGCCCTAAACCGTTCGATCCACGCCAAGCACCTTGAGGGAGGTAGGCAGGGTGGCCAGCCTCCGTGACGAGGGCGTCACAAGGTTGGCTGCGGGAGAATGTCACGGACCTAAGGGGGAGTCCTGAATCCCACATCGAACATAATAGGAGAAGTCCCTGGGGTATAAAAGGGTTCACACCATCTCCGCCTTGTGAGGCGTCTTTTGTAGGATAAAACCGTGAGGCCAGAGGGGCCAGAGCGGACAATACCTCACAAGGGTGTGAACCGTGGCGAAAGGCTGATCTGGGACGCCGGAAGGGTGAATGCCCGGGTCCCGGAGCCGCGCGGGTTCGGAGCTTGAGTCTCAACCCGTGACAACAGCCCAATGCATCTCATTGTCCCATCCAGCAACTGCTCTGTGCAGGTTACATTGATACAATACTTGCCTCCAAACCTTCATTTAAAAATTGCAGCTGAAAAACATATGATCCCTTGTTTCTTTCTCCTTCCTACATAGTACACAAACCTCATCTGTCTGGATCCCCCACTTCACTATCCTATCCGTAGTTGGAAGCCTATTTTGCATGGCCATCCAAGCAATTATAGCATGTTTTGGGATTTGTGGCTTGCACCAGACCAGCCAATGCCAATTGACTTTCATTTGCCTTGACCTTATTTCCTCCCATACATTGGCAGCTGAGTAAGTAGGCCCTTTGCTGCACTATTCCACCCCATTCGCTATTTGTACCAGAAATCTGGATGCAGTACTTCTCATCTGTGTTAGTTTTTTCACACTCCAATTGCAGTTTTGTGTGATATGCACCTCCCACATACTTTTCCCTTTAAGCACATAGCTTTTTATCCATGCCATCCACAATGAACCAGATTGAGTTAAGATGGACCACAGAAGCCACAATATACAAGCCTTGTTCCATGATTTTGTGTGCTTCAGCCCCAACCTCCCCTCTGATTTAGGCTTACAAACTGCCTGCCAGCTCACCCGAGATCCTTTGGCCGCACTCGCTTGGCTCTTCCAAAAAAAAAACTGAGCATAACTGGTTACTTTGTCTAATAACTTTCTTGGGAGAACAAAGTGCTTGCACCAATAGTTGTGAATATGACAGATTGTATTAGTTGCAATCTGCCTGCATATGACAGATGTCTGGCTGCCCAACTATGAATTCTTTCAGTTATTTTCTCAATTAGAGGAGTGCAATTAGTCATAGAAAGTCTGCCTGTTATCAATGGCACACCAAGATATCCACAGGAAGATTTCCCAACTTAAAGCCTGATGCTTGTAGAATATCTTCTAGCTCCTACTGTGGCACCCCAGTGCAATAAACTTCACTCTTTGCACAGTTTAATTGAAGCCCTGATAAAGTGCAAAACATCTGCAAAATGTTTTGGATACCTATTACTGAGTCCAGCTTCCCTTTGGTGAATATAAGTAGGTCATGAGCAAAACACAAATGTGTCAATTGGACCCTCTTGCACTTTGAATGATAGGAGAAAATACCATGAGAGACTGCAATGTTTAATAGTCTGCGTAAGACATTCATAGCAATGACAAACAGGTATGGTGACATGGTCCCCCTGTCTCACTCCCCTATCTCCTTTAAAGTATCCCACCAAGCCTCCATTGATTGATATAGAGAAAATTGGTGATGTGAGACAGCTCTTAATCCAGCCAACATACCTCTCTAGAAACTTCATTGCCTCGAGCTGTGATTAAAAATTCCCAGTTTAAGGAGTCAAAGGCTTTTCTTAAGTCTACTTTGATGGCACATCTTGAGGACAAGGCTGCTCTACTATAACCTTTAACCAGTTCCTGTGTCATTAGCACATTATCATTGATGCTTCTTCTATTGATAAATGCACTCTGATTGGTGCTAATTAGAAATGGCAGATACTGTTGCATCCTGGTAACTAGTATTCTAGTGATGCATTTGTAGATAACTGAACAACAAGAGATTAGTCTGTAATCTGATATAGCTTGACATTTTGGCACAAGTTCTATTATAGTTGAGTTAAATGCAGGGAGCAAGTCTAGGCTCTTAAAGAAATATAGGACTGCTGCAATGACATCTTCTCCCACAACACTCCAGGCTGCTTTGAAAAAAAGGGCATTAAATCCATCTGGGCCTTGTGCTTTGTCACTATACTGAGAATATGTGGCTGCTTTGATCTCCTCTCTTGTAACATCCTGAGATAAAACTACCTCTGCTTCTCAGTCAAGGACGTTTGGAGGATATTTTCAAGTAGCCCCTTTGAACAGCCTTCAACATTAGTATCAACTGTTCCCAATAGTTGCTTAAAAACCCCACAGCCTCCTCTGATATTTTGGAAAATGTATCCAACATTTTTCCCCTCCTTATCATATAGCACCTTGATAGTGCCTCTTTTTTGCTTGGCTGTCATTGTTTTATGAAAGAAGTTTGTGTTCTAATCTCCCTTTTGTATCCATTTGATCTTGGACTTTTGTCTCCATAAGCTTTCCTCAACGTTTAACAACTCATTGAGCTCCAGCACAAGCCTTTTTTCCTTTTCAGTATCAGTAGGGGATGTTTCAAGCCTGCAATCTGTGCCGCTGCCAACTCTTCTCTCTTCTCCTTGACTTTCTCCATGAGAAATTGAACTTCTTCAGTACTAGCTTTAACCTCTTGAGTTTCTTGTGCAATATAGCCATAGGCTTCCTAGTAGTTGGTATCTTCCATGATTCCCTCCACCAGCTTCATAAATTTAGGATGCTTGGCCCAGAAATTAAAGAATTTAAATGGCCTTGGCAAGATTGCCTTGGCACATTTAACTTGATCAAAGCTCGACGGTGGTCCAAGACTTCAGGATGTAGAAATTTTATTGTAGAATTTGGTATCTGAGTCAGCCACATGTCATTGATTAGCATTCCTATAGAGTGTGTGATTACTTCAAGTATATAGTGGCCCTAAGTAGGGGTGATCCATAACAGCTAACTTTTGTAAACATTCCTAGAAATCTCTTGTACTTGATTGTGAAATCTGGGAGCCATCATAGTCAGAATTCTCACCAGGATGAGCTACAACATTAAAATCCCCAACTAATATCCGTGGCCAATTATTAAATGTATTCTTAAGTGAGATTGGATGTTTCCATAGCCTCCTCCTTTCACCCTCACTATTGTATCCATCGATGGCAGTAAAGTAAATCTTTTGTGCACCATATAAAATGCTACAAGTAATGCTTTGATCACTATTAGCTACTAGTTCCACGTGCAATTCAGATTTCCACAGCAGCCATATTCGACCATTGTAGGCAGCTGAGTAATTGTTATACATTGACCATCCAGCAAAATGCTTATTCGCATCATATTTTGCTGTTTTATTCTAGTTTCCAGTAAGCATGCTACTTCTGCTTGCAATCTTCTAATCCTACCTACTACTTCTTTTTGTTTCAGAGGGTCATTAAGCCCTCTGACATTCCAGCTAAGCATGTTCAGGAAGCTGTGGGATTACCTCTTGAGGCAGAGTATTCTGCCCTGACTTGCTTATTCTTCCCTTTGTCAATAGGGCCTTTTTTCTTTCTCTTCAACTGCTTCATTAAGTCTGCAACTCCAACAGCAGCTACTCCTGCTTTCCTTGGCGAGCTAATTGCAAGCTCCTCTACCTTCCTCTCCTGCGCAGCACTCACTTCTGTTTCTGCCAGTACCACTTCATCCCTCCTATTATCCTCTTCCACTGTTTCCAAAATGAAAAATCTATTTGCTCAGCCAGACTTTGTAGCCTTAATCTGCTCAACCCTTGCTTCTGCCCTTTCAGAGAGAGTCACTTGTCCTTTCTTCCGTACTTCCTTTGCCAATCTTTCCCCCTCTTTTACTTCCTTGGCCATGACCTTCCCAGGTTCCACATTTGATTTCTTTGGCTGCCACACCTTTGTTGCTGCAGCCTCTGGTTTGTTTGCACAAGCTCTATCTATGCCCAAATATTTGCAATGCTGGCACCTAGGTGGCATCCATAATATCAATAAAACTAGGTATCTCGACAGTGGCACCTACCTCCACACAATTTTTGCATAAGCTAATATTTCACAATTAGCTGTAATCTTATCCATATACAATGGAACCCCAAGTGCACTGGCAATGTAGCTCAGCCCATTTTTGTGTACAATTCCAAAGGCACATTATTCAAATGTATCCACACAGGTAACTTGTTCATCTGAAACTCTAAAATTTTCATCCCTGGCTCCCATTTTCGAACTATGATTGGCTTATTGCTGTGCCATGGCCCCAATTCCAGCACTCTGTCTTGATCTTGTTCAGAGGAAAATTGTAGGATGAACAAATTATTTCCGGCAGGTTTGATCGGTACAGCATGAGGGATCCTTATCTCTATTTGAGAGGGCAGGAATTGCTTTCCCTACTATTGCTTATTTTTGCTGATCTTCTTTTGTATCTTGGCAGTTATCTAAAATTTTCCTGCCTCATTTATTTTGCCTCTAAGCTGGTCAATTCAAAATACTAATACACTCAATTCAACACAAATATGCTAACATAAGAATACGGGATTAAACTCATTAAAGCACATGACAGAGTCCAAGAAGAACATTGTTAACATGTGCATACTGTAGGTGTTTGTGTATTAATTATCTTACAGAATTGTGGCTGATATTGGTGCATGTATTCTCAGTTTTCTGGAAGCCTCTTCGTATCCTATGGTTATGCAGCACCAGAAATTGAGTTTGGAAGTTACACTTGTCAGAGTGATGTCTATAGCCTAGGAGTTGTAATGTTAGAACTTCTCACAGGGCGAGAACCCTTTGACAGGTTAGGCAAATCTCACATCCATATTAAAATTTGCATGTAGATAATTTGTCAATCATTTGAATCCTTTTACCTTGCACTAAGCTTATACTAAAAAAATGTCTAGGTCACGGCCTCTGGGGGAGCAATTTCTTGTTAGATGGGCGATTCCGCAGCTTCATGATATTGATGCATTAACTAGGATGGTTGATATCACTCTTAACGGAGCGTATCCGGTGAAGTCATTGTCACGCTTTGCTGATATAATATCTAGATGTGTACAGGTGAACTTCTTTATCCCTTGTTTTCATGTTTTTACTTGTGTGGTATGCTTTATGTGAGAATGAAGTTTTGCAATGACTTTGGTTGGAGCATTACGGTCGAGTAACATTCCTGGGATTTCATATAATCTATTAATGACTTTGTCTAAAGATTGAATGAAATATACTCTATTGTTGAAATGGAATTAAATTATAATTTAATTAAATCTAAAAATAGGAATAGGATAAGCAAAGTCCACAAAAAGCATGTTTCCGCATTTCTTCCATCTCAGGTTATCTAATGTTTGTCTTCCTAGTACTTCCGTATTTAGAGCTACAGGGCACCTAATATTTAATCTTCTTGCAGTGGGAGCCTGGATTCAGGCCTCCAATATCTGAAATTGTCCAGGATCTTTTGCGCATGATTTAGAGCTGAATCTTAAACAATTGGCTGTATAATTAATGTCTCACAAAAGGAAAATGAAGCAGAAGAGATGTCAGCTTGAGAAGAATGAGTGATTGCAAGATTAAGAAGTTGAATCCGATGAAACTTTCCTGGAAGGGTGCTTATTGCTTGAAGCGGCAGCCTAATTGTGTTAGAAAATCCCAATGGCGATCTAATAGCAAATTTGTTCCAGCCTCACCCATTTTGTTTCTTCTTTTTATTGGGGAGGTGCTAATATTATTGTTCATTAATTTACTATTATCTCTGCCAAAACTGTTTTCCAGTGTGGTCTGGTCATTTGAGATCTAACTAGATTATATTAACATTAATAGCCGTGTTCCCTCTATTTAACTTTTAATTACATTTACTGAAATCATTTTAAAAAAATTTTCTTTTCGACAGATTGTTCATTGGCCCTTCCATGGAAAAAAAAGAAATGAAAATAATAAAAATATGGAAAGTTGAAGACAGATTCTTGGGTTTGATGGGTGTCTAAGATGTAAGCGTTAAGTCTTTCTAGTTTTGATCCGGACGAGGATGGGAGAGGCGATTTAAACAATAAGCAAGCATGTGAACCCACATGGATAACATGTAGACAACTGCAAAAAACACCAAAATCCAAGCAATAAATAAAAGGAAAATACCATACTTCTCCAGTTCTTTAGATTTCACAAAATTGAACCATGATTCCTGGTATAAATACAGGGGAGTTTGGTGCTACTAAACTCCCAATCACCATAGATTGGTGGAACAAGACAATCAGATTCACAGTAATCAGTTAGTAGGTGACAGATGACTTAAGACCAACATTTTTTTTTTTAATCCAGATTTATAGGTAAAAACTAATCTGATATTGCATTCAAATTGATTGGGACTTTCCACAGGTAGCAAATTGGTTAAATTTGAAGATGATGTTAACAACCCAAAGCCATAAAAGATAAGGACGCAATCTATTATGTTGGAAATGGGGTATCCATTTTATCCTTGGCACTGCACATTTTACTGCTGTCAGACACAGATAACCTGTCAAAAAATTGCATTTGATAACTCTTTTTCTTTGACACTTATTTTTAGAAATAATTTAGATCTTCTTTCTAGATTGGATCAGAGTTTCAACGATTTAAAAAATTAACAATAAGAATTAAATCTAAATTTTATAAGTAAAATATTTAATCTTTATTAGCTAAATTTATTATGATTACTTACATTATCACGTGATAATAACTTATATTAATTTAAGAAAAAAAAAAGCACAGAAAATATTAATACGAAATTTTTTAAGTGAAATTCATGAAATTTTTTATTAAAAATGAGTAAATAAAAATTAAAAATTATAATCAATAAATTAAAAAATTTTATCGTAAAAATTAATTGTATAAAATTTTAAAAAATTTTAATAAAATTTGATATATTTATTAAATTAATATTTTTTAATAAAAATATTAATAAAATTTTATTAATAAATAAATATTGATCAAATTTTAATTATAAATAATTTTTTTAATAATTTTTTACATATTATTAATTTTTACATTAAACTAAATCAATTTATTAATTTAAATTTTTTATTAAAATTTTTATTGACTCATTTTTAATAAAAAAATTTTACTAATTTCACCTAAGGTAAATTTTGTCGTGATCATGATATTCGGAAGACAGCAATGTTTTGATCCTAGTGTTTTCTAGGAAAATTCCTTCCTGCCTTCATAATCCAAATTACCCCCACACAACAATTAAGTTTAGCTTTGATAAAATTGACATTTGACCTACTTTTGCATAATTTTTAGGTACAAGGTGGTTAAAACAAACCATTTTTTATGAGTGCTATTATTTATAGTAGATTTTTTTGTATAATACCAACTGCATTAGGATCCTAAATAAATTAAATTTAATGGTTGATGTGGTCACACATAAAAACTTTATATTATATCACATACTATTGATAAATATAGATAACAATTTTTAATTCATTTGGCAACCATTTCCCTTCTATGACCCAAAAGAAGCACCCATTATGGCACTCAACAATCTAATCATTACATTTTTCTTCTTTATTTAAATTCACTGCAAAAATCTTAGCTGTTGGGATCGATAATTACCCATGCATTCATCATCTTTGTCATTACTAATAATCATAACTTGGAAAGCACATCTTATAGCCATGAACCATGAATTTCAATGTAATAATTAAATAAGTTCAGAGAGAATATTTTTATTTGTTGTAATAAAATAATAGATAGTTTCATAAATTATGTGTTTGTGAAGTTTTCTTTTTTTAAATAACAAATTTAATTGAGCAAAATGTATTGAAAAAGAAATATCTATCAATGTGAATATGTGTTGGCCTTAAGAAATAAGAAGATAAGGCAAGTTGACAAATTCCTTCGTTTGATATTAATTTTCTTTTATTTCTCGAAAAATACAAATATAAAAAAGAAAATAAATAAAAATTCATCAAATTTAACAAATTTAATTTTCTCCACAAAAATAAAAAAAAGGAAAAAGACAAGAAAACCTAAACCACGAGAGTTAAATAGAGGATCCAACCGAACCGACGCGTCAACGGGACGAAGACAATGGATAATTAAGTAATTTAACTATTCCAACAGATAAAGACCAAGGGTATTTTGGTCAGAATAATAAACAGTAAAAAATTGTGTTCAATCATGTCTGCGAAAATCTGAATTCAACAGTTTGTAGTCTTTTCCCATCACAAGAAAAAAAAAAAAAAAGGCAATCCTTTTTTTTTATTATTATTTTTCCTTTTTAGTTTTCGTTTGAATTTTTTTTTTTATTTATTTTTTAAGGGGGCTGTCAAGTTCTAACCGGAATTTGATTCCTAGCTTTTCTTGGTGGATTTGCATTCCAAAAAAAGTAAACTTTTTTTTTTCTTTCATGTTTTCGAATTTTTGCCTTTTTTAGCTGAATGTTGAAGAACAGTTTCGAGTGAAGTTGATTTTAATCACGGTTCAAGTTTCGATTCCGATCTCGTTTTGGATTTAATTTCGTGGAAAATGGCGAAGCGTGGATATAAGCTGCGTATCCTTGGGCTTAAATTATTGTTCTTGAATTCCTTTTGTTATTATTATTGAAATGCTTATCTTGAATTAGCCGCTGTCTCGGAAATTTATTTAAGTTCTGGAGTGAATTCTTAGCTTATTTTGCGTTTTTATTATGAATTTCAGCTCAAATTTGTTTTTCTTTTTTAAAACTTTAATTTTTTATTGATTAATTCAGGTCGCGTTTGATACTTTGGCTTTGCTAGCCAAGAAAATAGAGGAAAAGCGAAAAATTGAAGTAATAATTCTTGGTTCTAGTGAAAATTTTGAAGCTTTGATACAGATTTATTATTTAACAGATAATACTAGTCTGAGCTCAACTAATCTCAAGTTGAAGAGAAAATTCAAAAAATGTTTGCTTCATTTATCCAAATATGGAAATTTGCAGGCTTTTGGGGCTTTTTCTGGTTTTGTTTACTATAGTTGCTTCCTTGACGAAATGAATGTAGAGGAATTTGTGGCTCATACATCAAATGTGAATTGTCTAAGTATGGGAAAAAAGACGTGTAGGCTTCTTATCACAGGCGGAGATGATCATAAAGTCAATGTTTGGGCAATTGGGAAACCCACTTCTTTAATGGTAAGTTTTATGTTCTTCTCTCTTGCCAAGTTTAGCTTTCAGGTGGTATCTCTTACGAATTAATTTCTTTCGTTGCTTGAATTCACCCTTTGGATCAATAGATGCCACTAGGAATAAGGGTGATGTTGTATCTTGAATAAAAGTGTAAGGGTATCCATACGTGTTAATGTGCAGAGTCTCTGTGGTCATACTAGTCCGGTGGAATCTTTAGCCTTTGATTCAGCAGAAGTCTTGGTGCTTGCTGGAGCATCTACAGGTGTGATAAAGCTTTGGGATCTGGAAGAAACAAAGAGTAAGTCTTTCATTTTTACTATTGAAATCATGTTAAGTGCCCCATTGAAACAGCTTGTTATAATGTTCTCTATCAGTTAGATATCAGTTGATAACAGTATTGTGATAGGAGCTCGTTGGACACACAGAACTTTGTTGGATAAAGATATTCCAAAACTTCAATTCTTACTTTTGAACTTTCACCCGTTTAACAATTGGAACATGTGGATCATCAGCTTTTTACCAAATTGTAATTTGGTGATAATTAACTTGTAAAGTGCTCGATGTTGTTCTTGAAGTGTAGTGGTTCGCGGACTTACTGGACACAGATCTAATTGCACCGCCATGGAATTCCATCCATTTGGTGAGTTCTTCGCATCTGGTTCCATGGACACAAATCTAAAGATCTGGGATATCAGAAAAAAAGGATGCATTCACACATACAAGGGCCATGCTCGAGGCATTAGTACAATTAGATTCACTCCTGATGGCCGCTGGGTAGTTTCTGGTGGATTTGATAATGTTGTAAAGGTAATTAGGGATCACACCATCAATTGCATTGAATGAGTCATCAATTCTATTTATTTAAATCATTTGTATCTTATCACTGCTGCATAGGTTTGGGATCTTACTGCTGGAAAACTCTTGAATGAGTTTAAGTTTCACGAAGGACATATTCGCTCCATAGACTTCCATCCTCTTGAGTTTCTCCTGGCTACAGGTGAATCTGTGATTTCAGTAGGAGTCAATGAGTTTATAATAGTTGCATTTACTTTTTCTGTATTGCTTGTCAATGCCAGCTTGATATATTTTTTTTTTCCAGGTTAAGGTGGTGTATGTGATAGACTTCCTTGTCTGTTTGCAAAGATTTAATCATTAATTTAGGAAAATGATTTGTTAGTCCATGTCTCATGCATTTTCTTTTGTAAATATATAGAAAATTCACTGCCTTGGAAGTTGTTCCTTTTATCATATTGTATCTTGAACATGTACTCAATATTTCCGATTTGTTTTCTCTCATTATGCCTCTTGAAACCAGCATTTTCTTGGGCATAACGTAATTGATGTGTGACCAAAATTTTCAGGTTCCGCTGACAGAACAGTAAAATTCTGGGATTTAGAAACTTTTGAACTGATTGGATCGTCCAGACCTGAGGTATATAAGCTTATGTGTCTCCAAACTACAGCCATGGAAGTTTGCTCTACTGCTTCCTCTTCCCCTTCCCTGTGCTGGAGATACTCATTTTATGTAACAGCCAGTCATTTACTTTATTTATTCATTTGGAGGGAGGAATTGAAAGAAGTCATAGAATGGTTTTGACTTTTCCTTTTTCTTTTAAAAGGAAATTTTTTTTTTTTTTTTTGCTTTGCCCGACAATTAGTGCTGTGTAGAATGGCTGGAAAATTATGTTACTCTACTCTTCGCTTAACCTAGTGTTTCGATATTGAAGGCATATATAACTTAATGAAATGGTTACTTTGTCATGATCCTGCAAATTTCCTATGAAAAATTTGACACAGCTGTACATGTAGAAGTGTCCTGTTTTGGTACCCATATTTGAAAAACATATTCTCTCACTTTAAAGGAAAAGAAAATTTTAAACCAAAACTTTCATTATTGATAATAAACCTTTTTCATCATATTTCTATAAAATGTTTAAATCCCTTCATTTCAGGCTACAGGGGTTCGCTCAATCGCTTTTCATCCTGATGGGAGAACCCTGTTCTGTGGATCAGATGATGCTTTGAAGGTTTGAACCTTTCATTGTAAATCCAGTTTGATCCTATCTGAATTCAAAAGCAAACATCCGAATTTTCATTGTCGTAATTGTAGGTTTATTCATGGGAGCCAGTAGTTTGTCATGACTCTGTTGATATGGGATGGTCAACACTTGGTGACCTCTGCATCAATGAAGGCAAACTTTTGGGTTGCTCATACTATCGAAATTCTGTTGGAGTTTGGGTATCTGATGTAGCGGTATCTACAATCATCCTTTTCTTATATTGAATTCCCTTTATGTTGGATCAATTTTGTACTGTTGCTCTTTAAGTCTGAACCTGAGTGAAAACTTGTCGGTCTTAACTTTTCTTCTTAAAAGCCTTGTTTGTACATGTCTCAGCAAATTGAGCCATATGGTCAAAATGACTGCACAGAGAAGAAATTTAACCTTGACGGGAGTTATTCTTCAGAGAAAGCAGGGAGGGGCATTAGGTCAACTTTGGGATCACGGCCCCTCTCTCCTGATTATGAGACAAAACAAATAAAGAACATATATGTTGACAGTAAGTTCACTTTTCGGTTGTTTTTAATCTTTGAACTGGTTCATCTACCTTGTGTTTCTTTGTTAGCATGGTAAATATTATGTCTGTGGAGCTTGACTGCTACACTGATGACACAAATAAATGTGCTAGGTACTTAACTTTTTCAAATGTAAAAGTTTTTCCCCTTCTAATTTCTTAAGCTATATATTCTCTGACATGATATTCTCATTTCTGTGAAAAGCTGCTGGCAGTAATACTATTGCTACACAGAAAGTTGGCTCTTTGAATTCTCCAAAAGTGGTACTCCCATTGGATGCCAATGAAAAAAGTAATCTGGCAGCTGAGAAGCAGAGTCCTGGAACAGGAGTTAATGCTAAATCTAATGGACAATTGGGTAACAAGTCTTTCATCACACCTAGTGTTGTTCCACGGGACAACCATGTTGGGAAAGACTCTACCAATTCAGGAAAAGAATCTATCACCTTTTCAAGGACAAAACCAGGCATGTTGCTCAAACCAGCTCATCTTAGAAGACCATCTGTCAACAAGTTTGAGGTTGAAAAGCTGTCAGCTGCAGTTGAATCAGGAACTCTTAGCAGTATAAAAAGCGGGTTAGACAGTGCAACGGATCTGAATTCTCAAACTAGGCTTACATCAGAGAATGGAGCTAGAAAATCCTGTGAGGAAAAGGATTCAAACATTAAGAGTGTTATAGAGAAACCTGAAAAGATGTTATCACCACAGACACCCCCTAATGAAGAAACTTGTAAGTTCTATCGTACACCATGTTATCATTTTTTTTCGTAGGTCAGTAATGGTCATACATTTGTATGTTGTTATGTTTCATTCTTGTCTTTCTTGTAATAACTTGTGTGATATTTATTTATTCTATAGTTGTTAACGATTAGTGATTAGTTTTTTCTTTATCATTTTTAGGTAATGAATATCTCAATAGCAACAAAGACACAAACTCTGTCAAATTTGTGAATGGAGGTTTGCTCTTTCTTTCCATCTAAGTCTTCTAAGGTATAAAACTGGACATTTTGATCCTTAGAAATTTCTCTCTTGGCAGTGGCTGTTGTTCCAGGAAGAACACGCACTCTGGTTGAGAGGTTTGAACAAAGAGAGAGATTAAACAGCAGTGGTGATCCAGCAACTAACACTGCACCTCATGCAGTACCTGAAACAGATAAAACACCAACCATAGTGGTAAGCTTAAGTGTCTTTTCTCCATGTTTGAAATTTCAGTTTTTGCATGATTTAGTTATTAGAAAGAAGCTGTCTAAAACCAAGTTGGACAGACTTAAATGTGCATGCACTTTCACATTTTTGTGACTGAATCAAATTTATTTCTCATGTTTTAACCTGACAGAAAGGAGAGACACAAATCTCCAAGACACAATCAGTCTCTGTCAATGATGGGTATAATGCCAGAAGTCAGAATTCTAGAACCGAACCAACTTCTCAGTGTGAGGGAAGCATTACTGGAAGTCAGATTCCTAGAAGGGAATCAACCCCAACTTCTGAAGGGATCATTACTGGAGATCAAATTTCTACAAGGGAATTAACCTTCACCCCTGATAGGATCATTACTGGAAATCAAACTTTGAGAAAGGAATCAACCTTCACCCCTGATAGGATCATTACTGGAAATCAAATTTCTAGAAGGGAATCAAGCTTTGCTTCTAGTGGCGTCATTACTGGAGATCAAATTTCTAGAAGGGAATCAACTTCTGCTTCTGATGGGATCATTACTGGAAACGTAATTACTAGAAGGGAATCAACTGCCATTTCTGATGGGATCGTTTCTAGAAATCAACTTTCTAGAAGGGAAATAACCTCTGCTAATGATAGGAGTGGACCAAGTGCTACAATTACTGAAAATCAAATTTCTAGAAGGGGATTGAGTTCTGCTAATGATGGGAATGTTACTATTACTGGAAGCCAAATTTCAAAGGGCGAATCATTCTTCGTTAATGATGGAAACTTAATTGAAAGTCTGATGCAAACGCATGACATATTCTTAAGCACTCTTCGGTCACGCTTGACAAAGTTACAGGTAAAATTTAGCTCTCTACTTGTGGATGTAATTGGTCGCATTGTAGCTGTTGCTTTTTTTTCCATTTTTTTCTGGAATTACTATAGCTTTAGGCAAAGATATATTGATACTTACATAATCAATGGAGTGCAGAATATTATACTAGAATTATGGTTCAGAACATGTCCACGTACATCTAAACATCTGTGACAGGTGGCAAACTTTTGTTCTAGTGAAAAGAAAGTTATTTAAGTTTTGTAAAAAGAACATAAGAAAAGAAATTTCCATCACTTATGCTTCAGTTTGCCTCTCAAATGATATTTTTCTTCTATTTTTTTGGTTGGATTTCTTAATTGATTTTCTGATGAACTTGTAGGTGGTGCGGCATTTTTGGGAAAAGAATGACATTAAAGGTGCAATTGGTGCCCTGCGGAAGCTGCCAGATCATTCTGTGGGTATTTATGGGAAGATTTCATGTGTGTAGTGGTAACTAGAGGCTTTGTCATGCATATCTCTCTTTGGTTAGACTGATTTACTTCTGGTGCAGGTGCAAGCAGATGTGATCAGTGTTCTCATGGAAAAAATGGAGATTCTCAACTTAGATCTGTTTTCTGGCCTGCTTCCTGTACTTATGGGCTTATTGGATAGCAAAATGGAAAGGTAATTTTCAAAACAAAGTTTTAGTTCTTGGTATCGTAAGATATGTTCTAGAGATTTACTCTATCCATTGCTTTCAAAAACAAAACGTACCATTTCTTGAAAAGTAAAATACTGAAGGTTGTATCTTTACATAAATTCCGTTTGGCCATGTGGGTGCAAATTTGATTTATGTTATGTCTCATTTTTCAACATTTAAACAATAGGCCTTTCCACCTATAATGCTCATACTGGTTTTTGTGCTTGTGATATGAATATACAGGCATGTAAATGTCTCATTGGAGATGCTCCTGAAGCTTGTAGCAGTTTTTGGTCCAATGATACGCTCAACTGTTTCAGCCCCACATGGGGTTGGTGTTGATCTTCACGCTGAGCAGAGGTCTGCCTTTCAGTATCTTAACTATTATGGGTTTGATGAAAGCCAGTATGAACTAATTGTTTTTCAAAATTTGAACACAGGCGAGAATGTTGCAATCAGTGTTTTTTGCAGCTGCAGAAGATTCAGAAACTTCTTCCACCACTTGTAAGGTGAGATGTTGTTTGAGTGATTGCAGCTGACATTGTGTAAAAAGATTTTGGAACATAATACATTTCTTAATTGCAACTGAAATTGTAATGTAACTCAATGTCTTTAAGATGGAAGTTTGCATATCAGGATGTTTATATGCTTAATTGGTTTCCTAGTTGGGTGAACAACAAGCATGATAAATTCCTTTTCCTTTATGTTACTACAGGAGAGGTGGTGTGATAGCAAGATGTGCACAGGAATTGAATCTAGTTCTTCAAGAATGATGATGAATGCTGCCATCTAAAATCATCTGCTGCTGAAGAATATAAAAAGTAGCTGGGCGGACACCGCTTAACAGAGATTCACTTGTGATAGAAGGCCATTTCGTATCTTGTATCTTGGATACACAATTTTGTCTTGCCACCTTACTGTATCTTGCTCTGCCCGCTTTTGTCGGTACTGGACTGCTTGCTTGAGTAAGTATCATCGCTTGCAACCGTTACATCTTGAAGATGGACGACGAAGCCAGCCTGTGAATCTCAATGTTTCTGGTACTCCACGAAAAATTACTTGTCATTCATTGATTTAAGTATAGTGCTGTCTGTAATGATTTTGTTCAAAAATATATGTATGCATGATTTAAGAATTGGCAGTTGCGAGGCTAGCCTCGGCAAAACCAAAGAGCCAAAAAAAAGGCAACAACTTGCCAGTCATGGCGGTGACAAGTGGCATGATTTTTTGTCTAATTCCATATTTTTTTTCCTAATATCATCCATTACTATTAGGCATTAATTCTCTCTACGCGCAGTTTACACGTAATGAGTTCGTATGTCTTATCGATGGGTCCGCTCGCTTTGGGATAACAAACAAACATTATCAACAATTTTCCCATACATTCCATTCAGGAACATGTTCCCTTTGGCTAACCGATATGATTAAGACAGCCCACGATCCTCTAATCAGATATTTGTAGTTTGTCTGAAACAAATGCATGAAAATGTACAAAGAAAATTCATTGATCATTGGGACAGTGAAGAAAGTCAACCAAGGTGATGCCTTTGGTGCCTTTGGTACAGTCAGAACTCAAAACATCAATTTCACATTGTTTCAAAGAAGATTTCCATCAGAATTTTCTTTTTACCTAATTTAAAGTAGTATAAAAAATCCAAGTGCTTTAAAACATCTATTAAAGATAGTTATGATATTATTTTATGAATTTTTTTTTACATTTAATACATTATTTTAGAAAAAATGACATGAAATTTGATAAAATGATGGTAAAGATTAAAAAAAAAAAAACAAATTTAATCTAGGGTTTCACGTGGGAAGTTTTACTAACTTTAGATTTTGATGATATCTTTTTCATTATGTTGTAAGTGAATTAAAATCAGAAATTACAGTTACTTAACAAAGAAGAAGAAGATAACAATACAGTTACTTAACAAAGAAGAAGAAGATAACAATTTAAAAATAATTTTTAATTACAGATCCAAAAAGCATCACAATTCCTTGAAAAGAAAAAAAGCTGATATGGTATGATGGTTTAGTGCAATTTAAAGACATTCCTGTCCTTCCATAGTACATATTAAGATAACTATTAAAGTAAAGCTACTTTTAAATTTCTTAGTTGTTGGTTTTTGATACAAATGTAATTTTTTAATTTTACAAATAAAATTAAAATGTGGTCACTTGTTTTATATTTTTAATTTTTTGTTTATTTTTTATTATATGGTATATATTATTTCATTAATCTTAACAGTAAATTTACTAAATACTTCATTGTTAGTGAATATAATAATTTTTTTAAAATTTTAATTAATTGAGAAAAAAGAAAAAATTTGTAATTAATATGTAAATAAATATTTTATAATCTATTTTTTTCCTTCTCCCCAATTATATTCTAAAACTATTAATAAAATTATTTTATTCACTAACTTTTACACTTACTATTTTTATAAACATGAAATTTGTACTAATTATCTAGTAATAAATCCTAATTAAGAAAGGAGTTAATTGTAATTTAAAAAAAACAGTGGATACAGACAACAATCTGCAAACAGACAAGCCAGACTCGGAAAAACAAAACCAAAATTTCCATCCCCCCTTTGTTTTTTTTTTTTTTTTTTTAAAGTCTTCTCGTTGTCCCATGTTTTTCTCACTGAAAAAATTTAGTACTACTACAACGATCATTTAAATTCTTCCCTCAAGAAAAAAAAATCCATCTTTGATAACTTTGATATCTCTTTCTCTCTCTTCAATTCTTCTACATTATCCCACAAAATCTCTTTCATTTCTCCAATGATTTCTTTTCTTTTCTTTTCTCTTTTTTTGGCTAGTTTCAGTTACCATTAAAAATTCAAAAATTTTATACCCTTTTTAAATGAATTTCAAATTTCATTAAAAAACCTAAAAAACCGCCTTTTGTTTTTGTTTCTGGGAAATTTTTTTTAGGGTGGTTTTGGTTAACGTTCGCCGGAGGTGCTAGAGGGAAGAGCTAGGTGGTGGCTTTCTTGATTTAATTTAATTTTCCGTTGGTGGGTCGTCGTCGTTGTTTTTATTGAAATAATCGTGGCCGTACACGTGGACATCGGAACGGAGATGATAACGGAGAGGTGGGGTACGTGGGAGGAGCTGTTGTTAGGAGGGGCAATTCTCCGCCACGGTACCCGAGATTGGAACCTCGTCGCTTCGGAGCTCCGAACCCGAACTGTTTCTCCTTTTGCTTTCACTCCCGAGGTTATTATCCAATTAATACTTTAATTCAATTAATGAAATCTTAATTGATTTGATCATTTTTTTAGAATTTATTTGTAATTTTTTCTTTTTTTTATTTTTAGTGTTAAAGAAATGAGAGTGTAGAGTTGGTTACATTTTATGTGGCAGACACGTCTTGACTTTGACTAACCTGATGTTCTATTTGCATGATTTCGAATCTTATTATTATACTTAATTGTTATTACTATTTTTTTTAAATGAAGATATGGCCATTGGTCAATGTCAATGATGGCTTGCTTGGCTAATGGGTAGGGGATTGTCACGTGAACGTTGGTGGCTGTAAGATCTTCACTTCTGAGTGGTCTTTTAGTCTTACTGTTTTTTAGGACACAGAGAGTTGGAAAGTGGAGATTTTAGGAAATGAGGGTGAATAGGATTCAATTAAAAGAAAATTATGGCAGCTATTTGTATCCACTAGTGTTACTTAATTAGCTTCATCTAATGCGTGACTTTGTTGGATTTATTACAAGCTACTACCTCTCAAAACCATGGAGCTTTAAGGTTTGCCTTTGCTACAAACTAGGCTTGGCCTAATGTTTGATATTTGAATCTGGTCTCGCTCTTTTACTTCATCATATATACAAAAGAAAAAAGAAACTTAAAAAGTTTTTGGGTTGAATTAGTTAAGGAATGTAGTTTGGTTCACGGGATGTTTAAATCTTGATATACTCTTTAGCCTTTATCATTTCTCCAACAATTTATAGTGAATGCGTGAAGTTGCTATGAATGATATTGCAAATGCACTGGTATGAATCAATGCTAATATAATTCAACTCTATGATTAAGGATATGTCTTTTATTGAATTAAGTTGAACTCTTCCTTGTTTGTTCGGGAAGGAGTAATAGAACAGTACTCCAGCTGTAATATAGTCTATTAAATTATTTGTCAAAATGCTTAATTTTAATTATGTAAATTTCATCTGATGAAGCTGGTATCTGAATGCAGGTTTGTAAAGCTAAGTATGAGGATTTGCAGTGCCGTTACTCAGGTTGCAAGTGAGTAATCCTGTCCAGAGTTTGTTACATATTTGCATAACAAGATTCTGAAATATGGTGCTTTATTAACATTTGTATTACATTTTCATTCTTAGAGCTTGGTTTGAGGAGTTACGTAAACAACGAATGGCAGAGCTGAGGCAAGCTTTAGAGCAATCTGAAGATTCAATTGGGTAAGTAATTTGCCTCTATTGCCAACCAATCGGTAGTTAATCAGATAGTTCAGCGCATTTATTCCTCTCAGGCTAAAGCATTATGCTAGTAGCAGTATGTCTTGTTCCTACGTTCTTCTATGTAATCTGGCAATGGATTTAACGGTTGGAGTTCCAAAATTCCAAATTCCTTAAGAAGATTCTCTGGTTTTAAACTATATACAAAGCACAGATTCTCAATTACCCTTCAATGGGTGCTTGCCAAAGTAGTAAAAGAGAAAGCTATGACTTGTTTAATAGTCCTGGAAGAGCTTTTCTGGATGGTCCTAACTTCATTAGTTTGCATAATGGTTTGAACTTTACTTAGTGAATATATACTTAAAGTGAGTTTAAGAATTTAATTGAGTTTTTAATTTCAGATGTCTCCAAGTGTAGGGACCTGCATTTTGTTTTTAACAAGGACACATGCAAACTTATGTATTTGATCTTGGTTTCTTCAGATTTTTTACATCCTAAAACTTGCATTCTTGTGTTTATATTACACCGTACTCATTATTGTCCTTCTCAGATCGCTGGAATCAAAGCTTGAAAGCTTAAAGGCTGAGAAAACAGATTATTCGAGGGTTGATTATGATTCCAGTCAGACAGAATCAGCACTACCATGTCATAAATCTGAGGGAGTTGAATTTTCCAGTAAGAACACATATAAGGATGGCCTCTCTGCTGGTAGTTTCACACAGGAAGCTGAGACAATCTGGGCACCAGATTTTCAGATTCCAGCTGCAGTGCCTACTGAGATGGATTCCAAGCCAGGAGGAGATTCACTGACCTCCGAGGGGGAGAAAATTTCAAGCATTGATAAGTTGGCATATACTTTCTCTGGAGGACAGTTGCAGAGTATAAGAAAGAGGAGGGGAAAGAGAAAGAGAAAAGATTGCAGTAAGGATGCCAAAGAAGGGAGTGTTGGAGAAAGTGTGTTTCTAGGCCCATCTGATGTTGCAAGTGCCTCACGTTGCAAAGAAACTTCAACTAGCAACTCTGCTCAGATTGCCAGATCTTCAGGTGTTGAGGATCAGTGCAGAGGTTCAGGCAAGGAAGTGACTGATGATATAATAGGAATATTCAGTTCTGTAGCAGAGAATGACTGTGCTTCTGTCTTTCGACGAAGGCTTGATAGCCAGGTAAGGACAATATTTTCAGTTTAGGTCGTTAATGATGTCAATAATTTTTTTAATCTGCTCCTCAGTGACACCAAGCATTGGCTTCCTTCAGTTGTACCAGGGCTTAATGTTGATATATGTATAATCTCAAAGATTGTTCTTTTCTCATGCAGAAAAGAGGAAGATACAAGAAAATGATCCTACGGCATATGGATTTTGACACCATAAGATCAAGAATAGCCAGTAATTCCATCATGTCTGTTAGAGAACTCTTTCGTGATATGTTATTAGTTGCCAACAATGCCTTGGTTTTTTATTCCAAGAATACACGTGAATATAAATCTGCACTACTTCTGAGACATATTGTCACTGCAACATTGCGGCAACATTTTAAGGAGTATGGAGGTAAGGTTCCTATCACCACCTTTAACTCCGGCAGACCTATGCATAAGCCTACTGCCAAGCCCCGAAGCATTCGCCATGATAATCAGAAACTGCCAGGAAACGCATCCAACAATAAGAATCCAGTAGTCGGGTATTCTCATGGGAGTAAAAAGAGAACTAATGCAGAATCTACTCCATCAGTGGAGTCCGTAGCTGTGACAAAGAAAGGTTCAGCTCCTCGGCCAAGAAAAGTGGACCAGGGACGCTCTGGTCAAAAGTCCGAAAGTCCAACAAAAGGAAGAAAGACAACTCGAGCTCGGTGATCATGTAGTATAATGTATATTGATCTTTTTGTTTTTAATTATAAAACCAGTTGTAGCTCCATGTTCTAAATGTAGGAAAATGTCTATAGTCATCCTGTGTAAAAGTTTTCTCCGTTTGGATGTACATTTGTAGAACTGCACTGTAACTTGTAACACTAACACATGAAACCAAAAAAAAAAAAAAAAGGAAACCCTTCTTGATGTACAAGTTTTCTTCTTGTGGATGAAAAATGGCAGAACATACTAATCGCTGATTCCTAATATTCAACTATTTCTCTTTTTCCTCAGACTAATTTCCCTCCAAGTTTACAGCAATGGTTATTGTCCATGTCTAAAAAAAAGATTAAATGGCTATTGCTACCCTTGAATTGTAGGACTGCAATGTATAAGAAGATCTAGAACATTGATCCTTTTGGATTCACAAACTTGTCGGCCAGCTTCGGCTTATTCCAATGGGCCTTGGCTCACTGGGACTACCCACCCAAATGTTAGCCTGAAGTTAAATAGGTCTCTTTTGCAAATTTTTTTATGAAAGACGTAGACGTGAGAATTTTTTTTTAGAAAGAATTAGAAAAGAAAAATTTACAAATATTGAAGATTAAATTTTAATTATGCGAGAATTTATCTTTTAAAGAGATAAGTAAAACATTTGAATTAAATTTCAAATTCGTACTCTATTACTATCAACTTAGTGAGAACTCACCTTCTAAAGAAAAAAAAAAAAACAAAAAGAGGGGGAATTTGTTTTCTTAATGCTACTATCACACGATTGAGGATTGTAGTCAAAAAACAATGATAAGCAGACGCACCTCAAGAAGCACTTACTACATGGGTGATGTCCACAGATCATTAGATAGCACTTAAAATTGGAGATAATGGCCACAATAATGGCCCAACTTCATAGAAACAAAAGAAGGGTTTTTGAAATTATTACAGTATCATAAAGTTTTAGGTCAGAAGCATTTCCAATGAATTTATCTTTAAGTGGTCGCCCATGCTAAACTTGCTCGGTTGTTGGTTAACCATTTTTGCAAGGATAAGCAATGACCTTAACCACTTTGGTGAACAAAGTTACTTATTTTTCAAGCTAACTTCATCCCCCAAATGGATGTTTCCCCGCCAAACTCAACTCAAGGTCATTACTCAAAGCCAAATCATGCCACATATTCATGAGGTAAGCAGCACCAACCATATCCAATATAGGCTAGTAAATATTGTTGCAACCCCTAAGTCTTTACTTTTTGACGTTTGCATCAAAGTGTATATTTATAGTCCGTATAACCATAATTCGTTGACTAATAATTCATTTAAAAGCTCGATCAGAGAACTCTTACCTTGAAATTCTTCGAATCGAACTTCTAAACAAGTTTTAAAATAAAAAATCTAATTATTCAATAAATTTTTTTTGTACTTGAGCATTGTTCGAGATTGAACCTTTTTATAACATTTTACTTGCACTTTAAGCATGTGCATGACCCAAAGCACACTATACTTATTATGGATCAAGAGGGGCATTAACTTTGTTTCGGCTGAATTAAATACAATGCTTTGATGTTTCTTGTGACAGCGGCTAGGGTTTTTCATTTTATGTACTCTCTCTTCGTTATTACTCCACCTCTCTTCCATATTTGATCACCTTGAAAGCCATTTTTTTTTTCTGTTCTTGTTGATTTTAAATATGTTACCGTTTAGATGGAAAACAAAAACGATATTTCCCTATCTATGGCAAGCATTCAAGTATTTAACTTAATAATTGATACCTGATTTTTTGCTCAAACATCAAACAGCAACCCAAAATTAGACTAGCCTTTAGGAGAGTACTTGGATAGAGTGTACTAGTTAATAGTTTTTGACTAGGTTAAATTATAGAGATTGACTTTTTTTTTTTTTTATCACATACAAAGTAATTAATTGCTGCAAACCTGAGGCTGGGAAGAGACCTATGGCTTTGGAGAAAACTTTAGTGAGTGATGATAAGCAGTCGAGTTCTTGCCTGCAGGTTGGCACGTGTTAGACCAAAGCCCCGGTCTTCGGTCGCCCAAATCTGACCCATGCTTTGTTTTTTTCCTAGCTTCTCTCTTTCGTCAAACTCAACGTGTTTTAGGTGACTAAAAAAGCTAAGCCTTATCAAACTTAGGATTAACCACTCTTCACCTTCCCCACCAATACATTAAACCAAAACCATTCATTAAAATATAGATTTATCAACGTCTTTTGCACCCTTTATTTTTTTAATTTATTTTTTATTGTTGCCATCATTTCATCAAGGAGTGCTAGGCAGCTTGAAACCATAAATGGGTGGTTTTGATCAAATGAACCTAACCCATTTTGCAATTTTGATAATAAAGATATTATGATCAATTTGTGGCATGACACGATTATTTGATCTAAATCATTTTAATTTACTCGATATCTTATTCTCACATGTATATTCATTATTTTTTTCCTTTTTTAATTCGAGTCATGTTTGATTTGTTTTATAATCCTAAGAATACAAAGTATAAATCTTTATTAATTGATACATATATTGAAATCTCCACCACGGCATTGGATTAGATACTTGATATTCAACTAATTAATATGGTGTAGTGGTGGTGTCCAATGCATATATATATATATATATTTTTTAATATTTGAATTTGTCAGTAATTAAATTCTTACTATTAAAATTAAAAATTTATTAGTGATTGAATTTTAATTATTAAAATTAAAATTTTAATATTTTATTAATAAATTACATGACTGTTGATTTAATATACAATTTCGTATATTATTATATTTAATTAATTAAACCCTCACTTAAATATTATTTGTGATTCACATAATTATATATGTTCATTTAGCCATTGAATAATAATAATAAATGTGACATTGTTTAGTTAATGCTAAATCACACCTTCACGCAACTATCAATTTTCTATTTTAAAGCCATTTTTAATTAGCTTAATGATTAATTTAAGAAAATAGTCAACACCATTTCCACTAAGAACATTGCAAAGATACCTAAACTTTGATTATGTTATTTTTGCAATTGCTTATTTAAAAACTAGTGCAAAACTCAAATTAATTCCATGGCTTTATAGTAATATGAATTAAAGACTAATTGGATTTTGGCTCCTAATAAGCACTCCATCCTCAGTCAACTCTCATGAAATATGTGATCATCAAACTTAATTGGGTTCATAGCGATTCACATGAAAGATATGATCATCAACCATAGGTTCATAGCAGTTTAATATTAACCTTTTGACTGTTAATAGATCAATAAAATTCCTTGGAAAAGCTGATTTACAAATATCATCCTTAGATCGTTTGAATAAGATAGATTTTGGTGGGGTTATGGACTCACCATCTTTGGCTGTCATCACCTTATTGCAAATGAACTTTGCATGGGGGAACTCCTTTTCATGTCTAGCTTGGAAAATATTCGTAATTTAGTTGTGTTTATAGCGTGTTGTTAAGAAAGACCGGTGATGCATGTTAGGTTTGATTTGATTTTATGACGTTCTGAGTTTCAACATTTGTAAAAAAATGATCATGGCTTAAGGATCCAAATATGTTAAGATTGCCAAAAAAAAATTAAAAACAAAAATAGAAAATAGGGTTACTTGTTTGCTAACATTTTCAGAGTAATAATATTTATTTATTAACCTAAAGTAATAAATGGAGGGGAGGGGGGTGTGGGGAACACTTTGTTTTTGGTAAGTGTGGGGGAACAGTCTTTGTCTATTGGGCAAATTAATTTGGAAATTTGTATAATTAAAGATGCAATTAAGGTAATATATTTGTATTAAGTAAACCTTATACCATTGAAATTGACATCACTTTAGTTAGAGAGTTCTAAAACAAATACAAATTGAATCCATTTATTTTCACATTAATTGGTTTGTTTTAATCTTTCATCGCATTTAATAATTATAATTAAATTTATCGTATTATCAATTAAATTAAAATATTTATTTTAATAAAATTAAATTAATATAAATTTTTTTTAATTATAATTATAATAATTTTATTTTCTTTGATCATAATTATATTATTTTTCATTTTTATTTTTAGTTTGCTTCAATCAATCTCATTATCTATAAAATGAAATCTTAATCAAACTGATTTTGCTCATTTTCTTCGTCTCTGTCTTCCCTGCTAGTCTCATTAACCCTTTTATTCGCTAACAACTAATTTGAAACATCAAACGACGAAAAAAGAAAAGAAAAAAAAGAAAAAAAGTATTCATTCATCGTTATAAAGGCATTGGGGGAAATGCTAAACTGAAGAAGGATGGCATATCTCGAGAACATAGAAAAACCCACACCGTAGCAGAAAAGGCACTCTGTTTCCAGCTTCTCTTAGTAATTTATTACTAGCCAAAAATTAGATTAATTAGATAGATTATTACCTTACAGTTTGACATCAAAGGAATCAATCAGGTAAACCCCATTTTTTTCTTTTTACAACGGAAGTTACATTTCAAGATAGCTGAGGAAATTACAGAGGTTGGGTTCATGTTTTTAAGTTGAATTGCTACTTATTTACTATCATAATTTATTTATTTTTTTAAATGAAAATGAAAAATCCATGTGAGAGGGAGAGACGGTGAAGTGATGTTTGAGTGTAAAAAAACAATAGGAAAGGGATTGAGTGAGACAGACGACGAAATGTCTGTTTGCAGCTGTTGTTACATGGGGAAAAAAAAGAAAATAGAGAAAAAACCTTTTTTTTTTGGTTCTGTATTAAAAAAAGAATTGTGTAATTGGAGGTTGGGGAGCTGTCGCGAGTAGAGTCGACGGCGATCCACTGCTCGACGACTCATATAAACCAAACCAAACCCTGAAACCCCAAAACCCCATGTAAAAGCAAAAGAACATAGGTCCCCTTAACCTTCTTCCTTTGTTCTTCTTCATGCTCCTTTGAAACGTGGCGTTGCTTCCTCTTCTTTCGTTTTCTTTTTCGACCCTTTCCTCCCTTTCTCTCTGTTTCTTTTGCTGAGTGATTTGCTCATTCATTCAATTTGGTTGTTCTTGAATCAGACGACCCACGTTTTCCCAAAGCTTTAATCTTTTTCCAGCCTTGGCTTTGATCAATCAATTCGCCTCCATTTCATCTCCAAGGTCCCTCTTGCATTCTATTATCTCTCCTCATTTTATGTTATTTACTTTTTGACAATGGTGGATGGATCAAGATCCGGTTTTTAAGAGATTTTTGTTTTTAGTTTCTCTTATTCTTTAGTTCTTTCCTTTGTTTTTTTTAAAAAAATTTTTTCTTCTTTTGAATAATAATAATACTATTATTAGACAGTCTCTCAGTAGAAGGCCAAGCATTTTCAAATTTTCGTTTCTTTTCTTCTTTGAATTGAAGAAATTTGGGGAGTTCAAGCTTACAGAGATTGTTTTAGCTTTCATTACTTTTCGATTTTCTCGCTCTATTTTTCCAATCTAAAATCGAAACTTTGCTCTTAAAACTTTTTTTTTTCTTTCTCTTAATATCCTTTTGTTTTTAAATCTGGATCAGGAGCTTAAAATAGTAATAGCTACAGTCTTAGATCTAACAAATACCCAAAAACTCAATTTTTTTTTCTGTTTTTGGCAAAAAAATTGTCTCTTTCTTCTTATTATCCAAACAACCCTTTAATCTCAGGGGCCATTTATAATTATTTTATTGAGTTATTTTCTAAAGTGAAATTTTGGTGACTGAAGGAAAAGTGCTGGTTAATGTTAAATCTTTGTAACTGGGATTCTGTTCTGTTCTGTTTTGTTCTTGGTTTTGTGGGTGTCGGTCTAATTTCCAAATTTAGAATGGCAACGTGAAGCTTTTGAGATTTGGCCATTTTGATAACCGCGCATGAACATGCATGTTCTTCAAATTATTTAAACACATTCTTAAATTTCATTATTTAATGGCTCCATCCATTTCATCTCTTCTCCTCCATCTTAGTTTCTCAGGTTTTTATTTGTTTCATCTTCTTTTTGCAATTTCCAATTCCTTATGTCAGTTGCTGAGGGGAAAAAAAAGGAAAAAAAAACTGGGTGTTTTTGTTATTTTGATTATAGTCTTCCAGTAGAAAATTAAGTTAGTAGCTTATTCATTACTAAATTTACCTTGTTTTGATGTAACTTTTGTTTTTTCTTCACATGCAATTTCCTGCAGTTTGTTACGAGGGTAATATAAAAGCTTTCATTGTCTATGAAGACATTTAAATCATGGAATGCGCTTGTCAATAAAAGAAATGCTTTATCTGACGGGGTATGCTCTTCCTTTTCCTTCAAGTTTGAAGGTCTTGGAAAATAGTAGTTTCAGTAGCATTTTACTTTTAAAGCTTATAAATGTTTGATGCTGTTTGTAGGGAAACTGCGGATTTAAAATGAAGCAGCTTCCATTTATGGGAGTTATTTGTACAGTAATGTTGTTCATTGTATATAGGACCACAAATTATCAATACCATGAGACAGAGGTATGAACTCCCCCTCATTCTCTAGATTTCACTGGTTTTGATTTGCAATTAGGAGATAAATGGAATTTGTTATTCCTGGCCTTCTAGTGGTCAATCTGGCATCTTTTGTTACCTTTTAGTCCACTGATGTCATGATGGCATTGATTTATTGGAATAAGGTGTCTGATTATTCAAGAAGAAAAGATGGCCTCACCTTGTGAAGCTTGCTAAAGCCATATTCTGATATCTTTTAATTGCTTTTCTCTTATTGTCAGATGGAAAAATTGCACCCCTTTGAAACATTTAAGGTAAGCATGTTAATACTAGAATATACCATACCAAGTCAGTTTTTAGTTCCTTTCAATGCTTGTGCTTGTAGAACTTGAAACTTTTTGCCATGGTTTTTCTTCAGACTATGTTTTAATATAACTTAATATGTATTCTTAATTCATTAAGTGCTCTGTTTGGATGCTTTTCCTTCATTTCATTGTTTTCTCAACTCCTTAGTTGCATATTATGTTTGTTGCTAGGATTATCAATTGCCTTATGGGAAATTAAAAAGTTTGCCTCATGGCATTATGCACGCTAGCTCGGATTTGGAACTAAGGCCTCTATGGTCAAGAAGTTCACGGTCAAAGGTGAGATTCTAATCTTTTTGTATGCTCGCATGAATTTGTATGCTAAGATATGAATATAGCCCACTTTCTTTGTTGTTTTTTGCCTTTTCTTTCCCTTTACTTTCTCTTTGCATGGATAAAGTAACTGATGATCTCGATAGGCTTAATAGGTCTAATACTATTGCTATCTGCTAGATATTTGTTATTCTTGCAAAAAGATCAGATTGTTTACAATTGTTCATGACATTGGGTGGCTATCCCATTACAGGTTAATCTTACCATGAATAAGAACTTGCTGGCAATGCCAGTTGGTATCAAGCAAAAAGAAAATGTTGATGATGTTGTGCAAAAGGTATTGCATCTTGTCCCGTGAACTTTCAAATTTGGTGAACTGCACATTCTCTGCCTAATTTTGTTGATTTCAGTTTCTTGCAGCGAATTTTACCATTATTTTATTCCATTATGACGGCAATGTGGATGGATGGTGGGATCTTGATTGGGGTGACAAAGCCATTCACATAGTAGCTCATAACCAAACAAAGTGGTAAGAATCACTGTTGGTGAAGGGATTTCTTTTATTCTATATCTTGTGAAACATGTTGGTGGATATGTATGCTCATTGCAATTGAAGTGTATCTAAGCACAGACTGCACATATTGTAGGTTATCCCACTGAAGCAGTTTCTGATGAGTTGAACTTATGTTATGTCTTTGATTCAAAATATAACCCATTTCATAGTTCAAGCAATAGGGATAGTTGGGAAATAATGGTTTTGAGTCATTTTAAGTTGGAGTCTTCTGACTTGGGATTTGCTTTAAAAAACAAGGCTGTAATCGAGAGTTCTATGGTTCTTACATTTGCATACTAACACTGTGAATTTGTATTTTTCAATCTACAGATTGTGCTGCTGTCAAGTGCACATATAACATTATGAATTAATGTTTGTATGTGCGACTTTAGGAGTTTGTTCTGCTATAGAATAGGGTCATGGACTTTGTACTGCTTGAGAAATAAGCCAATGTCTTGGATGAATGTTATTGATCGTTTTATTGTATTCATACTCTGTCTCCTGGAAAATCCTGATTGATTTGCCAAATGATCATTGTCCTTATTATTACTTCAGTATGGTGTTTCTTAGGTTTACATTTTTCTTTTAATTGGATAAGCTTAGCAATCTCTTCCCTCTTTCAGGTGGTTTGCAAAGCGCTTTCTACATCCAGATATTGTGTCTAATTATGACTACATATTTCTTTGGGATGAAGATTTGGGGGTGGAGCATTTTGATCCAAGAAGGTAAATGGCTTTTATGACATTTCTGTTACCTGCAATATCTTGATGTTATCTTGCCTTTGCAAAATATTATGTGTTGCGATGATAACATAATCCTGTCTGGTTTTCTCAGCATTTAGTTCAATCTTTCACCTGGTCGCTATTTGTGCTTTTTGAGGCTTCTGTTGTTGCTTAATGACAGGAGCATACTTTCATTTGGGGAAAACCCAAACAATTTGATTAATAGGTAAGTCTTCCTTCTCCAGGTACCTGGAAATTGTAAAGTCAGAAGGTTTAGAGATTTCTCAGCCAGCTTTAGACCCAAATTCAACAGAAATACACCACAGAATCACTATACGCGCAAGAATGAAGAAGTTTCATAGGTGAATGGATGATCTGTGACTATTCATAAAAAGCTTACATATGATTATTTGTATACTTATATGAAAAGTTTTGGCAAGCACAGGAGAGTCTATGACCTCAGAGGTAAAACGAAATGTTCAAATGCAAGTGAGGGGCCACCATGCACTGGGTGAGTTATTTTATCATCACATTGCTTGGTAGCATGATAGAATGTTTCTAAGCAATCTAATGACAATAATTTCTTCATGTCAATGCATTTTAAAAAATTCAATCTAAATTTCCTATCCTATGTCTTTAATACTTGATAACTTAAAAAGTGTCATGGACAACTACTTGGGTTCAAGACCTGAAAAGGATTTGCCCCCATTTTCATCTTCCAAACTCCATCTGAGATCCTCTGCTGTGAGCTGGTAAAGGCATCTGACTGTCCAGTAGATAAGACTGAGGATAAACGGATTGATGAAAATCTTGAAGAATATCTAGTTTCATTATCTGGTTAGTCAGTACTAATTTTAGTCATCCATATTGCCCTTGTAGATTTGTGGAGGGAATGGCTCCTGTGTTTTCAAGATCTGCCTGGTATTGTGCATGGCATCTCATACAGGTAATCTTGCATGTCCTTGTCTACATGTAACTTTAACTATAGCACTGTTGATTCTTTACTTCATTCCCTGGCTTGCTTTTTCATGTGATCCACTCTTTCTTTTTCTATTAATTTGCAGCATACGCATGTAGCACAACACGTATCATTTTCTCATTTTCTGTTTATTTTTGCCATTAATCTCTTTTTTTTTTTTTCCGTTCAGAATGATCTTGTTCATGGATGGGGGATGGATATGAAACTTGGGTATTGTGCGCGGGTAAGATTCACTTGATGCAATTTTGGACCTGCTTAGCCGTTGTTGACTGCTCATTCTTTATAGTTCATTTCCCTTTTCATTATATATTTCGTCAGACTGCTGAGTAAGATAATATTTATCATGGAAGCATATTCAGGGTGATCGCTCAAAGAAGGTGGGCGTGATTGATAGTGAGTACATTGTACATAAGGGCATACAAAGTTTGGGCGGGAGTGGGCATCCCACAACAAGGACAACCATAAAGGTTCTGCCTTGCCTCCTTTTGTTCTTGTATGTTCTGTTTGATGGCGACTTAATTTGTTTCTATCATTTTATTGATTGCAGTTTGGTGCTTCTATTTGACACCAACAAAAAGGCATCTCGTCCTTGGCCAGAGAAAAAAAGAAGCATATCTTTCATCTTAATTTGCTCGTATTCCTCACAAGGCTAATGTTAATCATTAACAAGCATAGAGAATATATTCCTTTAAGGAGTTTCTGTTAATTGTGTTGAACACCAAGCGAATATACTTTTACCTGGTCTCTTGTTTTTAAATTTTTTACCTATTTATCCAATATCTAAACCTGAAAGCCAAAATCCTTGGCCCTATATATTTCATTCGTCTTTACAAATTTCTTGGACCATCCAAATATGACCTAATTTTGTAAAGTAGCAGATCATTGGCTTTCAAAGTTCATCCTAATTTGTTTCTGAATTGCTGGAAGCCTTCATTATTTCATCTCAATTATGACCTAATTTTGTAAGTAGCAGATCATTGGCTTTCAAAGTTCATCCTAATTTGTTTCTGAATTGTTGGAAACCTTCATTATTTCATCTCAAGTATTGTTGTTCTACACTGAGTCATTTCTTATCTTATCATCAAGGTAAAACTATTTAAGGACAGATTTCCTGTCAGATTCATCCAGTCAGTCATGGTGCTCTAGATATTGTAGTTCACTTGGTTTCTTAATGGATTTTCCTGTTTATATGCAGAGCAATGGGGCTTCAGGTTTTGATCTACGAACTGAGGTGAGATTTGTAATTCCTCATTTCACCTTTATCCCTTATCAATTATCCCAAAAGAAAGAGATGTATCATGGCCTTGTGGGACATATAGATTCTTCTATAAGCCTGTTCAATGATTTTAATAAAGTTGCATACTTTTGCAGATTCGGAGACAATCCACTTGGGAACTTGAAGTCTTTAAAGAGCGATGGAATCAAGCTGTGGAAGAGGACAAGAGCTGGGTGGATCCATTTCTAAGATATCAAAGGCGCAGAAAACATAAACGTCAACACATTTAAGTTTTTAACTCATGACCCAACCAAAGCTGGTTGGATATGTTAGTTCAGCTTCCTCACAGATCCATACTTGTATTTTAGCTTCCTCTAGCCTTTCTTGGATTCTCGTAATTATTTCATTATTTGAATATTCATAATTTTGGAATCTTTGTCGGGTATGTATCGAGCTCTACATCTCTTCCATCTTTCCCTTTTTTGCAATTAATTACTATTGAGTTAATTCATGCAAGTGAGTAGTCTACCCCTTGCTCTAGGATATTTGTCATTCTATACAAGAAGAAATGCCAAAGCAATATTTCATTTATCAGCTCTGGCTAAGTTTTTACATGATTATGAGAATAAAACACATTCTTTGCCTCACCAAATAACTTCAAAACTTTTAGATTACAATTTACAACCAAAACTTTTAGTTTATGTGAGATGTAGTCTTGTTTGGATGTTCACATTTGTTTCCAGGATACATTACAATGTACAATGTAGATTTCCAGGATAAATGAAAGTCGCTTTCAGTTGTACTTGTCGCACGACAATGTACAAGAGAACAATCAAGGCCTTCTATACATACATACGTATATAAATATATATATATATATTTCTTAAACATGAGCTGTATTAATGCTACAATTTCATGCAAATTAACCAGATGTTACATTACAATACCTTTTGAGGTTTTTTTCATAACATATGTAAGTCTTGATTGCCACTCGACAATGTACAAGAGAAAGATGCCCAAAACAATGTTCTACCCTCTCTAGTTTGACTTGCTTGTTTGGCATATATTAGTTTGCATCCCTTTCATTATAAGAACATTTCATTTTCTATTAAGATAAAATTTCACATAAGTATTGTCGAAGAGGCATAGATTTGTCAATCGACAGGCATAAAAATTGTCTCTATATGAAAACATAATATCAAAATTATAATTGATCAGGGTAGACCATGTGTTTTGTTTTGAAATAACATTGTTATATGTTTCCAAGTCACTCTCCAACAGTAACAATGAAACAAGCTATAAAACAAAGAATTTCTTCGATCAATCCATTTATTTCAAACAAGCCAAGAATATACACCGTGTCATCTACTTTCTTACCGTCTTTCCCTTTTCGCTTTTGCTTCAACGGAATGCTACATCTGAATGAAGACGAAGTTTCCAATTTCTTTCTTTCTATCTATATAAGAGCACTTCGCTCCGTCAAGAAAATGTTGCCTTCACAACATTGCTTCTTATATACAGATTAACCTTGCATTTCCCTTCATCTATATGTTTCTTTCTTTCTATCGAAACACTTAACCCCTACTCGTGGCTGGTCACCGCGATAAGAACCCTTTGATGAGCTGGAAGAAGAAATCAATCCTTTTTCTGTGAGTTTCATATCTCTCAGACTTTATATATTTATATATGCTAGCTAAAGCATGTAGGCTACGTTTAATATGTAAAGACTAACAAAAACAAGTAGCTAGAATTATACCTCCGATGTCTATATATTATGCATCTTTACATGCAATGTTGCTAAAGCTGACTTATGATTTGCACGTAACTCAAGCATCGAAATAAAAGCTATACCCTGTGTTTATGTATATATAATCTAGTAAGTTTATGAAATGTTAAAATCAATATATAAGGTTGAACGGAGTTAATTGAGTTGGTAAAAATTGAATACTTCACTTGTAAGGTTTCTGTTCGATTTCTGCTGCTAATAATGGTGATCTACAAATCTAAGTTTTTGCTGAAACCAACGGTAAGTCCTAAATGAAATGGGATAGCCTCGCTCACTATATAACAGTTTTGACATTTGTTCACTGAAGAGACCATGTTGGTGGAGGTTACTATTGACCATCATTAGGTTATTGTCTTATAATCACTAATTATTACTGTGTATTGATAAAAGTTGAGTTGAATTTAATTTTGATTTTCATTAAAGAATTGCCATCTATACTATATATACGTTGTAAACTTTGAATCTGTTGTTTGTTATTTTGGGTCTTCCAATAAAAAATTTTACACTAATAAAATAGGATAATTGGTAAACTTCCAGAATCCTTCACATTATTCACACTCAGGACTTCCAGCTCTTCCTTCTGAGCCTGCCAGCTACAATTATGATCGCCATCCAGCCAATGACATGAGTCTTGATAGAGCAACGGTAATTAATGACCCAATTTTCTGGTTCTTGTGGAACTGAACATCAGTTTTCTCTGAATATTATCCTGTCTGAAATGTAGAATTTGAAGCAGAAAGAGAGAGAACTCCAGGCCAAGGAAGCTGAACTCAGAAGAAGGGAGGAGGTAATACCTTTATACAGACATGAAAAAAACTTTGAATTAATGCCGATTTTAAACTATCATAATTCATAGGCTAATGATACTGAAGTACTATGCTAAAACTTTGAATTATCTTATTTAGACTTTAGTCATGTGGATGGTTCAGTTCAAAGTTGTATGCTAACAAATTAATCAACATCAAATTCATGGTCATATTTCTAAGAGGCAAGATATATATTTTATAAAATGGTCTTCAGCACTCGGTGAGGCAATGCCATTGCTCAAAATGTTCACTCATCATATTCTTTTTGGGGCATGCAGGAAGTTAGAAGGAAAGAAGAAGCTTTAGCACGAGGTAACCAATATTTGCTATTACATTTTGATTAGTCTTGCAGGTCTTTCTCTTCTGGGTATTTGATTAGTCTGACTGATTTTATTCTTAAATTTGATATGCCAAGTTCATGGTTGAAAAAAGAAATGTGATAATTCCTGAAAAAAGCCCTGGCTGTTGGTCTTGGCACCAATTATTAACTATCAGAAGGGACTCATAAACCTTAATAAAGGAGTTTTGACTTCTTTTTGTTGCAGCTAGAGTTTTTCTCGATGTAAAAAATTGGCCGCCATTTTTCCAATCATTTACCAAGATATTGCAAATGAGATACCAAATTATCTACAACGAATGCTATATGTAGCTTTCTCCACATTCTTAGGTACGTAAGCTTCTTGTCAAATGCATAGCTTAGATTTGATTATTACAGGTTTTTACTTGAACATAAATTTTGAATTGTAAATATCTAAAGAACTACTGATCCTTTATAGCATTATGATACCTGGGATCCCAAACAAGATATGAATGGCAATTTTTGCAGGATTGATCCTGTGCCTTCTCTGGAATCTCATAGTTGTTTCCGCAGCAAGCATCAAAGTGTCAGGTTGGATTAGAAATTTGTTGCAACTTCTTTTTTTTCCTTTTCGATTATAATTTTTAGACTCTGACTCTTGAATCTTAAAACTTTTACATTTAGGCATAAGGATATGGTTCCTTGCTACCATCTATTTCATTATAAAGGTACCGGGATCCTATATACTATGGTATCGTTCACTTTATCGCGCTTGCAGGTACTAATTGAAACCTGTTTGTTCATTTTGGTTTTATAACTTTGCACAATGTTTTTCATTCTGTTGAATTATCATTTTATGAACATGTTGCAGGAAAGACGGTGGGTTTAAGTTTGGATGGTTTTTCATGTTTTACATGGTAATGTATTCTACGTATCTGGTGACCCTTTTTTACCGGTCCCAAGAGTTGGCATGGCAGCTTCCTAACTAGCTATTTCATACGAATTTTTTTTTTCTGGTTGCAGATACATATCTGCTTCTGCATCTATGCTTTGGTTGCTCCTCCTATATTTTATCAAGGGTTATCAGTCCAGTAAGTTCTTAAATTGATATAATATGCTAGGCTTCTGTCTTTATTTATGACAAACATCCCTGGTTTGTACTACAGGATTTGATGCCTTTGTCTTTGGTAGATGCAAATGAACTAGAAGCCAGGTTTCGGGGTTCATTTTCCAATTACCCTACATCTTAATTATGACTTATTTTCTGTTATGGGCTGCAGCAAGGGAATCATGAGTGCATTATATGTTATGAGCCGCAATGCTTTATCGGGGTAAAGTAAAGATAGCTAAGCTTCTTGAATTCTTTGATTGAAAGCATAAATCAAGCCCTGACCACCGTATTCGTTCAACTTTGCTTTGTACAGATCTTCTACTTCATTGGATTTGGGTTATTCTGTGTTGGGTCGTTGTTAAGCATCTGGGTCGTTCAGGTGTGATCAACACTTTTTTACTCTTTGCTGCATTCATTATTTGATTTCTTTGGGATCCTCAAATCATTGTTTATCCATCCTTTACAGAAAGTCTACAGGTATTTCCGTGGCATTGGTAAGGCTGCAGAGGCAAAAAGCAATGCTGCAAGAGGAACAGCAATGGCAGCAATGAGTTATGCTAGCAGAGAATCAAGTAAGATAGCAGTCTCAACCTCATCATCTACCCCTTCTTGCTTAGCCATCTATTAGAAACAAACAGCACATTAAGCCTCTTTGTAAATTGGTATTACCGACAGCTTCATATATATTTTGATGTAAACATTTGGAAATGTCACAAGTACTCAAGAATGAAGAAGGAATTGGCAAAAGTTCTTCTCTGTAGGGTCAACTCGATTAGGTAGCAAAGAAGAAGGAATATTAAGCTTGATAGTACTCCATATATAAATTCTATTCAGACAAGACAGTGTTTCAGTTAATATTAACCAACCACATTACATTAGTTTAGGTAGAAAGAATGCAAACAAATCCCTGAATTCTACATTTAATAACATAGTAATCAAAGGAGTTTTGGTTTTTTGGATTATGATTTTTATTATTATCTTGCATTAAACGTGGTTTTTTTTTTTTTTTTCTCTCTGAAAATTAGATTTTCCTAAAAAGACAAATTTATGGAAGAAATATTGAAGCAACTTGAACATTGGGGCCACCCAATGGGAAAGGGACATGATTCTAGAACAAAAAAGAAATACCAACGTTACGGATCAACGATGCTGTTTTCTTTTTTTTTTTTTTTTTTTTGGGTGTTGTAGCCAATTCAAAATTCAATTTCAATGTTCATAACTTTAATTGTAATTAATTCATTTTGATTTTTTCAAACAAACTTTTCTCGATGTTCAAAATTTTACCAAAAATATTATTTTAAGAAAAAATTTCATTTAATATTATTCATATCAAAAATTAAAAAAAAATACATTAATCATATTTTTAATTATCATTTATAACTGATACATGTCTCTTGTAATAATGTTTCTTTCGTCATCGTTTAATTGTTAAAGTGGCATTTTGTTCTTCAAAAACAATTAATTTAATTCATGTAAAATTAAAAGTTAGGTTGGCTGATGTGAATTTGGAAGCGAAAAAAAAAATCTTTCACCGCAAACAAGGCGAAAGAAAATCGGGCAGTCACATTCTCCGTTCCAAAATTCAAAAATAAATTAAGGGAAAAAAAGACAAAAAGGAAAAGTTGGTAGTAATCTCAAGGGAAATTATTCTATTTTCCCGCTGTTTCGTCTTAATTTCTTTTTCGTCAAACTTCAATAAATTCGTACAAGCTGACTGCAACCGAAAAGTCTAATTTCTCTCTCTCTCTCTCTCTCGTCCACAGCAAGTTTCCCTCTCTAGAAAATTGGCCTTTCCTTTGCGAGAACAGAAAATTTTTCCTTTCGAAAATTCTTAACTTGAGTGTTTCAATTTGCTTCTTCCGAAAGTTTCTTCTTTTTTCTCTCTAGTTGAGATCTTCCTTATATATATTTATCATATTTTCAGTTGCTTTTTTCAAGTTTTTGCAGATAATAAAAACCCTACACTGATGGCTGGCCGTTACGATAGAAATCCTTTTGATGAAGAAGAAGAAGTTAATCCTTTCGCTGTCAGTTCCTCTCTGTCTCTTTTTCATTTACCTCTTTTTTTTTAGTTGATTTGATGTTGTACATTGGAGTTGAATTTTTGAAGTTCAATTATGGTAGCTCTGTTGCTTTTTATTGAAGAATTTTGAAATTCTAGGGCCTTGCTTGAAGGTTTAGTAACAAAAAATTATCCGTTGACTTGCTTTTATTTTGTGATCGCTTCAACATTTTAGTTTGATCTGAAATTTTGATTGAATTTGGGTTTGGAAAGTGTTTTAATTGGTTGTTGTAGTTGATGTGATCATTCAAGTGACTGCGGTTTCTTGTTAATAAAGATGCATTAAATACAGTACAAAATTTATTTAAAGCTTGTTCAATTATTAAATCTATCATCAATTTGACAATTTGTTTCAAAATAATCATTTTCCTAGTGCAAAAGTTCATGCTTTTTTTTTTTTCTTAGTATTGTTATTGATTTTGAGAAAGTGATTTTGATAATGTTTTATTTAACCATATATCTATGATACCCAAGAGAGAAATGATTTCTTTTCTTTAGTATTAACTCTTTTGATAATCTAATTTCTATATCAGTACATTTTAGTAACCTATATATACAATTCAAAATGTGTAATTCCTGCTATGGCAATTAAGCAGAAGGGGGAATTTTTATGGTTTCGTTTTTGCACTTAGATAAATCTTTGTCCATGAATTGCAGGCTATGACACATTATCGGGCTTTATAACTTGATTTATCTGTCAACAAGTTGGTATAGGGATGCTAGCCAACTTCTACTTTAATATGATTCTTTTTTTAATAATTTCTAACAGGATCCAGCAGTGAGAGGGAAGGCATCTGGCCAGTCTAAATTTGGTGGAGGTCTATTTTCAACGGTAAACTAAATCCTTGTTTATAAGGTTTCAATGAATATTTAATTCAAAAATTATTGTTGAGGTTAAAGCGAGAGCAGTTTTAGGAAATATTTCTGATTAGATAATGGGTGAAAGCTGTGGAATTTAGCATATGGCTTTGGTTGTTTTCATCTTCTTGATATATGTGTTATCAACTCTGTTTTGGATGGTTAGGTTTTAAGTTTATCCTTTAGGCATGATCACATGGATACTTAGTCAACAATGCTATGTAAAGCTATAGCTTCAGGTGATGTGCTAAACTGCCACTTTTTAATCCCTTGGGCACGCTGAAATTCCATATTTTTTGCTAATTTGCAAGGAATTCCGTAGTAAAATTTTTATTGATTAATCCGGAGCCTGAGTTCTTTTTGTAATGCTGATAGGTTTAGGAGTTAGCTTGCATTTGATCAAAGGCTCAGGATGATTTAGTTCAGAAAAAATAGGTTGCTTTCTATATTTTTTGTGATTTGGTCGTGTCTAATTTGGCCTTTTGGTATTGTTTCTATACATCTGTATACCAGAAAATTTGCTTATAATACTTGCTTCTTGAATGCATACTATCAATTAATTTTCAGAATACTCCAAGCGCTCCACCTCCATCAAACTCAAGACTTTCACCACTACCTCCTGAACCTGCTGGTTTCAATTATGATCATGAGGCAACAATTGACATTCCTCTTGATACAGCTTCAGGAGGATCACATTATCAGGTTGGTGAAGAGTGAAGACCTGTCTCTAAATGCCATTTCCATGATTTGCTTAAGCGTTTGATCTCACTGTTCTGGGTCTACTGTTTAAATCTAGGATTTGAAGAAGAAGGAGAAGGAACTCCAGGCTAAGGAGGCTGAACTGAGAAGGAGGGAGCAGGTATGTCGTGGAAGAAATTTTATAACTTTGAAATCATTTTTATTCTAGAGAATTATAGATTTATTTTGTTCTTAATTTGCTCCCAAAGACATGTTATCAACACATTTAGAATCTAATGTAATTAAAGCCAAATATATCTTACTAATTTGTCATACAAATTACTATTAAGACACTATTAGGCTGTTGCTGGGATATCATATGTGTTATCTCATTGTATTTTAGCGTACTAAGTTATTTGGATGGTTTTAAGATGCAAGTTTTCACTCATGCATGTTTGTTTCATAAATAAATAGCAAGAACTTAATGTTGTTTTCTGCCCTTTGGCACCTCGTAAATTATTGCATCCCTCAAGTCTTCACTAATCAGCTTATTCCATGCAGGAAGTGAGACGGAAAGAAGAGGCAGCAGCTAGAGGTACCTTTCATTTTCTTTTTGTAATTTGATTATTCACACTGATCAAATATAGTTTTGCTCATAGTTTCAATATTTGTTCTAGATCACATTTCTTTTGCAAAATATTTTGATCTGATTCTATTTCCTTTCTATGGTCAATTACATTTACATTTCTGGCATGAGCTAGAGTTTAACTTGTCTGCTTTGCAGCTGGAATTATGCTGGAAGAGAAAAATTGGCCACCATTTTTTCCGATCATTCATCATGATATTGCAAATGACATACCAATTCATCTACAAAGACTGCAGTATGTTGCATTTTCAACATTTTTAGGTATGTAAGTTTTTTTTGCAGGCTTATTGCTACCTTTTGTTCTATGCATGGTGTATCTAAACATCGCTTAATATGTGATATTTTTGGCTAAAAAGGAAATATTTGCTGTATTCATATCTGTTTGTATTCTCTTATAGATTGCATTGGATGATTATTTGTACCATGCTTTTATTTTGTTTAACTTTTTAGCTGGAAAAGGCTTTGGTGTAAGCCAAAGGCTGGTGGACTGTTGGGTGATATACGGTGATTCTATGCAGGATTGGTTCTGTGCCTTCTATGGAACATCATAGCTGTTACTACAGCATGGATCAAAGGGGAAGGTTAGTTTAGAAATGTACTTCCATATTTCTTGTTTTCTTTTGAATATAATGTTACGATTATGTTGTGTTTTACCTATTTATTGTTGTTTAGGTGTGAGGATCTGGTTCTTGTCTATCATCTACTTCATAGCAGGGGTCCCAGGAGCCTATGTTTTGTGGTATCGCCCACTGTATCGTGCTTTTAGGTGTGTAATATGCTCCATGCTTTTTCTTTTTAAATGCTGGCTTGCCTTCAATGCCAACTTCCATTGCCAGTTTCTTAAATCCGGCTGTTCATGTACCTTGCACTTGCTAGTCACTAATCAGCCCTTATTTTAATTTGAATTATTTTCTCACCTTATGGCTATCATGCAGGAAAGAAAGTGCTTTGAGGTTTGGATGGTTCTTCCTGTTTAATTTGGTAATATATCATGTTTCTCCTGATAGATATGTTTCTTTTTTTTAGGAGTTGTTAGATACTGATTCTTTTATTCCTTTTTTTTTTTCCTATTTATAGCTTCACATCGGCTTTTGCATCTTTGCTGCGGTGGCTCCCCCTATAGTTTTTAGAGGGAAATCACTGACGTATGTTCCTAAACTATTTTTTTAACTTATCTTTGGCAATCTCTATTTAAGTTGGACTGATGACTTGCATCATCTGTCTTTATTTACAACTACATCAGTGCATTCGAGTTGACATGATGCACTTATCCTCCAAAAAAGTGCATTTTTGTTTCTTGGATTCTTCTATTTCAAATATGAGATAATTGATCTACTATTATCTCAGTAGGATGCAAATGTACTGCAAGTATTTGCGATGCAAAATTGGTATTCTAGTTCAAGCTTTTCTTCCTATATCTTACTAATGTTGTTTTGTCTCATACAGTGGGATCCTACCTGCAGTAGATCTTATTGGTGACAATGCTTTGGTTGGGGTAAGTATATCCTTAAGCCTGAGCAAAAGTTTTATACCCGTTGTGAGGACTCGTCATTAAAACGGTGAAACAGTTGCCAAGTCTGCAGCATAAATTTATTACATTGTGGTGTTAAGTGGGATATAGTCAAAAAAATTTTTTTTTATCTTGACCATTTTGATGAATATTCTTTCGTTTACGTAGATCTTCTACTTCATTGGTTTTGGATTATTCTGTGTTGAATCAGTTGTAAGCATCTGGGTTATCCAGGTTTGTTCAGTCCCCAAACTGATTCATTGGAAATATCACATTCACATGCACATATGAGATTTCTAATATCGTTGGCTGTTGCCTTTGCAGCAAGTATACATGTATTTCCGTGGCAGCGGCAACGCTGCTGAATTGAAGCGTGAGGCTGCAAGAGGAGCAATGAGGGCTGCCATGTAATGGCACAGGCTAGCAGCAACGAGATATACAGTAACCGCATATGTGGGTTCTGCTTATATGCGCTTTGACCGGGAAGGAGCAGATAGAGCTTGTTATTTCTCCCATCCTGGCTTTTGATGCACATATCTCTGTAACTTGTTCCGAGTGCTACTTTCTGTAAAGTTTTTTTCAGTCGGGAGTTTGATTAGCAGACACCTTACACTAGACTTTAAATGATTTTCGTTTCTATAACTAGAGGGAGAGTTTCATTTTGCGATTGGTTAATGGTGTAATATCTAGTTAAGACCATCAGTTCTAAGATGAGAGAGATGTATAATATTACTGGTCTTGTATCACTTTTCCTATCATATACATCTATAGAATTGACCCTTGGGGTCTACCAAATATGCAAGAGACAACGATGGAGGTGAACCTGGTGATGGGTAGTTAGGGGCCGATTGTGAATCTTAAAGGTCATTGTCTACTAAACGAAAACTTCAATGGAATCATAGGGACGGTAATTTTATTTAGGTTTAGTGCATCAAATTTAGCGTAGCCGACTGTTGATCCCTGACTAAGAATATTGTAGCCATACTAGGATTCGGAACTACGAAACAGCCAGAAATTAAGTGCTTCTAGGTTTGGAACAACACAAAAAACAGTGATAGCGAGTCACGAGACTCACGACCATAACAGAAACGGAAGCAAACCCATTGATTTCAGGTAGCAGTTTCCTACAAAGAAAGAAACGTTAAAAGAGAGTTATTACGGAAATGCAGAATTAAACTCACCACAACTACCCGTGATAGCCAACAGTTCTGTTAATAAATGTCTTTAAAGCATAAACAGAAGATGGTATGGCAATTCCCAGCTTTCCCTCCCTTGCTCCCAAGAAGGAAAACACTGAAGGAACTGCCATCTAAAGCCGGCAGAAGATGGTCAATCATCGGTCCGTTTTGCTTACACATACCGTTATCCAGTCACTGCTATCATGAATTCCTTTTTCAAAGTGTCGAAATGAAAGCAGGAAGCAGAAATTGTTGAACATTTTCTATCTTTTACAGTACTTCTGGATATACCCTGAGTTTTCAATCATGCAGAAGAAGATCACCGGTGTAACTTCAGTACAATTATGTAAACCAAACACAGATGAAATGGACCACGTGACATCAACAACACCATAGCAATCACATTAAAATATAAACAAGAAAGTAATTATAAGCATATTCTCTCGTTTTTATTCATTTAAATTAATATGATAGTTTATCCCACTAGTAAAAGAGAACTCTTAGTCCATCAAATATACTCCATAGATATATATATTAATAATTTAATATGATTTTTAATTGAAAACTCCATGCATCTGATCATATATATATATATATATATAATCATACATGGTTTAGTAGCTAGCTATACGAATAATATAGCAAGTACTATATGATATATTATTACCCCTTAACAATAAGCAACGCATTTTTTCTTACAATCCATGGTGCAGCCACCGCCACCGCCGCCGCTACCGTACCCTTTCCCTGATCGGCTAATAGAGGTGAAACACTTAGCAGGGCAGGTCAAATTCTTGTTGTAACAAGGACCCTTTTCTTTGCAAACAACAGTAGGCCTAATTACACCACCTTTTGAATAACCTCCAGTAGGACCTCCGTAGCCAGCTCCATAGCCACCACCTATGATCCCGTTTCCCCACCCTTTTTCAAACCCTGGAACCCCAAACCCAGGTCCTGGACCAAAGAAACCGCCAATCCCACCATTGTTTCCACCACCACCTTCACCTTTGTTATTGTTGTTTTGGTTGCTTGGTTTGCTGCCTTTGTTGTGCTTTTGCTGGGATGAAAAAGGCTCGAAAAAGTCAGGCCTGGTTGCTGCAGATAGTGAAGCTATGATGACCAGAATAGCCAAGATGAAGGTGCTTTTGGGGTTGATCATTTTTACTTTTCTTATCTCTGTTTTGAGAGGATTTCACTTGGAGATGTCGTTTTTTTCAAGATTACTGTGATGAGGAGAGAAGCGAGTGCTACCGTGTAGGGATATTTAAGTGGGTAAGTGGGGATGAAAAGAAGTCATTTATGCAGGAAAGAGAGAGAGAGAGTTGGTGACAGTTGAGGAGGAGGGTCCTCCATGAATGAGTGGGTTGGGCGCAATCATGACCCTATCTTAAGTTTAGTGCTCCAACTTATTTTTCTCTTAACACCTTTATCACCATTTCAATCAACAGATAATTTTCTCTCAAAATTCGGGAAAAGAATGTAAAGCTTATAATAGGAGATTATTATTTATCATTTTTGTTGAAGATAGTCAAATTTTCTATGAATAATTTTTTGAAATTACTTGCTTAAGAAAAAAAAATTAGTATTAACATAATATTTAAAATTATCAAAAAATTAAACTTAATTATTAAAATTAAAAATTTTAAATATTTTATAAAAAAATCATGCAATCGTGTTGTCACTATCACTAGTTTTATTTTCCATTGTGTGATATTTTTTCACTCGTACACTCGGTATAAAATCTTAAAATGATACCAATTATTTTTTTCTAATTATGAAAATGATAAAAAGTTATAAAACAACTTGCGATAAAAATTGATGGTTTCATAAAAGTGTGGAAACAAGATTTGGGCATGTGATTAAGGCAAAGTGGGCACTATTGGTTTTGTACTTAAAAGGAAGCATAAGATGCTGATGGATGTAGAAAGGCTTACCATAGCTTTAAAAAGGGACATAGAAAATGAAGGACTATGCCACATATTAAACTGAAGAAATTGATATCTAACTTTATATATATATTTATATATTTATATATACATACTTAATGATATTTGGACCTCAAAACTGAAGCATTAATGAAAATAAGTGAACAAATGTGGAAATTCGATTGAACTCTATTGGTATTTGAATAAGACCGATAATTCAATGTGTAGGTCCCTATAGTTGTGGAAACCTAATTTAAAAGGATAAATACAACTCAAAGTCAATTATTAATTAATTGTCTTATTTAAAGTTTGATTAACGGGTAAACAATCACTTGTTAAGAGTGATTAAGATTTTATCTTATGAAAATTTTAAACAATTTATCTTAAGAAGTGTTTTTTCATTAATACACTATTTTATCAAAATTTTTTAAAAATATAATATATTAATTACACAATTAACTCCAGAATTATAAAATATAAAATTTAATTTATTGTTGTATAATATATAGTATATATTAATTTATAAATGGACGGTTAAGATTACAAATTTCAACACATTAAAATTGGTTAGCAAAATCAATCAATGTGGACAATAGTTTTTAATCATTAATTATCTTAATAATCACCGAAAAAGTATAATTTATTTATTCAAAATTGGAAGGAGATTATATGGAACTACCAAGTACCCTTACCCACCCATTGCCTGTCTGCGGTTAAAGAAATTTAGGGGATTGTAGCTGAGAAAAGGAAAAGAAGCAAATTTATTGCAATGTCCCAAACATGGCATAAATGCTTCCAACGGCCAATCTATGGAGCTCATTAAAGATGAAGGAGATTTCTGGTGAATGTTTGCATAAACGAAAATATTGCCTTTATTCTGTGCCGATTCCATGATTTTTCTGCTTGAATAAATGCAATGCACTGTACGTTTTACATGATCTACCCTCTTGCTTTCTCCATTTGGCTTACTTGGCTTTGTATCTTTTCCATAACACACCATGGATTTAGCGTGTTTATAGATGTCTAAGCACCATGGATTTCTGAATTCACCGTGACTATGATCTGAGGTGAAGCTAGTTATAAGAAAAAAGAGGGTAAATTTAGCAGGAAAATAAGGTTAAATAGTAACTTTCATGAGAAAAAGTACTATACATATAAAATGTTAAAATTTTTTTAGAGGGTCATGGCCCATGCCTGCCCCTAGCTACGCCCCTGACTATGATGGATTTTTCTTTTTTTTTTTTAGTGATAGTTTCTAAAATGAGTTTGGCAGTTCAGTCTTAGAACAGTACTCCTCTCTTGGAAGATGGCAAAGGGTTTATTAGGGAAGTTGAGCTAGTAATTGCTGAACAGGAATGGCAGCTCATTGGAGACAAGTATGTATGTATGTATATACTTGCAGCATTGAAATCTGATTTGTTAATGATATTTTAACATATAGTAATCGACAAGTTGTTAGAATCATTGAATACCACAGCACCGATTTGTTAGAACTCGACAAGGGAAGCAAGGGAATTCTGAAAGGGAGGGGCCGGCCATGAATCCAATATTTGACATTTGATCAATTAAATATTTATATATATATATATATATACATGTCATCAGTATCTCCATATTCGTTGATCATCCAACATTTATTTTCCTCAGCTACTTAAGTATAGCTAGTGTCTAGGACATTACCCCTTCGTAGCAAGGGAACCATCCCATCTTAATTACAAGTTTTCACAAGCCAGAATTGTCTCTGATCCCTGCTGTATAATGGAAATGTTTGGCTTCTTCAATTTGACCAAGTAACTTGGTCTGTTTCCAATGGTTTTTAGATGTTCTTTGAATGTGCTCAATGGCCTTAATTGAAATATCATCTGGCTATATCTATCTATCACAATTCTTTGTGCCTGCAAGCTGTTACCTCGACACATATTCAACGAAATTAGGTGGGGAGATGCATGCAAAACTCCAAAAACCTAAAGTTAATTTCCATGAAATATCTTTTTCACAAATTGCGGGTTTCCCTCTAGAGGGAACCATCCATTGCATGCCGTCGCATAAATGAATTAGTGATTATTTCAGACATCATCACAAAGAGCACATGGATGTATTTGATGGATCTTGAGTGTAGATATAGATAATTTGAATTGAACAGTAAAAAAAGTAATTGCAGCCATTAATCTTGGATATTTCATGTTACGCGTGGGAATCCTTGCACCTCTTTAGCGAATATACCTCGGCAGACCAATATTTAACAGGTTTCTGGTTGATTGTAGCTGGAATGGACCCAAAACCTTTAACGACTTGAATCCAGTCCAGTGGTTCTGGGGCTCACTATATATGGATTTATCAGGCTTATATGGGCCACTATTCCCAGTTCTTGTGTCTCTATTTTCTTACTTTTTAATTGGTTTCTTTTTTTTTTTTGGAGGCTTTGCTTGCTGTCGTTTCTGTCGTTCTTCTCTTAATTGCTTTCGCTGCCTGTTTCGTAAACGTGTAAATTGTATATTAGTAATAGTAAATTATTCGAATTTAATTTAAATAAAATTTAAATTTAATTTTATTGTTATGAAATTAAGTTTGAATAATTTAATTTATTGATCAAATTAAGTTTAAGTATTTTTATATTTGATTCGAATAGTTTACAAGTCTAATTAAATTTATATATTTAAATATATTTTTATTATTTTAATTAATAAAATATCTTAAATTCGAGTTTGAACACAAAAAAATTAAATTTTTATCGAATATACAAATCAAATTTATTTTTATATATTAATCAAATTTAATGAAACGAACTTGAATAATTTAATTTTAATTATGAATCGAGTTCAAATTAAAAAAATAAAATTCGATCAAATTTAAATTAAATATTTAATCATAAATTAAAAATCGAACTCAAACTCAATTTTTTTACTGTATCAATTTAATTCCACTCGATTACATTTTTTTTTTCGGTAAAAATATATAAAAAAAAAAAGATGGAGAGCTCATGCCATAATACGTGGAACTTGGAGGGTCGCCCCAAACTTCCAAAGGGTATGACCATAACCTTGGTTGTTCTTGACGACTGGGCTGAGAATAAGCCCCATCACTACAACTGCATTCATGTTGCCCAAGCATCCGTCTTTATCCCCTCTCCCACCTCCTTCTTCAATTGAGTTGCCTTTGCCATCCAACGACAGTGTTCAGACAACTCCGTCCTCTATAACCCGATTCAACCATTTGTCAGTGCAGAGGAAAACAGAATTGTAATGCTGATTTTATATGGTAAGACTATCCATTTTCACCTTTTATTGTTTCGTAATATTTAGACGCTGTATTTTGTTTTTGGTTCATAAGAAAGAAGGGAAATTTCTCATATTTGATGTTGAGTCCTGTCTTTTGTATTTGATCGTTGGGTTTGCTTTAGAATAAACATTTTCCTGTGAAATTAAAGCTTTTATCTTTGGGTTGATGTGTTTTAACTTTTTGGTGGCTGTAACTACAATTGTGTGTGGAATGAAAGTTCATTGGTTCTTGAGTTTCAAGTTTTATACTTTTATTGGCTGTTATATCTTCTTAAAGGCTGAGGTTGATATTTTCTCCTTAATTGCAGCTTCATAGACAAAGCGGTCTTTGGTCTAACCGATTTATGTCCGTATCTCATCCTTGCATTCGTTATCTGAGTTATCAAACCAGAAACCTTCAAGCCATTGCTTCAATTGAAGTCTTGATAATAAAGCTTCAGAAACGATATGCCCACATCTGCCACTCCATTGAAGAATTGCCCCTTCGAGATACCTATTCCTTTAATAGTCAACTTGCCTCATATGTTCGCAAAGGGGACATTCAAGCAACATGGGCTCTCTTTTGTCACATACATTTTTCATGCTGTGACCTTAGTGCTTATACTTTTACACCAGTTTTGAGTGCCTGCTCTGCTTTACCGGGCACAAAACATGGAAAGCAAGTCCATGGGCTAATGGTTAAAACAGGTTCGGATGTAGGAACAGTAGCCAAAACTGCATTAATGAACCTGTATTCGAAGTATAGATGCTTAGGTGATGCTTAGGTGACTCAGTTATAGAGTGTTTGAAGACATTGAACTGAAGGATGTTGTGACTTGGAATGCTTTAATCTCGAGCTTTCTGAGGCATGGTCTTGCTAAAAAAGCACTTGATGTTTTTGCGACAATGAGAAGGGAAAGAGTATGGCTTAGTGAGTTTACGTTGTGTTCTGTGCTAAAAGCTTGTGCTTCTTTGAAGCCTTTTGGACTAGGAAAGCAGGTTCATGGTTTGGTAGTTGTATTGGGCCATGATTTAGTGATTTGGGGACGGCTCTCATCCACTTTTACTTAGATATGGAGCGTATCAGTGAAGCTTTGAAAGTTTAGTATAAACAATATGATGGACCATGTAATGCGTAATTCTATGATCAGAGGCTGCATTAAAAATCGAAAGTACAAAGAGGCATTTTCAGTTATGAGTAAAATGAGACCCAATGTAGATGCACTTACTAGTGCTCTTGGAACTTGCTATGAAAACTCAAATTTGTGGATTGGAAAGCAAATTCACTCTGTGGCATTACGATTTGGGTTTACTGATGATACTCAATTATGTAATGTTATATTGGATATATATGCAAAGTGCGGGATGATCTTGAATGCAAGATCATTGTTTGATGGGATTTCACATAAATGCGTGGTTTCATGGATGAGCATGATAGATGCATATGGGAGTCATGGGTATGGGCTTCAAGCTCTTGAGCTGTTCAAGCTGATGGAGTTATGCCCAATTCTGTACCATTTCTTGCTGTTTTATCTGCTTGCAGGCATTCAGGGCTGGTTGCAGAAGGCCTAAAGTGTTTTGCTTTAATGAGGGAAAAGTTTGGTGTTCACCGCATCAAGAATATTATGCTTGCTTCATTGATGTTTTAGGTCGGGCTGGTCAAACGGATGAGACATGGTGTCCTTTTGATGATATAATTAAGAATGGTCAAGGCCTACAGCAGTAATTCGGATAACATTGCTAAACGCTTGTGGTCTTAATCAAGATATTGCTAGAGGTGAGTTTGCTGTGAAGCATCTATAGGAATTAGGACCAGATAAGCCTGCGAATTATGCGCCTTTCAAATTTCTATGCCACTGTTGGAGGGTGCGAATCTGTTGATAACTTGAGAGATATAGTGCGGAAGAAAGGGCTCATTAAAGAAGCAGGAAGCCAGGAAATAGCCGACTCACTGTTAAATGCTATAATGAAACTGATATCACTAGAGAAAGTCCTATTGCTAAGACATTCCTTTGAAAAGTTACAATCAGTTTTCTTTCATTTACTTTCAGTACCTTTTCTTGAATAGAGTAAACATTGTTTTTGTTGAATTAGACTTTTGGAAAGTCTATGATAAAATTTTCCATTCATCCAATTTTGGTTAACTTGATATATTTTCCTCTGTCCTTTCCAAGGTTCTATATGAAAATAGAGAGCAAGCTTAGTGAATATGGATTTGATTCAGGCGTTTGTTGGTTGTAGAAAAAGATTGTTATTTTATATTGATGAGCTCTTGCAACAGCTATTCTACATAGGACTTTTGCTCTCAAATTGGAATTGAGAAATGGTGGCTTTAACTTTTGGTGCAAACCTTACCGCATAGGCGAGCTCTGCTAAGCCATGAGTATTTGCTCCATAGTTGGTAAATATATATATATATATATATATTTATATATAAGTTTACAATCTAGGGAAAAGGTAAGGGATTAGGTTATCAGTGTTAAGATTTAAATCCTAAACTTATTGAATGTAGTTTCTTAAAAATAACTGCAAGAAATAACTTAGCTAAACTCCATGGGAACAGATAAATTCCATAGCTAGCTAAACTCCATAGCTTCTTTGATTTGAATATTATTGGGCCGTAGCGTGAACATGTAAATGTAATAGGCACAAGCAGAGGCATGATTCTGAAATAACAATGGACTTTATCAGCTTAAAGTTCATGAGCCCTCGAAGAAATTTACCAGTCTTGTCAATATTCCACTCTCTCAAATCTCTCGCTCAGGTTTTTTTTCTTCATTTAAGACTTAAAAAATACTCTGTGCTGCCGGTACTGTCACCAGACTCATTACCCCTGCAACTTCTATGGGAGTCTAAAATACTTTTTGAACATTAATTATTAGCAAAATGCTAGATTGAACTTGTTGAAAAATATTTACAATGGCATTAATACAAGAGAGAGGAACAGCCCACTCTCTACAGAGTACCTAGGACAACTGAAAAAAAAAAAATAATAAATAAAACTTTTGGTTGATGCTGAAGCAACCTTATATCTTGAGCTTTACAAACAGAAATATCCATAAAGTACCAAAATATATAAATATATATATATATCCATAAAGACTATGTCATAGCATCCTCACTCTACCACGCATTTTGCTTTGTAGTAATCAATGTGCAATGTGAAATGATTATAGACTGGAGGAGTTCCAGCTAGCATCAACAGCTCTGATGATTTTTTCATGTAGTTTAGCTCCAGCACAAGCAATTATACCTCGATCAAGACCTTCCAAGAATATTCCCTTTGAAAAGTCCAGAGGAGATCCTCCTGCATCTGTTACAACACCACCCGCCTCCTGTATGATAATAACACCAGCTGCATGATCCCATATCTTTTCCTTGTACCCAGTCCTCGCAAACTTCATAAAGATTTCAGCATCCCCTCGAGCTATGGCTGCATACTTCACCATGCTGTACACACGTAGCGGTTGCTTCCTGCATTTGAAAAAAAAATGACACATTTTGTTATACAGCTGAAGCATATCATGTTTATGAACTAGTGAAAAATTCTTTCTTTGCTTTCCATCATCCATTTGAATGTTGTCTTTTCTATAACCCAAGCTAGCCATGGCTTATAACTCAGGATCCTAGATCCATTTGGTGACAAGTCATGGAACCAGGGATATAATCAATTTTAAATATTTGTCAAAGGAGAATGCATAAAATGGGGATCTCTTCTCTTCAAGAGTCAATATATAGTTTGGAAATGAGAGAGAGAGAGAGAGAGAATATATGCACCTAAGCCCAACACTGTGAGCTAATCCTGCTGTGAAGGAATGGCTTGAATTTGACTTCTCAAATGGTTCACAGAACGTAGCCAATGCTGGATTATCAATTGAGGATACTCGAACTGGTTTTTTAGAGTTTGGCCATGCTAGCAGCTTATTCTTCTGGTGTAAAGGTTGCATCCAAGCCTCACCACTACCTTTCCTTGCATAAATCACACAACCTTTATCCCATGATTCAGATGATGGTGGGGTCAGTTTGGATATGATTCTATGATAGCGGTGATGATAACTTAGCCATTCCTTCTTCATGGGATAATTTGGGCAACCAAGAACACCAAGCACAACTTCTCCATCCTCTATTAATGCTAAAGCAACAGCATATTGATCACCACGTACAAACCCCAACGTACCATCAACAGGGTCCAGTGCCCAAAATCTTCCAGTAGGACCTCCCGTTGAATTGCATCGACTAATGGCTTCTAGAACATCTGAAGTCCCAAGTGGCACTTGGGGACCCTTAAGCCCAAAATGAGGTGCCTCAATTAGACAGTCATTGACAGTTTTCACCACAGCATCTAACGGGCCAGTTGCATCAGCCGTAGAGAGGCTTTGAACATCTTCTTCAGCAAGAATAGACACATTTCTACAACCAAAGGATTCAGAAAGTATCCAGCTTACCATTGCTTGAACACTCCAATCTGATTGCATAGCATAACCAAAATGATTAGATAATCTAGAATGTTGTGATGAGTAGAGAACCACTCAAATCAAACATGAAACTTAATTCATTTATCCAGGAATGGCAAGTTATTAACAAAAAGGTTCATCTAAATTAAAACAACTAAAATAAAATAAAGTGGCTTGATTTACTCGGATTTACAGCACATTTGCTTTACTCTGATTCTTCATAAATCAATAACAATATGCAACCTGGTAATATAATCCTCAAACATTAGAAAAGTCCCCAGGAGTTTGGCATAATAGCAGCATTATAGAACAATGTGACCCTTGCTACTTAGGTAATTTTCTGAAAAAGAATCATTAGTCAATCACCATCAATTTATTGTAGGGTTGCAGTTGGTTTATGCTGATAGGCCTACTTATCTTTCCTTTCCAAGCAACCAGAAAAAATAGTCACCATCAAGCATGAATGGAGAGTTGTCCGAATGTTCCAGCAACATTGACTGTTAAAAATGCAGCACTGCTGCCCACATAATTGGTGACCTGCTATGGTTCCTCCCACTTAAAATTATTTGAAGAACAATTAGATGAGAAATGTGATCATCATTAGCTGTAGGTATCTAATCCTTTTCAAGATTCATAATCTAAAGTGCCAATAGATTGTTAACAAAAGATTAACAAAGCAACAATATCAAACATTTTCATAAAACAATTTGAACTAAATTGACTACCAAATACGCAGAATTAGCAGGAAAGAAGCATTAGACTATAGGAACTAAATATAACCATAAAAAATAATAATAATAAAAGCCAACAAAAAGAAATTAAAAAAGAAAACAGCATTATTGTCAAGAAACCAATTTAGAAAAAGAATTAAACAGTACAAAGGTCATTGATATACCTGCCACGGTGACAGGAGAATTGTCATCTTTGGAGTGAACTGGACTGTTGGTTTTAGAAATCAAACTGTCCTGAACTTTCTGACAGAGTGAACATGCCATCTGAACAACCCTGACAGCAACATCCAATTCCTTGGAATATTTTTCTGGTTCCATAGATGAAAGAACAAGGTTTCTCTTGTCTTCCATTACTGAAGAAGAAGAGTTGTTTTGGTTAAAATTTAATTGAGAAAAAATGTGGAAGGAATTGTTTTGGTGGGATTTTTTCCTATGCGTTGATAAGCAACTTCCTACATAGCTTGTCGACGTTAACTTCGTGGTGTTGGCTCTTCTTGGTTGTCCCAGGATACACGGCACTCTGAAAACCAAGCTTGCGCAATTTAAAGACATCAGGGAGTGATTAAATACACTCAATCTCTCTCTGTGTGGCTTTCCTGTGGTTTGGATTACTCTTGGCTTTTGGTGGGCGTTACGACCTTAAAAAAGGGTGTATAAATATAAAAATGAAAGAAAAAGGACAAATTGTAAGTGACAAACTACTTGGTCAATTCAAAGAGAAATGCAGCCCGAGAAAATTGACCTTATTTTTGTTGGCAGGGTAGGGGAGGGAAGGGGAGCGGAGGCGGATTGTGCGTCGGTTGGAGGGTGTTACCCTTTTTTTCCCATGTTTTGTATCAAACTAATAGTGTCCTGGTTCATAAAAAAAAAACTGATGCAAAGCCTGCTTGGGCAAATTGGGCCAGCGAGGAAGAGTAGCTTTGATTTTTTGGATGTCAATCGCTAGGAAACGGGGAGGGTTGAGGATTTTTTATTTTTATCTTTTAATTTTTATATTATATTCGTATTCATATTTATACTTAATGAAATATTTTAAATTTAATTTTATTTTTATTTTATAAATATTTAATAGATATGAATATTCTTAATATCCACAACTTTTAAAAAATAAAAATTAAAAATATATTTTTTATTTTTATTTTATAAATTAATATTAAATAAATTTTTTATAAATATATATTAATATATATTTTTTAATAAAAATATATTAATTTTAATTAATTTAAAATAATAATTTATATTATTTAATAAAAATATATTTATTAAAATATAAAAATATATATAAAATATGAACACAAAATAAGTATTATATTATTTATTCTCGTTCGTATATTTAATAAAAATTTAAAATCATATTTATTTTTATTTTTACGTTCATAATATAATATTTATTTTTAATTTAGGATAAAATTTAAGTTTTTTATTAAATATAGATAAAATTGACATCTCTAATTACTTATTAAATATAATTTTTTCAATTATAAATAAAATTTTTTATTAATGATTTATTAATACTAAATGTACATAAAGTCTTCCATACTCACTTTTCCCCCAATAATTGAAGGACATTAAATCATTATAAAGAAGGCTTAGAAAACCCCTTATGTTCATTAACTTCGTTGGTGGTTAAGCACAATTAAGGAAGGAAAAAACTCAACTTTGCACGCTTCTCTTCGTATTCGTCATCATCCCTATCGTAAACCTTCTTAGGCTTTCATTAGGTTTTAGAAGCAGTTTCAGTGAGGCAGTTACAGCCGCAAATCGCACAATTACTTTGTTTGGATGACAAATTTTCAGTGCTTCATTGCGCTGTAACGTCCGTTATACATTGAATCTTTATGGATCCAGTAAAAAAATATTACAAAGTTCGATTATTGATTTTTTTATTTTTAATCTTTCTTTTGTTTTATTATTTTATTTTATTTTTATTTAAAAGTTTGAAAATGATATTTTACAAGATAAAATTATTAATTATTTATTAATAAAATATTATTTAATATATAATTAATTTAATAAACATTAAATAATTTAAACTTTTCATTATTTAAAATTTTTAATTTAATATTTTAAATTTTTTTATTATAATTCACTCTTTATGATTATTTTTATATCCAAATATATATTTTATTATTAATTTTAATTTCATTATTATAATTAATAATTTTATCTTCACCCTGATTTTTAATTTTAGTTAAATTAATCTTTGAAAGCTTAATATCACTAACCATCACATCACCCATGGCTAGCTGGCTAAGGCATGATAACTTGAAGGTTTAAACCTTCTACATTAAAAGCTAAATTCCATTTGCAATAATTCTGGGATACTCCACAGCTTTATGGCAGTAACATTCTTTCTTAGTTTTTTAATGCAAGTTTGGGGTATTGGGTCATCATGATTTCATCAATGCGTTATGTTTGAATGTAAGTGCAGCCTTCCTTTTCAGGTAAGAGAGGCTTAGCCTTAAGCATTAACAACATTTTCATATCCAAGTGGGTCAAGCAATGGAATCTGTATCTTCATTAGGAAACAGAGGATAGAATTTTTCTGTTTCTGATATGTTGCACGACATTGAAAAAGAGGCCTTCAATAACCGAGTTGAGGGTCTTGATTGATCTCGGTTTTTGATACAGGCAAGTGATTAAAATATTTGGAATCATCATGCAGTTGAAAATAGGATGGATGATCACCAAGTTCATAATTGAAGAAAACTTGTAGTACTAGTCTTTTGCATCAATGTCTAGTCATCATTCAAGCAATCACTTTGATGTTTATAACGTTTAACAGAGTCTTTGAAGCCATAAATCTATCACCCATCTTTCCTTTTCGAATTCAAACCCTAATCTTTTGTAGATGATTTACATTCACATTCATGTCCAACGTGTAAGATTGAGACAATTATCTCCAATATGTGAAAGGAGAGACTGGAGAGTCCGATCAGATGATGATGTTACGTGCAAAAGGAGAGTAACATTGATCTGTCAAGCAAAGATAAACTTCCAATCGCCCACTAATCTCAGTTGCCTTCCACAGATTGATGATCTTATAGCGATTATGCCATTTAGATGCCGCAGTACTCAAGTGGAGCAGTGGAAAAAGGGGAAACTCCTATAAGAAATAACTTTATAGAGAACCGTCCTGCACTGTGCTTGGATTTATCCTGCCATTTTCATCAGGAACTTGGTTTTTTTTTTTACATATTAGATAAAACAAAAAAAACTACTCAAGTTTCAATCATAACTTGCCCTTTGAAATCCTTGAATAATATATAATTCAGTGGATTCATTTAAGCCTACTTCACCATTCGTTATCATGACGTGAGCGCATCATAGTTCATAAGTATTGATAATGTTCATATTAATTTGGAACAAAAAGCTGGATGAACGTGTAATTATTTTTTTTTCTTTGATTCTTTCAATGTATCTGATTGTGAATTATTCCCTCATCTCAATTTGTTTTGACGGTATTAACTTTCACGAAGTTTAAATATTAAAATTAAAATATTTTTATAAAATTAAAGTTATATAATTTTTAATGTTAAAAAATAAAAAAATTATAAAAATAATTTTAAAATATAAAAAAGTACGAATTTTAAATATGCAAAGAAAAAAAATTAGTTTTGACACATATAAAAAAAAGAGATGGGTAAGAAAATACAACAAAGGAGTAGAAAATTTTAGACATCACATATCATCATCATATCATCCTCTTAAGAATAACAAATAAAGTTTTACATTATCCTTTTTATTGTAAAATACATATAATATTCAAATAAGTTTTCAAACTTGGTTATAAAATACAAATAATTTTTTAATTTTTTATTATATAAAATTAAGATTATAAACTTTTAATTTACTGTAATTAAAACTTTGACGATATAAAATATTTAAATTTTTGTTTAAATTTTTTAATTAAATGATTTAATTTGTAAAAAATATTTACTATTCATTTAGATGAGTTAAAGCATAACTTTCCCTTTGAAATTCATGAATAATAATTCAATTAATCCATTTAAGCCTACTTCACCATTCGTTATCATGACGTGAGTGCATCATAGTTCATAATATTGATAATGTTCATGTCAATTTGGAACAAAAAGCTGAATGAACGTGTAGTTTTTTTTATTTTTTGTTCCTTTGATTTCTTCTTCATATTTACCTTTCCTTGGATGAAAAAGCTGAATTAAATTCAACGCATTTGAATGTGAATTAGACATTTTAGACATCATCTGATTGTGAATGAAAAAGCTGAATGAGACATATCATCATCTTCGTCTTAAGAATAATAAATAAAGTTCTACAAATAGTACTACTTTTTCTGATGTATAAAGGCCTCCATTTTTCCTTGGTCGGCGAGCTGATGTTAATATGGTAATCAAGGATTCATTTTGAAAAGGCGATAAGATTGGTGTCGGAAATATTGAAATTAATGGTAAAAATAAAATTAATAAATAAAATTAAAATTATTGGTGAGAATATACATTTGAAAATAAATGTAACAAAGACGATAAAGTGAATTTTAGTGACAAAAAAAATCATCATAACATTAAATTAAAATTTGTGTGTAATAAAAAATTTAAATTATAAAATAATAATATTTTAATTTTTATTGTAATAATAAATTTTATTTAATTATTAATTTATTATATAATAAATTTTATTTAGAAAATGGTTCATTTTACATGATGTAAAACTAAAAAAATTTGTACATTTTTTAATCATTAATTTTAATATATCTAATGAATAATATTAAGTCATTTTTTTACTTGTTTTTTACATCTTTTGATATTTTGAAATCCATGGTCATAATGTAAACTTTTGTAATTTTACATTAATTTTATATTATGTAAGTAAATATATCTTCATTTATTTAGTGTATTAAATTAAAAAAATTATTTTATAATTTCTTAAATTAAAATAATTTTAAAAACAAAGAGGCAGTTGCCTGTCCCGTGAGAGGAGTCGATTTCCTTATGGATAAAAAAGGTAAAAAAAACGTCAACCAACCACTAATGAGTTTCCTTTCGGGCCCTCTAGTCGCCAACTGGGGGTGTGGGCTGGATGGGATGCAATTGTGCCGTGTTGAAGAAGAAGCAGGCGATTAATGCCAAAAGTGCCCATGGCTTCCAGAAAGCCTAAATCTTCTAAAGCTCTTAACACATTTTCAAATCATTGAAGTCCATGAAGATGGAGCTTGGTTGCAATCTGAGCCCATATGCTAGTCTTTTTCATTATCAAATGGGTTACACATCTAGGCTTTCAATAACCTAGAAAAGCATCCATCAATCCATTTGCATTGGCCCCTCATCCAACCCAAAGTTGGCGAAAATGGCTACAGCAAACCTGCATGCATCCAGAATTTTTGGAATCTCTTGCTCATTTTTGTTTTCTTCGATTCTAGGCAGCAGCAATTAAAATAGTTACTAAACATTATCAGGTTGTTGTACTTGGTGGATGACGCCCTTATCCCTTTCAAATCTTGAATTCATATCGTGCCGAGCACAGAGACTTCCCCCAAGTCGTAAAAATTTTTCAAATCTCCGTCAGTTCATCACCGTTATCGCTCTTAACACGGAGATGGATGTGACCTAAACCTTCCAACACTACTGCACTAGCAGTTATCAGTCAGTATCGACCCAACCCTTAATGATACAAAACAACAAAGTCTTGATTCAATGTACCTCTCTCACCCCTTATGTAAGACAAGGTCCCCTGTGTTGTCAGCCGCCGGTGTCACGAGGTCACTTCAAACTATTGAATGGAAAGTGAGATTTTATTTATTTATACATTGAATCAGTTGTATGTAATTTTCATTACTTCGTTTTGTACTCAACTGTGGATTATGGTGGTGGGATTTCGGAGGAGAAAAATGGGTGGTTCCCTGCTGCGGAAAGCAATACTGGAACAACGAAAGTAGGGCCTGCTATTATGATTCCTTGCATTAATAAAAAATGTGAAAATGAAAAACCACATGTGATCAATATGCAACTTGGCCACTAAAATATAATAAAATAATCACTTACTTAATTATCAAGAACTTTAACTTTTGCCAACATTTGGTTGAAGCATATTCTTCATTTGATTCCACTCGTCAATTACTTAACCGCCCTTGATTTAGACTATCAATTCACTAAACTAAATGAAATTATGAGGTCAAATCCGACAGAAAATAATGTACTCCTAACCGCAGCCCTTAATTTGGTGAGTTTATCAAAGGGAATTTTCAGTAGCGACCTCTATATAAAAGGAACCTTCGTGCTGCCTAATCTAACATAAACAAACTTCACTACTTACTTCACAACTCCAAGGTTAAAACTCTGCGAAGAGGATAGTTAAATCAGCAAACAGAAGAAGCTATGGGTGGTACCAGGAGGGCAATGATCAACGGTGGGATTTACCCTCGGAGAATTGCTAGCCGTCCGATTCCCAGGAGGGGTCAAGTAAAGCTGGCTATAGTGTTGGGCCTGGCCCATTCTTTTGCTTCCATCTTCTCTCGGAGTAGCAGCCGATGCGCAGTTGCTTCGTCCCGTCGATGATAAAAAAAAAAAAAAAAAAACAGAGTTCCGCCTCGAAAAGCCCAATTTTCGATACGATTGATATGGGCATTTATGCCATTTTGGAAAATATTAACAGATTTTCTTTTTAAATTTGTTCTTTTGATTTTTGTGCAAAGAAATGTTTGATTGTAAAGAAATTTTATTGTTTTCTTTTCTTTCTTTATAGAAAGGTATTTATTGTTTCTTCAATTGTTTAGTACTTCACTCCATTTCACATTTTTTCCATGAAAAAGGAGTGGCCAAATTTGATAGAAGCTGCCTTTCACAGACACAAATTGATTTTTTAAATCAAATATTGCTTGTATAAATGAAAATGAAAAAAAAAAAGATTATTACTTAGTATTATTTTTCCAGGGAAGCCAATAGTTTACTTCATTGGATCAATGCAATTATCCTTTAAAAAATAGTTTGCTTCTGTTTCTGTCTTTGTGAAGCAAAGCTGAAGGAATTCAAATTACAGTTCAAACTCCAGTACCGCACCACGCTCAGGAATATCTACTTTGAACAGAACAAAAATTATAACCTTTCTTTTCGTGCCTTTTTTTCATAAAAAGAAAAAGATGCGTGCTACAGATACACGTGCATCACAGTCCACATGAGAAGAAAACGAATATCCCATAGCAGGGAGATGAAAAAAAAAAATAAAGAAAAAAATTAAACCAAACATAATGGAGATTTTCAATTTCCTTCAAGCAAAATTAATAAAATTATTAATAATAACATAATAATTCATATCTAATTTATAAAATATTATTTATTTTAATTAAATAATCTTATAATTTTATCTCATAAAAAAATTTATAAATTTGAGTTTAAATTTTAACATATAAATTATATTATATTCACATATTTTTTTAATATGAGATAAAAAATATTATAATCTTTTTATCTTTAAAGTTTGAAGTCTTTTTTAAACCGAATCCAATTATAAGATTAAAATTATATTTTAACTCATACTCAATCATTGATTGATGGTCGTTTTAATATTATTTGTAAAAATTTATATTTAATGTATGAAGTATTATTTATTTTAATCTAAAAATTTAATGATTTATAAATTTAAATTTATATATATAATAATATTTATATATTCTTTTAATATGAAATTGAAACATTACAAGTAATAAATAATAATAATAATTAATTAAAATTGTTTGAATCGGTAATAATCAAATATTTTTTATTTGAAAGGTTTAAGATTTATTTTTTTTCAACCAAATAAAATTAATAATAGTAGAAATGGAGTATGGTTAGATACTGACATAGCAGTGGAGATGCATGCAAATTGTCCCACATAACGCTCCATTAATTTGGAACCCCAACCAATTCGTACACGTAATTAATTAAAAGGTACTTTGGCCGTGACATTATCAAATTAAGAAACCTGATTTGGCGATCTAAAATAACAGATAAAGTCGAATCAATTCCCTCTTTCAGACGCAATCCAGCTTCCATTAAACTAATCTGTCCAAGCACTTCAGGAAGTGCACTGAATCAAGCCAACAAGCCATATCCTCTTTTCATTATTAAATTCAGTGAATGGCTAAAAAAATTGTCAATTCTTCAATAGCCACCGCAAATTATTATAATTTACTACTTGATTCAGTAATAATTAGTAATTAAGTAATGATTAATTAGCTGTTCAACTCAGCCACATGGCAAGAAAAAGAAAGAAGATGGCTTTAATCTTGTGACGACTTGAACAATTTTCTTTCAAAATCTCACTTTGAATTGAACAAAAGATTTGGGAATGAAATTGTGACTCCCCACTAACCCCAAAATTAAGGTAAGATGAACGAAGATGATAAGCTTGATGTGGCACCATATTAAAAGGTCCATTTATAAAGTTTTGTTTGGAAGTGGGATGTGCAAGTAGAGGAGCCAAACAGATGGAATTTAAATTTGATTTGTGTTTGTCTTGTATGAAATTAGAGTTATTTTTATTTTAGATATTTTTTATTTGGATTTATTTAAATTTAAATTAATCAAATTATTTTTTAAATTTTATAAAAGATATAATCATTTTATTTTGATGTAAGACGATATTAAAGGATCCAATTATAAATTTTTGTTTGGAGGTGGAATGTGCGAATAGAGGAGCCAAACAGGCTGCTTTAGTGGATTTAGGTTCGGCTTAGATGGAATTCAGTTATTTTTATTTTATATTATTTTTATTCGGATTAGATTTAGATTTAAATTAATCAAATTATTTTAAAATTTTATAAAAGATATAATTATTTTACCATGTATTTAAGTTTATACATTTTCAAATTTAAATCAATTTGCATTCAATTTTTTTTAAAATTTTTTAGATCTAAATATTTGATTTTATTTTTTAAATAAATTTTATCAAATTCGAAATGATTTTACCATAACTAATTGAAAGTATGGCTAATCATGTGATCTAAGGCGGTTCATGGACACTGATCGGATTCATTGGATTAGCATTGTGATAAGGGGAAGCGGTGGAGGTGACTGACAGGGGAGACAAAGTCACCGTTGGGACTTTGGATGCACGCAATAATGGGCTCTGCTTTTTTTTCGCAAATGGGAACGCAATGGAGCACGTGATTTTAATTCAGACAGGACATCAATAATTAACTTTACATTAACATACTTAAACCTTACTTTGTCATTATTTTACGAGATTAGCATCTTTCTTGTCTCCTTGTCTAAATGACCAACTCATCCTTTGGAATATAAAAAAATTGAAAATTTCAATTAAACAATGTCATGTTCACACTACACTCAAAACCAAGGGCATCTTTCATTTTAATAATTTAGGACTGTTTTTTCATTTTTTAAAAAAGACAAAACAAAACAGAGACATATGCTGAGAGTTCATTGTTGTTCTTGTACATGAAACAAGCTTGTTAACGATATACTTTTATATTGAAAAATCAAACAATGAAAATTTATTTTAAGTGCTACGAAATGAATGACATAATCGCAAAATATATATACTGTTTTGTACAAAAAGTTAGAAGTGGGTCATTGAATTTTTCATTACCCAAAGAATTTGTTTGACATAATGATTGATTATAACTTTGAATTTTGACAAAAGTTGAATGATTTTTTTTAATAATTGTAGACCATTTAAGAAATTCTTTTTTGTAAAGTCAAGAACTAAAAATTTTTTAAAAAATTACAAGGACCGGAGGTGAACTTTAATTTTAATGGAATTCAACTTTTAAAGGAAGAAAGGAATTATTTGAACTAGCTCTAAAACTTTTAGAAAACTCGTTTCAACACATCATCTTCTTCTTATCATTGAGCTTTGATCAATCCACTAACGGCTGAATATGGTTTATTGACTTGCTCTGTTGCACAAAATGGATTGGAATTCACTGAAAGAAAGAAACAGTACTAATAAAAATGGAAGACTTTTGGTCAAAGTCCAACCGAGAAAAGAACGAAAACCACTGCAGAATGTGAATGCAACAGAACATAAAGACGAAAGGTCAATATCGTCTTAAATTCTGTGGACATGACTGTAATATCCGCTACAAACAAAGGGCAATCTTGTATTCTTCTTCCTATATAAGCAGTGACAAGGGACAGCTTGTGAATCACACAATACAATACACTCAATACATCAAATCTCAAACCCAAGTTTTCCAACGGAAGCTTTCTGTTTTCTTCTCATATCGTCAATATTTAGATCTTAGCAGAACTTAGAAATGGCAGGTGCAAGGAGAGAAATGATCAACGGTGGGAATTTTTTGCCAAGGGTGGCTGGACGTCCGATACCAAGGAGGGGTCAAGTGAAAGTAGCTATATTGGTGGGAATAGCCCATTCTTTTGCTTCTATTTTTTCTCTAAGTAGTCGCAGGGCAGCTGCTGCTCAATTGTCTTAGGTTACTTCCTTTTCCCAAAGAAGGAAAAAAAGAAGAAACGAAATTTTGATGATTTTGTAAGAAAGAGGGGGAGGGGTTGTTGCCTGTCCTTGGAAAGATGTGAGCTGTTTTGTTTTTTTGGGTTGATGTTCATGTCTGTTTTGTACAAAGCTTGTATTAATAGCTTTCAGTTTTCAGATAAATGAATTTTCGTTTTCATTTTTCCTATTAATTTCACTTTTATCTGAACTGGTTCCAGTGTTAATATCTTTAGATTGATTCCCATTTCTAGGACTTGGATAAAATTCATCTTATGGGGTTTTTCTCCATCTATTTTTGGTCTTTTTTATTTTGGGTTGGTTCAAAAAAGAATCAAGCTCTCAAGTTTGCTGGAACTGTACTTTGGCCTATGATTTGGTTCATCTGATAGATCTGTTACAAAAGCAATGATATTATTCATAATCATATACTATTATATTACACTGGGAACAAAATGAATATGCAGAGCAAATTGGCTTTAAGGAACCCCTTCAATTAATGAACACACTTGAATATATGCCTTTTCCCTGCATTTTGTAGCTACATTCCATAGTGTTTCCAAAACAGTTGACAATATTAAGCTAACAACAAATATACAAAATGTGGAGTAAATGTGGAATCAACGAAAGATTTAGCATAAGACTCAAAATATTAAAAGACCGATCAAAGCCAATAAAGACATGGGCGATGGGGGCTGTGTTAAGTGTCAACCTATCCTGGAGTTGTCTCTGCCAAAGACCAGCGTGGTCGCCCAGTTCACCGCCACATAAAACCTGTTCCTCCAACTTACCACACGAGTCAAGTAAGCCGAGCGCCATATCAACCAGCTCACAAACCCGGCAAGTGATATACCTTTAGCGTCCTAGCAGCGCAGCATACATGTTTAGAAGATTAATTAGTAATAATCAAAGCATTTATTGTCGAAGAAGCAGAAGTCAAGACTCAAAAGAGTAGACGGATGCCAAGATAAACTGGTAAACTTTGTTCAAAATGTGCCGAGGCAAGTGGGTTTGTTTTCAATGTTTGAAATGGCTATTGATTACCTTAGATTGGCGAAGATCCACCAGGGCCTTGTAACGTCCGACAGATGCCATGCTTCCAAGATGCTTATAGACAAAAGGTTCTCCTAGAGACATGTCCTTGGCACTAAAAGCCTTGCCCCCATCCTGTTTCCCAATCCTGTTAAACACCTCCACCAGGTATTTACCTTGTCTTTCTGCAACCTGTTTAAAGTGTGCAAAACAATTAGCTTACCAATTGTAAAATATATCATCAACCAAGAATAATGACCTGAATTGATTCCGTTAGTTCTTTTCAAACTTTTTCTAACTACAGTTTATTTGTCTATTCCTTGAAATGCTTTTGATTAACCAATACTTCCACCATGGTAGGATTTTATAAGGTTAAACATTGAATAAAAGAGTAAAAGGACAATACGGATCAGGAAGCAAGAATTTCTTGAAGAATAACGGACCAACCTGAGCTAGAGCTGGAAGCACAGACTTCCCTGTCTGTTCAAGGAAACCAGCACAATCTCCAAGTGCAAATACATCTTCTACAGAAGGAACACGCAACCATTCATCAACCCCAATCCTGCATAACGCTATAAAATTAGTTAATCTGATCCAAGAAAACAGCATTGGGAGGGAAAAGCAGAGTAAATTTAAGCAAAAGAGAAAAAGTCGGCAAAAGAACGCTAGTTTTTATACCTTCCACCAGGGGACATGGGAAGATCTAATGATTTCACGAACTGAGAGGGACCAACACCAGTAGACCAGACTAAGAGGCCATAGGGGACGTCAGTTCCATCACTGAGAACAATTTTTTTGGGATGAACCTCTTTTACAACACCTCGCATAAGGTGAACACCAGACTGATGCAAAAATCAGGATGTCACAAATATTTCCAAGAATTATGAAAAACGAGACCTCTAGGATATAAGAAAGGAATTCAAATTACCTTAGTCAAGTGATTTGTTGCATACTGGCGTAGTCCAACATCAAAGGATGACAAAATCTCATTTGCCTGATCAAGGTATAGATAATGGCAAAATCAACATCCATATATATAGATATTACTTAGAGAAATATGGGAAGGAGTTGCCCTGTTGCTTATAAATACCTCTATAAGAGTGACTTTGATGTAATCTTTTACGTGACTGTACCTCTCCTGGACATCTCTCATTATAAAATCACTCAACTCACCGCTAAACTCCACTCCTGTAGGGCCACCCCCAATGATAACACAGTGCAAGAGGCGCTTCTTTTCTTCTTCTGATATGCCTGCAATGACAAATTGAATTATAAGAGAACGTATTCCTTTATAAAAACTAGTAAAGTATATGCTAAATGACATCAAGACCTTGTCCCTCGGCCAGACAATTTGGGGTCAATTTTAGCCACAAGGAATCCTCATGAGGAGTTTGAACATAGAGAGAGAGAGAGTCCTCATGATAAGGAAAGGTGATGGGAGTTTGTGATGTGATTATGTGAAACAAGAATGTGATGTGATTATGTGAAACAAAAACAAAGCAAAGATACAAAGGATACACCAGATCGAAAAATCTATGGCCAGAAAAACATCACTCACCTGGATTTACAGAGAGCATCAGGTTCAAAAGGAGCTTCTTCCTTATTTCTTGGGCATGATTCACTTCACGAAGGAAATATGCATTTTCCTTCACCCCTTTGATACCAAAAGTTAAAGGCTCAGCTCCAGCAGCAATTACAAGCTTGTCATATGCAACTTTAAATTGATAAGGCTCATGAGGTAGTCCACCATTGCTCATTGTCTCACAATACACCTGATGATTTGAACGTATATAGTTAGGCTTTTAATAACTGTGACAAGGAAAAAACATGGAAACGAAATCTGTCATTGATATTTCCCATGTATAATAAGCCAATTCACTCTCCCCTATTTGCTTTTGCCTTTATTCATAACCAATATTAATCATGACTACATGCATGTTATGGGACAGTATGGAATAAGAACTGATTGGGGAGGAAAAGGCAGCAATAGTATAAGAGAATATATAAGCGGTATGCATTAACTCACCTCATGTTTGTTAGTGTCAACGCCTATGCAAGAAGCAAGATAAAAGTATGAATGGGGGCTTGTCGACAATGCAGACTGTATCCGGCTAACAGGCTCAGCAACTGAGCGGAATTCGAGGGTTCCAACACAAGTTGAAGCAAGCAATGGGGTGAAGACCATGTGGTTTCGAGGTGATATGCAAACAACATCATAAATTTTGGTGTTTAGCCCCTTGAGGAATCGGCATGCTGCCCATCCAGTACCAAGGACAACCACTCTAGGCTTTTCACCTGGCTTGGTCGCCTCTAGTCCTGGATACCTTGATTCATCATATTCTGACCTACACTCGACTACCTGCTCTGCTGAGGGAAATTGATAATGCGGGGTTGTCCTAATTTCTCTGCTCCAAAAACTCGTGTAATTTTCCTTCTTGATGGTGGAAAGGTATGTCAAATTACCGTGCGCATTGATTCTTTCAAGGGAGGGAAGTAAACTTTTGTGGCCGGATACCCTTTCACAGAAGAGATCCCTCTCACTTGTGTAACTGCCAATGGTACCTCCTGATCTTCTCAAGCCACTCCTAGCAGCCCGTGCAAGTGCCATGAAGTACTTGCTTTAATCAAATTCTAACAAATTAGGACTTTTGTATCTGCCCTGGAAAAAATAAGAGAAGTAAGCTATGCAATTCCAATATAGCAGAAGGCCTAAATTCAGGACAAGAATTATATAGAGAAGCAATACAGAAACTCCCAAGTATTTGGAGGTATGCACTGATCCAGAAGACTAAAATTTTTTTTTTAATGAGAGTACATTGTTTCCAAGGGTACAAGACAAGGAAGCAAATGCCGACTTTGCTTTGCTCGTTTGGTACAGGTAGATGAAACGAGGAAAACACTTTCTAAAGTTTTATGAGGAGCTAACAAACACGTAAAGCTGTCTGCTGTCACTTCAATTTCCTATGTGACCAACCAAACACGTTTAGGTGAACTCTTTCGGATGGCATCCTAAAGGAATAGCTGAGAACCTAACCGGACACATATCTAACATCAGATAGGGAATGGTATATTATATGCTCGTATCATCCATTTGTACCTTTGGATTCTTTTAACAATAGAATTCCTACGTTAATTATCATTCACTATGATAATGATAGATCAAGAACAGGATACCAGTACCATGACATTCTCGGAAATAAGAATCCAAGAAAAGTCAAACACGTGATACAACAAAATGAAACAAAATGAACTGGCGACACCAACCGAAGGTGATTTTAAAGTCTCTCCATGTGAAACATAATTGCTTAAGCTCAGGGATTGGCAATTTGGCATTTGTTTCATAGCAATACCGGCCAAAACCCCTGCTTTACCTACACAAAACACTGCCTAACTCTTTTTTTTTTTTTTTTCTGGTTGTCAAATCTAGAAGATACCAAGAAAATGTGAACGATCATTTCCATGAAAGTTCTGACTTTGCAAGAAATATATCACCAAAAGCAACGATTTGTAGAATAGGACAAAATGGGGCTATAGTACAAAGTAGTAATAAACGTGGGCATATCTTTCAAGAATATTCATTGGTTTCAAAGATCAACATGGGAAGACAATAGGCGGCTCGACTAACATTTAACAAACGCATCTATCCTACTATTTATATTACAAAGAACAGAGATGAACAAGCACAATGAATTCTTTAGCATATGAAATCAGTGAAACTATCACCATTGTCTCAAATACGTACAACGCTTAAGTACGAAGGATTCCAAAAACAAAGATTTTCACTCCAACCAACCTCATTTAACTTTAACAAGTGAATACACATTAAAAAGAAAGAAACCTAAAGGTTTTTAGAGATCTTATAAAAACCTCAGATAGAGAAAAAAAAAAGGTTAAATAATTCTACTTTGAAGCTAAAAGAACCAAACTCTTATAAACATATAGCATACATATACAATATGAACTTTAAGAAATATTTATATAAATGAACATCCTTTTAGCGCAAAATTGCCTAACTGAAAACAAGAAGGCAAAGAAAGAACAAACTTTTTGGAGAAGGTTCAAGAACATTACTTTGGAAATATTTGAGCTTTCTCTTGTTTGCAAGCTTGAAGTGGGCGAGTATACCCAAGATTGTTGGACAGGTTTTGAGGGAAAAAGTTAATGCTTTGCTTTCATAGAACCAAAAAAAAAAAAAATATCAAAACCCCAAAATTTTTATCGTTGGTGAAGTTGTGAATAGAAATAAAATAAAGGGTAGACCAAACTCAGTTCTCAAAGCTCAAAGCAGCCGACTTGAGGCGCAAGAAAGTTGTTGAGCAAAATAAGCAATCTCCTTAAAACATGTATATTTAATTATATTTTTTTAGTGTTAGAATAGAATGAGAAAAAGAAAAAAGTATAGAAATAAAGTTCTAGGAAGGAACTGGGGAGCTTGCTGCCGTATGTGAGTTGGCAATGGAAAGACAAATGCAGGAATATAAGGGGAGGAATATTCTCTGATTCCTAGTTCTTAAACGACATAGTTTGAGAGTGTATGATTACCTTAAAGACAACCTTGTCCTTGTTAGCATATATTTTTGCCTCTAAGATCAATGAAAGGTGGTTTTGGGGTAATTTGTCAAATTCTTGGAATATTGTATGGTCCAGCTGGCTATGGCTGCTTTATCAAACCCTAGTCCAAGGAAGAGGCAATTAAATGTTGTTGGATGGTGGCAGTGGCTCTGAACTGTTCCTGAAAAAAGTCAAAAATCCCCCAAGTTTTTGGAAAATTTGGTATGGAAATGAACGGCTTTAACGGGCTACAGTCTAGAGAGACTTTCCGATCTTCAATTGGTGGACCCACCAATGAGAAACAGAAAAAGAAGTCGGTCCAAAACGGTGTCTCGTGTCAAAGCAGGGTGTTGGCCGCCAACGGTGTAACTTTTTCTTCGGGGTCAATTTTGACCGGGCTGAAGGGGTTGTTTCATTCTTTTTCTCCCACGTTCTTGGTAATGGATTGGCCCGCTTTTCTGATTGTTTCAGAAAATAGAATGGATGAATTGAATTTGGTATTTGGTATTTGGTTTAATACTCAGTATGATTTTTTTCTCAGCCTTCACCATGTATTTTAGATGGTTAGAAATTGATTGCCCAAAAAAATAAAAGAAGGGATTCATTAGAAATGTGTGATATTATACGCATACAACTAAAATATGTAGTTTTAGGCCAACTCTCAATCAGCTACATCAGACCAATTCAGAGTTTACCAAATTTTAGTTGTAGAAATTCAGGGTTGTTTTTTTAAATTGAATTGCAGATTTTGAAGAATTCCACTCATGGTTTGTGTGCTGACATTGGCAACTCTTAGTCATGCTTGAACTTAAGCACATTATTCGACAACTCAACCTTGTTCTTGTGAAAATTTGGTTGTTATTGGATTCTCCCATCAAAACGAAATGGCAATTTGTCATACAATTTTGAATGTGTTAATAAAGTGAATTGGTAGGATGGTCGATGAGGGTATCGAGCAATGAACTTTGGCATGTTTCCTTTTGATTCTTTTTATTTGTAGCAGACAAATTATTGCATAAGATTAGAATTCCTTTTCCTTTTGATGAATAGAAAGGTAGGGGATTTGGCAATCATGATCTTAATTCTTGGTTATCCCTTCTAACCATTGGGTTTCTAACATTACTCATTTGGGTTTCTAACATTAACGATATTGTTGTTTATGTTGTAAACAAATACTTTTATGAAAGTTAAATTATAAAGTACCAGTGAATACATACAGTGCTGAAGCACATACATACATACATACATACATGCGTGCATACATAAAAACAGTTATTCTGACAAGTCAAATTTAACGATGGTTGTGGTTAACTAAAGCATCTGCCTTTATTTTCTGGCCTTCTGCATCTGTTAGGTTGCTGTTGCAAAACCTTCTTCAGACTCACCAAAAACCTTGTTCAAGATCATGGCTAATCTAACTCCTCCTTGAGCAATTCTTTTCATGACAATTGGCATCCTGGAATTGAAGTATTCATCTATAACCAAAAAAACAGAGAGGATATTAATAGCCCCTTTAGGCTTTAGGCCTTAACTTTTAAAAACGTACGCATCCTGCTTTGATTGGTGATTGAATGAGTTTAAACGAAATGGGAAACCATAAAACCTGGCATTAGCTTCAATGCTTTAAGCAATAGCATACATACCTGCCAGAGTTTGCCCTGACTCTACGCCTTTATAAGCCCATTTGCAAGCAATATTTATGCTTTCTGTTGCATACCTACATATGAAAATGGAAGTTTTGATTAAATAGATGAAAAACCCATTTCCTTGAATTTCCCATTAGGTTTATAATAGTTTGAAAGAGGCAGGAAGTTAACTTGTTCAAACAAGGAAGAAGATCATCACATTCTTTCCATGATGCTACATCATCAAACCAGATCCCCTGTATGAAAGTAACAATTATAGGTAAATACAAAATACAAGCTAGAATTAGTAGTAACTGGGAATAAATTCTAAAATAAAAATTACATCAGTAATGTTCCCCACGATGTCTTCTTGAAGGTTGTCCAGGTCCTTTTCATAGTAGTCTTTGAGAGCTGTAAGGACGATCTCCCTATCCCAAACCTTTACATTGTTGAAATTCATAAATCTAGCTAATTACTTTTTGTTAGCTATAGTTTCTAAGGTAAGATGATATACCAGAAATATGGAAGTGAAGGCGTTGAACAAAATAAGAATAACCATTGCAATCATTACTCACATGATGCAGATTAGATTTGTGCCTAAACCAGCGCAAGGCGATGGTATTTCCTCCTTGATCACTTGTAAAACCAACGTGCATTGGCTAAAAGGAAGAAGAAACAATTAAACCCACCTAAGCAAAAATAACAAAATGATACAGAAAACATAAGCTAGAGAAGTTCTTAGATCTAAACCTGATGGACATCTCCCATAAAGTGTGACAAGAACAACAAGGCTTCTGTCATGTTATCTGCAGAAACAAAGAAGCCATGTTAATTAATCAGAGCATATTACTAAGAAAGATAATTCTTAATCTTTGCACTAGCCATTAATTTTATGAATAATAAGCTTCCATACGGCGACGATCTGAGGTTCCCTCCCTAAAGTGCAAAAGCTGCGAGGTAAAGTTTTGGATAGCACCAACAACACACATGTTCTTCACGCCGTGGGGATCATGACAGTCCCCTAAAACAAATGACAAAATTACATTATTTATAATTCAGATGATTTTGTATCGTTTTATGACCAAAAGATTGCTCAGCTTTCTGCTTACTTGAATAGTCATACGTGCAAGCATCGTCTGGGGTATCAATGAAGTGAAGTGGGCTTGTCCATCGATACCTGTACCAATGCCGGATTTGATCGGGCCACACACAGAGGGAAGACAGGTCTCCATTGGCGTGCTGCGGTAGCAAGTTTTCAACAGCTTCGGCAGCCTCGGGCTCTAAAAGACCCTTTGAAATTGGGCGGTAAATATTTGTCAATGTTTATTTGTTCTGAGAAGCCTTTGACTCTTTTTTGACATACTTTGAAGGCATGATTGCTTAGAATTATGGTCCATCAAATGGTATGTCATGTTTTTCAACAAGGTTAACTAATTTATAGGAATATTTTTCTTATCTTTTGCCAATTGACGGGAAAGAAAAAAAAGAAACTCTCATGCATGATAGCCAATTTGATGTACAAATAATGATACTCTATTCTTCAACATTTCTCTTCTCTTAGTTATCAAATAAGATGATGGATTGCCGTCTGCTATATGCAGATATAATACAAATTTATCATCGTCACCATTTCTCAGACATACGGTTCATCATATTCAGCTTACTTGAATCAAAGAATGGAATAAACATTACCTGCGCTATCCGACATGTCAAAATGTGACCCTCTTTGCTCCAGCCCTGGGTTCTGGGCAATAACATTAGAGCCAGACCCAAGAACAAAACAAACCCAAATGAAGACAACCTCCACAATTTGGCCATCCTAAGTCTTCCTTGCTCCCTAATACACTATTTTTTTTATCAGTTTCGACAACACATAACAAATGAATTGATACAACCCGAATGGGTTTGCTTTATACACAAATACACCGAGTAACAAGTAATCATTGAGTGTAAGTTTGCATTTCCATTGTTTCACGGACCCTAACAGGTTGACCCTCAAATACAAGCAAGGTGGGGCATATTCCGGTATATGGGAGGCATCAGCAAAATAACAGAAATACCATCCGCCATAAACGTGAAGTTCATAACCTTTTTCTTGCCTTGAAAGTGTTGACAATGCGTTAAATTATAAATAATTGAGCACAGAGTTTCGTGAATTTAATAGTTTAAGCTGCGAACAATACTGCAGTGGTCCCTACTTCATAATAATTTACAGATGCGTCTGGTCATCTATCTTCATGCTCGAGCAATTTTCACTTCAGAAGCAAATATTCGGTTGAGAACAGCAGCAAGACGAATCCCACCTTGGGCAAGCCTCTTCTCCACAATAGGCAACCGAGAGAGGAAATAATCATCTATGGAACAAAAGAAGAATCCATCAAACGAAGATGAAAAGAAGAATCTTTTAATCGAAGATGAGACATAAAATTTCAATTAACATAGCTGATCTGGTCTGGGAGAGGTAGTGATCATGTGGTATAGAACATGACCTCAACAGCATTTTAGCATGTCTTTATACCAACCATGGCAAGTTGCATAAAAGGCTGTATTGAGTTAGACATGTGCAGGAAAAAAATGTTTAAAGGCATGATCAAAGAGAAAAAGATCATAAATGGCATTGACTAGCAGGGAAATTATAATTGGCTATTGTTCCTAGCTTCCATTGGTTTTCTATATCGAAAGAAAAGAATGGGTATGCATTTTACCTGGCATTCTTTTAGATACATCTCACCAAGTGCATCAAAGCACGTGGGTGAAATTTTCTTTATGTGAATTGAGATCAGGATATGAAAATACCTACCTAGGACCTTTATAACATCTGAGTAGATAAGTAATGTATACTTCTTTCTCTTTAAATGTTTGTTTTTAGTTGCCTTATTTCAATCAGTAATAACAGAAGACAATTCCTAAAAAATGAAAAGCATCTAAAGATATTTTCTTTTCATGATATTTTTCCTTCTAGAAATAATTTTCCATTACCCTGTACAAACTCATTAAGATGATGATTGGTTTCAATTTTCAAAACCTGGCCCCGTCTTTACTTGTAACAATGTTTTAAAACCTACATTGATGCCTTTAATAAACCAAGACATACATATGCACCTAATACAGGAACCAAATCTGTTATAGAGCAAGGTAAAAAGGTCAGTAACCCAGTCATGTTTATGCCAGTTGATGGATTTAGTAGCAGCAATCTTGCACTCTCTCCAACAAGTTTTCAATTTGATCTATTTAACTCAACAACAGAGTAAAGAGATGCTCCATAAAGAGGTGTCTTCCAATTATCAAGAAGATAAAAAAAAAAAAGGAGGAAGAAGAAAATACCTTCTAAGGTGCTTCCAGGTGTGGCATTCCTGTATGCAAACGTACATGCCAACCTAACACTTTCAGAAGCATATCTGTATAGAGCCAATTTATTATGTCTAATGATGCCAGTTCCTTGTAACAGGAAATGTAATTATCTTTCACTTCTTAAAATAAGAAAGTTGAAATTAAACTAAATGTGTTTGTATGTTTGGAGCATGTATATCTACATATTTCCACTGAGGCTTCTTTAGCATCAAGGAACATGCCTAACCTAACTAACTAAAGAAACTATTTCTCTCTCAAGCATGCATGAATAAAACAGAAATATGAACTGGTGCACATTTAATATAAGTGAATGGATTAATTTGTTATTAGACATAGCAATTAAGCAAAGAATAGAAACATAACTGTTCTTTCAGCATTTAATGTGCTTTAACAATTTACATCACAGTTAATACAATTGAATCAGTCCAGTATATGTTTCAGAAGGAATTGAAAGAATAAGTTAAGAGATATACTTACAGGTTAGGACAAACAGTTTGATTATATTCACAATATTCCCATGATGATATATCATTGGACCAAGCATCCTATAGATGAATAAAGAAACATAAAACAACAGTAGGTATCACACCTTTACATATGCATTTGCATGGGTCGCTTTAAACATACATAGAACTCTAAACCCAGGTAGGAAAAAGGAAAGCCCAAAACAACAAAAAAGGGGCTGGAGAAATTCCTGGTTTCCTAAAGTCCAAATTAAACTCGAGTGCTTTGTTTGTATGCATCATGTCAATTGAGTCGGATGGGCTGAACAATTCAAGACACTCAGTGTGGAAACCCGCACCTAACCTAGGAATTATTGTTTGTTTTAACCCGAAGGTCTCACGTCCTAAAGTCCAAATTAAACTCGAGTGCTTTGTTTGTATGCATCATGTCAATTGAGTCGGATGGGCTGAACAATTCAAGACACTCAGTGTGGAAACCCGCACCTAACCTAGGAATTATTGTTTGTTTTAACCCGAAGGTCTCACGATTTTATTCCACACGAGATGCCTCATAATTATGGGAATACATTTCTGCATATATACCATAGCAAATCCTCACAATTTCCCAATGTGGGATCAGGGTGTCACACTCAAAGGACACAAACATAAAACCTTCTATTGTCTTTTTTCATACCATAGAAAATCCTCACAATTTCACAATGTAGGATTGGAGTGTCACACTTAAAGGACACAAACATAAAACCTTCTATTGTCTCCTCAGTTGCCTTCAATATTTTACACCTTTAAAAGTAAACAGAGTTTGTCTGTCAGAAGTAGCTAATGCATAAATGGACATGAAGGAAAACAAGAGGCTTACTGTAATATTCCTCTGGATGGTTTGAATCATTATTGCAAGATCTGAGCCATAGAATGTCTTCACTGCAGAATCAATTATCATGGTATCCCAAACCTGGAACAATGATAGTATTATAAAATTGCAGACAGACGGTTTTCATGCATGAGTTTATTAGCACCTTTCGACACAAATCTCTTCTTTGAGAACCTTGTTAAAAAAGAGAATCTCCATCCAAAAAATTCTGACAAACAAGTTAGGCCAAAAGAAGAGTTATCACTGGATCTAACATTGGTCAAGGAAGTCAGGAAAATGGTTTTAGTGACTGAAATACATATTTGCCTGAATTAACTCAGTCTCCTGCACTACATTTTCTTTTTCCTTTTTGTTTCTTTTTTTCTTTAATATATATTTCTCTCAATATTACAAAGCGGAAACTGATTGGGTTAATATTTACTTGTTAGTTAACAGCCTCCTTTTAGGTCCATTAACCAGCGATTACCGTTTATTCTTTGAAATGTAATCCCCCCCCCCTCCCCCACTCTCCTCATCAGAAAGGAGAGGAGACAATTGTTTTTTGAGCTTATACTATAGCTTATAGTGGTTACATAAAGACAATAACATATGTTTTTGTCTATATTTAATTTGCTTTAACATCATTTTCCTGCTTATCACAGGGAATAAGTAAACTAAGTGCTGGACAGGGATGAACTTAAAAGGACAATGAATTACTCACATGGTGTAGATTTGTCTTCCTATGGTACCAACGAACTGTAATTGTATTCCCACCTAGATCTCCTGTGAAGCCAACATGTAATGGCTGCGATCAGAAAAGAAAAGGTTAGGTTGGAATATACACTCTTTTCCTGCAAGAAATAAGCAATGAATTTTCTTCAATATTTCTGCATGAAAAGTGAGAGGCTTAATCACTTTAAAAAAGGATAAAAGAATATAAGCAATATACTTGGTGGCTATAGAATATGGATGAGAATTATTTATAAAATCATGGCTTCGCAGCCAACATTGGCATCAAAACATACAACATTACAGAGAACCAGAATTACAGAAAATATTCATTGTACCTTAAAATACTTTAGCATTTTAAAGCTATAATATGTCATTCTAAACCAATGGGCTAAGATTAAGCTGTTGCATTTAACAATGATTGTTTTCTACAAGCACCCTTCCTATGAACCATGTCACAAGACAAAAAAAACATTGTTTGAAAATTCTGCACCACACTACCACTCTTATATAGACAAATCATGGTAAATGAACTAGGTTTTCACCATCCTCTCTTCTATTTCTTTTCCTTTTTGAATTAGTTAATAAAGCAATAATAGATTCCAAGAACATATACCATTATCAATGTCATAAAACATATTCCTTAAGTCAAGTCAGTCATTCAGCCAATTCCCAGATAAATGCAACTGCATGCTTTGCACGATTGCATCTTTTGCAATTCCTTTAAGTTCAGAGGTACCAGAAGAAGAGCACAAACCTGATGGACATCCCCCACAAAATGAGCTAAGAACATAAGTGCCTCCGTCAAATTGTCTGTTACAAACATAAGAAGCCTCCATACGATAAACCGTTGAAGGTTGACAATATGTCATAGCTAGTATAACTGTCAATCCAGTACAAGCAGCACTTACATTTCAATTGGGGGTCATATCCCTGATATGCTGAAAAGTGTTGCTTTGTATAGTTGAAAATTGCTCCAGTTACACAACTATCTTTATGTCCAGCAGAATCATGGCAGTCCCCTATAAGAATGCCACAGCACATTATACAGGATAATTAATGTCTCTGGAAATGTCAAGCTCATTTATATCACTACAGAAAAGTTAACAGAAACAAATTCAAAATGATATTGACATTAGTAGAACTAGGGGTGTAAATGATATATCAGTACTTGCAAGCTACTAAAGTTAGACTCGAATAAACTCGAATTCGGTGCAGTTATTATCGAGTCGAGCTCGGGTAGTTTGACTTATCGATTGAGTCAAGTTCGAGTATTTTTATACCCGATTCGAGTAGCTCACGAGTCTAATCGAGGTTTTTATATTTTAATATATTTTAATTATTTTAATTAATAAAATATCTCGAACTCAAGATCGAGTTCAAGCACAAATAATTAAGTTTTTGCCGAATATAAGAATCGAACTTATTTTTACACGTTAATCGAGCCTAATCGAGCAAGCTCAGGTAGCTTGATTTCTATCTCGAGTCAAGCTCAAGCTAAAAAAATAAAATTCGATCGAGTTCGAGCCGAGTTTCGAATTTCAAATTTTGAATCAAGCTCAAGTTCGAGCTAATACAGTATTAAGCTCGAGCTTAATACTGTATTAGCTTGAACTCGATCGATTATACCCCTAAGCAAAACTGAAACATGAAAAGAGAACAACATCAAACTTACGGCAGTATTGATAGTTACACTTGAAATCTGGGGTATCAACATAGTGTAAGGGGCTAGTCCAGTGCCACTTGTAGTACCACTTTATATCATCAGCCCAGGAGCATACAGATGCAAGCTCACCTCCAGCCGAATCAGGGAGCAGTTCCTTAACGGTAACCAGAGCATCTTCAGTAAGATATGCCTGAACGATCAAGAAAGGCATAATCAGATGAAATGGCAGCATCTTCTGACTAACAGCCAACACATGCAAAACATCATGCCATTAAGAAATGAATTCTTTGTATCAAGTTGGTAATTAATTACAAAATAATTATAAAGAAAAGTAACAATAACTTAAAGACCTACACCAAAAATAAATAAAAAAAAAAAACCAACTCAAATCCCAGAACCTACAATTAATTAAGCTGGTTCAATGAACACTAAAGCTTATCGTTATCAATAACAAATAATAAACTGCTTTTTCCTTAATAAAGCTAAATGATCTTATTGTTCAAAACATTTGGACACTCCATAAATTACTCAAAAATCATAATGTTACAGATAATACACAGAAGAATAAATTAAAAAAAAAAAAAGGAAAAAGAAGTCTCACCTCGGCTATCTTGCAAACAGCATAATGACCATCCTTTCCCCAACCAACTACCCCATGAACCAATTGCATAAGAACAAGAATCCTTCCAATCCATAGTACCTCATGCCAACCCATTCTTCTAAAACCCGTTTGGTGAATTCTGTAATGTTTCAAAAGGCAACCATTTCAATTGTTTTTCAAATAAAAGGTTGTATTTTTCATGTTGAATCCTGCTTTTGGTTGATGTAAAGAAAGAGAACAGAACACAAAAATCCCATTTTGACCCAATTTATATTTCTTTATGGATTTCAAGAAAAGGAAAAGCCTTTTTTTTTTTTAATTTGGAAAAAATCAATCGGTATCACATTTTCTCTGGAACCAAGCAAAGAGAAAATCATTTATTTACTAATTTTTCCATAAAAAAAAATGAAAAACCAATACCGCAAAATATGTTGTCTTGGATCACCGGGAAAAAGAGAACCTATATTTTCGTAAACAAGGGGCTTAGGCTACATCATAGCTTCAATCGCCAGTGAAAGCCGTTTGGATTACCTACTTCAGTACGATTTAACAGGCCTTTAATGGCCACTAAAGCTTAAGGATCCAATGAAATATCATCCTCTCCATTTGCATCTCTTTTTTCCTTTTATACCCTTGTCATTTTTTTTTAATATATAGTGTAAAGATGAATATACCGCTTAACATTTAAGTGGCGATTGATCGAAAACATTCACAATTTTTTTTTTTTAGAATTTTGATGGTACATATTTAATTTTTATATTTGATTTACAGTAATTTAATTATGAAAAAAATTAAATTTTTAATAATATCTAAAGTCTCAAAATTAAAAATATATATCTTTTTTTGTGGTATTATAAAATTTCAAAAAAAAAATTATTTTATTTTTAAATTTAACATGAATAAAAAATAATGAAATTATCGTTAATTTTTTGAAAAATATAACTAGAAGTGATTAGAATTCAATTATGAGTTTTTGTACAAAAAATATTTTTTATATTGTAATTAAGGTTTTTGGCATAAAAAAACATTTTAAATAAATTTTTTATATTTCTATAAATAAATTATTTAAAATATTTTTATTCAAAAAATACTTTCAATAATCTATTTATATTTAAGGTATTTTTGTATAAAAAACACTTTAAATAATTATTTTAGATTTTAATAAAAATATTATTTAAGATGTTTTATACAAAAAGACTTAAGTAATTATTTTATTAAATAATCTTTTTATATTTTAGGATTTAGAGTTAATCCTTAAATAATCTTTTTACAAATTAAAGGATAATTTTTAAATGATCCAAAATATAAAAAATAAAAAGATTATTTAAAATATTTATGTACAAAAATGTTTTAAATAATCTTTTTATAAATAAATTAAAGGAATATTTTTAATTTTTTTCATGATATAAAAAAAGTGAAAAATGTATTAATTGATCTTTTCTTTAATAAATTTTCTTATCAATTTTTGTTACTAAAAAAAGTGTCAAATGCCTCAATTAATTAATTTTTAAATAAAAATAATAATCAAATAAAATATTTATTTTCTTTTGTTACTAAAGATATTATTTATCATTTATATATTTATTATTAATAAAATAACATAAAAAATTATCATCATATATATTAAAAAAATTATGATAATTATATATGAATTAATATACTTAAGATTCTTTCGACTAAATGAATAAATATGAATACGAAATATCTTAAAAATAAATTTTTTTTTTGAATATTACACTTTTTTTAAGATTATATTTTTCTTAAAATATAAAATTTTAAAAATTAAATGCCTCTTATTGTCTCTTTATGCCTACATCATCATTTTTTTTTTTTTTTACCTTCCTACGGGGATGAGATTGGCCCTTGTCTCTTTTTTTGTTATTTATATTTTCATTTTTTATTTAAAGTTTTTCATATAATATTATTACAATTATATAATAAATCATTTATATATTTTAATAAATTTTTTTAAATTTTAAATGTTAAATAACATTAAAATCTATAAAAATAATTTATTATTTTATTTTTAAATTAATATCTTTAATAATTTTTTTTCTAGCAACAATTTATCTCGACATCATATTATATTTATATTTAAACATATATTTCATCATTATTTTTAATTTTATTATTATAATAATCAATTTTACTACAATATTAATTAAATTTATTTTTATTATTATTTTTAATCTCATTAAAATTAATTTTATTATCTATCTAAATAAACCTTTGGACTACATTTGGATCACCAATTGATCTCAATGCGACACGATTCATAACTTCAACGTTAGCGGAAGTTATTTTGGATCACCTACTTCAGCCTGATTCAACCTTTTTTATATCGCACTGAAGCCTTCAATCACTGGAGCTTAAGGATCTGTTAAAAAATCAACGTCTCCACTAAATCCCTTTTGTCCTGTTATGCCCTTCAGCCCTTCCCGTCTTTTTTTTTTTTTTCCTATTTTGTTCTCTGATGTGTAGTGTAAAGATGAATATATCACTTAAACATTATTGTTTCTTCGTCAAGGTTGTTAATATCATATTAAATAATATTTTATTTTTATTAAATATGATATATATATCGATATGAGTGGTTTTCGATAAATTATTTCAGATTTTTTGGTTTAATATAAATATATTTATAAATATATATTAATTTCTATATTATAATACTATTAATAATCTATAAAATAAATATGTAATAACTTCAAAAATCAAATAAATAAGTTTAAAAGTATAAACATAATGTTATAAAATTTTCATGATATTTTTAAATATTTATCTGATCATATAATATTTAAATAAATATTTTTTATACAAAATTAAATTAAAAACAAAGAGATAAAATAATTAACATTAGTTTTACGACTGTTAAACTTTTAAAAAGAAGTACAATTATTTTATTGAAAAAAATTAAAATACTTATAAATTTTAATTTGAAAAAATAAAATATAAAAAAAAAGTTATAATAAAAAATAGAGAAATTCAACTTTTAAGAGCTATTTTGTCAATTAATTTTATTTTTATTATGTTAGAAATAGTCAAATAATAAAATTTATATGTATTTTTTGTTATTTATATTTTTCATTTTTTATTTAAAGTTTTTCATATAACATTATTATAATTATATAATAAATCATTTATATATTTCAATAAAAATTTAAACTTTTAAATGTTTAATAACATTAAAATATATATAAATAATTTATTATTTAATTTTTAAATTAATATCTTTAACGATCATTTTTTTTTTAATAATAATTCATCTCACTGTAATCGTTGTATTTATATTTAAATACATATCTCATAATTATTTTTAATCATACTATTACAATAACCAATTTTACTCCTATATTAATTAATTTTACTTCAATTACTATTTTTAATCTTATCAAAACTAATTTTACTGTCCATTCTAATAAATCCTTCGTCCTGTTTTAAGTTTTAACATCCACACCGTCCAGTTTTACATGAAAAGCAAGCATGCTTTTCTTCTTTCCTTCTTCATTTTTTCTTTTTATATAATATATATACTTTTTTCCCTTGTTTGTATGGATTAAAACTTCAAAAAAAAAAAAGCTAATCATTTAAGTTTATGATATTTTATTATAATTGATCAAACCCGTAATTTTATATTTCAATTCAATTAAATAACTAATTTGAATAAATATAAAATTAAATCAATTATTAATCCTTAAATGACAATCAATTAAATCTTTAGAAAAATTTTAAAAAGATAGAAAGAAAAAATGAAGAAGAAAAAATATTTAATTTAATTTTCATATAAATTAATTGCTTTACATAAAAAAACTTTCATTTATTTTATTAATGGCATATGAAATTTTATCCAATTTAACACAAAAATTTAATGGTGTTATGTTTTTTTTTATCCAAATAAAGATTTAATTAAATGCAAATAAATATTAGAGAAATTAATTAATTTTAATAAAAAAATAAGAATTTAGATATTGTTTAATTATAATTTAATAACGTTTTATATTTTTTAGCATAAAAATTACAGTACTGATTTTAGCATAAAAATCGCACCTTTTTTTTTTTTTTTCAGTTATACCATTTGTGATTTTTTAAAATTTTTCTTAAAATTATGTTTCATTTTTTTTATTTTAATTTTTCAATTAAAAATATTGAAACAATTTTTATTGATTTAATATAATAAATAAATTTTGTTATTTAATAAATAAATAAATAATTTTAAAATACAATTTTTAATAAAAATAATTTATCAATATACTTGTAAAAAAAAAACCATTAATCATTTTACATTCCAAACTCATCACACCGTTACTTGCCGTAAGAAATTTGACACCTCTTTTGTCAAAACAAACTTGGACCTTTTTTGTCTGCTGAAAAAACGATGAACCTTTACCTACTAACATAAAGCTCTTATTTTTCTTTCACAATTTTTCCTGTGACCCATTTCCTGCTGTCAATCAAACTATAGACTGTATAGCCAAAACAAACAAAGAAATGAAGGCAATAGTGATAACAACACCAGGAGGACCAGAGGTGTTGCAATTGCAACAAGTAGATGACCCAGAAATCAAAGATGATGAGGTCCTCATCAAGGTAGAAGCCACCGCTTTAAACCGGGCTGATACTCTCCAAAGGAAAGGTTCTTACCCTCATCCAAAGGGGGCTAGTCCTTACCTTGGTCTTGAATGTTCTGGTACTGTTCAAGCCGTTGGCAAGAATGTTTCTTGCTGGAAAATTGGTGATCCGGTAATTGATAATTTCACTTTTTGCAAGTATAATTCATATGGGTTTTATTAAAAAGTGTGATTTTTTTATGAATGATCCACTGTTTTTCATGAACTGAGGTTTAAAGATAAGATTTTTAGAGGGTTTTAGCCTTTTAGGGCATTGGGGTATTGCTAATACTACATACATACATACATGCATACATATATATATATATATATATATATGAATGATCCACTGTTTTTCATGAGCTGAGGTTTAAAGATAAGATTTTTAGAGGGTTTTAGGCTTTTAGGGCATTGGGGTATTGCTAATGCTACATATATATATATATATGTATATATATGTTTGTATATATGGGGCTGCAACTTCAATGAGTAGCTTGTTGACAAACTGTATATGTGTAGGTATGTGCTCTTCTTGGTGGAGGTGGATATGCTGAGAAAGTGGCTGTTCCAGCCGGACATGTTCTTCCAATCCCACCTGGGGTTTCCCTCAAAGATGCTGCTGGTTTACCTGAAGTGGCTTGTACTGTTTGGTCCACTGTTTTTATGATGAGTCGCTTATCTGCTGGGGAGACATTCCTGGTAATCCATATCCACTACGTTTTTCTTTGTATTATTGAATATGGCCTCTTAGTTCGATGCTGCTTAATCTTTGGGTTGGTTGCTACAATAACTCAATTTAACAAAATGATAATTGATAAGCTTTAGTGTGAGGGTTCTTGATTATCGTAAGATCTTGTAGATAAAGCAGTATGTGCTAATTTTCTCCTCCAATATATACTTAGTTGTTGTCTGATCTTTTAATATGAGGCTTTCATGAGTTCTATCCTAGTACATTTTAGCTGCCAGGTCTATGATCAAGTACTTGAATTTTTTATTAAATGTCCATATTATTATTGGGATTATGTCTCCATGTCACTGAAGACAGTAAATGGTATGGTCTGTCCACTGTCTAATCTATTATCTTTCAACTTATTATAGGAGTTATTTGTCTTGATGCTTATCAGCAGAGAGAATCACTGAAAAGCATACAAATTAACTTATTCAGGTTTCACTGGAGGAATTTACTGTTCATGTTAATGAATGTTTCTGATGCCTGACAGTGACTTATTCTATATCTTTGTTTGTCTCTTTTAGTATTAGTCAGCTTTGTAACATCTGATCCATTGCTTGAGATATGACCTGATTGCTATTAAAATTTCAGGTCCATGGTGGTTCTAGTGGCATTGGCACTTTTGCAATTCAGATAGCCAAGACCAAAGGAGCAACAGTATTTGTTACAGCAGGTCTACCTACAATACTGACTGCATTGAAAATTTTGTGTTTTCATCTGTTAGTATATTTAGATGCAATAGTGTTGGTCTCCAGGTAGTGAAGAAAAATTAGCTTTCTGCAAGAAACTTGGAGCTGATGTGTGCATCAATTACAAGACAGAGGACTTTGTTGCACGTGTTAAGGAAGAAACTGGAGGGAAGGGTATGTTCTCTAGTTTCTGTAATTGCATCTTTGGTCTGCATTCGACACTGGAATTTTTGCTCTTGTATTGAGTCTCCACTTTGCCTCAGAGTTCACAGAGCCAATTTAAATTCTTAAATGTGTAATGGCAGGTGTTGATGTAATTCTGGATTGTATTGGAGCAGCCTACCTTCAGCGAAACCTGGACAGCTTAAATTTTGATGGAAGGCTTTGTCTTATTGGCTTCCAGAGTGGAGCTGTCACGGAAATTAAACTCAATACTTTACTTCCAAAGCGCCTCACAGTGCAAGGTACTAGGGAACATAAAGAACATGAAATAGAGACACCACATTTTTTAGAAATATTCACAAGCCACATGCATCTCCACAGATGAACCCAGCTTTCCCTGTGCTTCCGTTTTCTCTAAATAGAAAATTATACTGCTTCTAATGTTTCACATATCTTGCATCTGCTGCTAAAATGGTTACAACTGTAGTGGGATATTCGAAGGATGTCCTTTTTAGATCATAAATTATTATAGATTTATGTAATTTGATATTTTTGTATTCAGGGGCTGCCTTGCGACCAAGAAATCCAGAAAACAAAGCAATGGTTGTCAATGAAGTGGAGAAGAATGTTTGGCCTGCAGTTGCGGCAGGCAAGGTGAAGCCTATCATCTACAAATCTTTTCCCTTGTCTGAGGCTGGGGAGGCTCATCAGCTCATGGAAAGTAGTGAGCATATTGGAAAGATACTACTTGTTCCATGATGCTGGTATCTTGTCTTCTAGGGAGAAAATGTTGTGTAATTTGGTGATAAAATAAGCCACTTGCGAATCATGCATGCGTAGTTTATTTCCTGATGTCCTTGTGGCCTAATTTAATCTTTACCAAAATGAAAATCATGCAAAACTGATATGTTGTAAAATATTTTTTATACTTTCCAGTGGCACGTATTTCAGGAAGATAAGTTGCAGTGTTACAATTGCATTTAGTTGAGCTTAACATTTGTAAATTTGGAAAAAATATCTAGAGAGTAATGCACGACTATCCAATTTTTTGACATATTGTAGGAAAAATCTATAGTTGAAATTCAAAGAATGCCCTTAGGATTAGGCATTGGATATTTTGTTTGAAAGGCGTATATAACAGAATCAAGCAATCAAGCAAGTTAATGAAACGAGACCAGACTGAGGTTAAAAGAATATAGCATAAGATACTTTTGAAGTACAAATTCAGGGTACAAAGTCTCATCATTTTATTCTGGCAGTGTAGAATACAAAAAGGGGTTTGGAGAAGCATGCTTTGGGGAGGATAATAATTAGCCAGTTCCAAACAAAAACAGAGTTGCAATCCAACGAGTCATTCTCTATTATCAAACCGAGGATAATTCACAACACAAAAAGCTCAAAGAGCGACTAATCGTTTTATTGAAAATGACTTGCAATTTTGTTTATCAATGGCGTCATCTGGTATATGTTTGATTGAATCAGTTGTTAATTGTATCTTTTATTGGATTACCTAGCAAAATTTGTACAAATGTAAACAAATCTAATACTAATTTATTATGTCCGAGCAGCTATTCGTTTGAAATAACATGTTACATGCGTCATGCTCGACAAATATAAGAACACAAACCATATAAAATTTAGACTTCCAAAGTCCGCCACCAATAAGCTACAACATTCAAGCAAGCGGTTGCTGTCAGAAAGACTCTAAATCCAGCAATGAAGGCTGTAGTGATAACAAGTCCAGGTGATCCAGAAGTGTTGCAGCTACAAGAAGCAAAAGACCCCAAAATCAAGGATGATGAAGTCCTTATCAAAGTTGAGGCTGCAGCCCTGAACCGTGGTGACATCTAACAAAGACAAGGCTTTTACCCTCCACCTGAAGGAGCTAGCCCTTACCCAGGTCTTGAATTCTCAGGCATCATTGAATCTGTTGGAAAAAATGTTTCTCGATGGAAAGTAGGAGATAAGGTGAATTTATCTTTGAGCATAGGTGTATCTATGCACGTATGAAAATACGTTTGTGTATGCACATACATACAGGTGTCCTTGCATACAAAAGTCAATTAACTTACCATGAGACTCTCGTTTAATGGTTGTCTTAATTTTCTGTTTCTGCTAAGGTGTGCTCTCTTCTAAGCGGAGGAGGGTATGCCGAGAAAGTGGCTGTTCCAGCAGGGCAAATTCTTCCTGTTCCATCAGGTGTTACAATGCCTGATGCTACCGCATTCCCAGAGGTAGCTTGCACAGTCTGGTCAACTGTTTTTATGATGAGTAGGCCATGTGCTGATGAAACTCTGCTGGTAACATATTATCACTGATCACTCTTTTTCCCTGATGCATGATAATCAATGCTCATAATGTTAAGAAATGAACTGATGTAGATCCATGGGGACTCTAGTGGAATTGGTTCATTTGCCATTCAGGTTGCGAAGTTCAAAGGAGCAAAAGTTTTTGTTACAGCAGGTTTATATGCACTTATGATCTTATATCTAATAATGTTATAAAGTTTTTGTTTTCATGCATTTAGCAATCATTTGTACATCTTGGTTACCAGGGAATGAGCAAAAATGAGCCTTTTGCAAGGATCTTGGAGCCGATGTCTGCATCAATTACAAGACAGAGGACTTTGTAGCACAGGTAAAGGAAGAATCCGGAGGCAAAGGTAGAAATTGTATCAAGATCCAAAAGTCCTTCAACATTAAAAAGACCAATATGTTAGAACTAAACATTTCCCTTTCATTTATGGCAGGCGTTGATGTTATTCTGGATTGTGTTGGAGCAGCCTACCTTCAACAAAACCTTAACAGCTTAAATGTTGATGGCAGGCTTTTTATCATTGGCGCCTTGAGAGGATTTGTCACACAAGTAAATATAGGAGCCATGTTGGCAAAACGGCTTTCAATCCAAGGTATTATAATGTTCACAAAAACCACCAGACCAGACCGTTTGCTATGTTGTATGACAATGAAGCTGGAAAGATTAAATTTTGTAAGAGTGTAATGTATAGAAAAACTTTTTAATCGATAGAATATCTTTCATTGCTTTGATATGCAGCGGCTGCCTAACGAACAAGAATCATAGAAGAAAAGGCAACAATTGTCAGTGACGTGGAGAAAAATGTTTGGCCTGCAATTATCTCAGGTAAACTGAAGCCAGTAGTTGTCAAACGCTTACCACTACGAGAAGCAGCAGAAGCTCACCGGCTTATGGAAAGTGGCAAGAACATTGGGAAAAAACTGCTCATTCCATAATTTACCGAGGAATATCGTCTTGCAGCGTACGAGAATGCTGGCTAATTTCTGTCTGCTTTGTTAGTTAGTGTGAGAGCACTTTAACTTCTCTATCGATTTTTCTTTCTTTCCTTTTTTTTCTGTTTGTAAAAGTTGAAGCATAAGTTGGTCACTTTTAAAATGAAGTAAATAAAAGAAATAAAAGAAAAAAAAATCTAACTTCTAATTTTTATGTGTTATTACCTTTTTTTTTTTCACTCAAGTCCATAGGCTGAGTCATGAAGAATTCGAGATTAAGTGCATAGATGCCTGTCAAAATCGGTTTCGAACGCGTCACAGTATTGTGCTAAAAAATTAGAGAAAAAAAAAGTCATCCTCTAATGTGTTCCTTTGCATGAGCTAATCTTTTTAAAAGAAGAAGCGGAAAAGGAAGAAATCCCGAATGGCAAGGCTTTTCAGCACACCAGGGCAAGGGTCACCAAGGTTAGCTGTGGAAACGGGTTTTGAGCACTGCTCCCGACCAATGAAAGCCTAAAAATTCAAACAACGCTGCCAAAGAGACTTGTTCTAGAACGGACAGATTTTCTTTGCACAGCTACAAAGGTTCAACTAAGAAATTTTCTTACCTTCCGAACGATGGACAAGTATGTTTGCGTGACATATCCCTGCCCTGAATGCACCACAATTTCCTTGTGTAGATCCAAAACTGTCAAAGTTAATTAAACTAATGTGCCATCCTTGTTCACAGGTCAGTCGAGCTTCAGGACTTTAAGGCATGAAGCCTAAGTGGGTCTCCAAGAATCAGCAGGCCGCGGATCTTCCTCAGATACAAATGAACAAATCTCTTGGTCAGTTCGTGTCAGCATTGAAATCTTTGTATGTTCACCACCTAGCTCTTCATGAAGGACTAATAGGTTCTCGCCAGGATGTGATATGATACCTGGACAACATGATTAATTCTAATCAGGAATGGCAATCACATATTGGGATCAGTAACACGAGTGACAGAGCTAAAGTATTCCATCAGTCAGAACACTATTTACTAATGGTTTACGTGTAGAACATGAAAAGCAAAAGGTTTTTACACAATGATACATTAGCAGAATAATGACTGATTAAAATTTATCATGCAATGATTTTTAATGGAACAAATCTACTATGTTAACCCTTTAATAGGTTAGAACGGCAAATTGCTTAACTCAGCTTGGTTTTTTAAATCGATTTAGCCCCACTTGTCCATTCTAGACTATAGCATCTATTCCTCAAACAATAATATGCAAAATGGACCTCAATAGTATCATGAGGTTGACATATAACCTACATGAATAGCTAGATTCAAGAATACATCAAATCCAGAAATTTACATAGGATCAAAATCAGATGTTTCATAAAACTTACAATGTCTGAACAGGTTGGCCACAATTCTTTTCACATTTTGTCGAATCTTATTCTCCTCTGTAATCACAATTCTTGGTACAGCCTTCAGATGGTGAGAGATAGACAGGCCAGTATTGTCCTATGCTTTGTCCGTTAACCCAAGCTTGACTTTTTCCCATGCTAATGAGATTTAAGGCTAAACGCTAAAGGACCCTTGCATTCAGGAGCAAGGAAAGTAACATGAGGTCAAGAAAGAGAATGTCAGACAACAAATGCTCCAACCACCAGTTAACAATCAACCTTGAGTGAGTAAAAGACTTTCTTAAGGGCATTAGGGGATGGTAATTCAAGGTTTGCTCATTGTCGACAATGCTTAAATGAAATGGAACAAAGAGTTTATCACGTGATGAAAGGCATGAACACTGAAGAAAAAAAGAACTTATCTAACGGGTGGAATAGTGCCTTTTTCCACATGGAACTATTTGCAAGACTTTCTTTATCTAGTCCAAGGTATTCTCCCTCAACTCCAACCTGATAATTGTGATTAATAGCATTATAATCCAGGGTAGAAATTACATTAGCAGTGAACATAAATAATTGCTTTCCCCATTGGGTGCTTTTGACAGTTACACTTGATCTAACAGGTTGCATAGACCTTATCCAGTCTCCCTCGACCGTCGATAGACAAACTATCACTAAACCAAACGTATGGAAACTACAAGATAGTGACACTTGGATAGGATCCTGACCGCCCATTTTGACATACCCTAAGTCTAACGTGTAGTTTGTGTAGATAATGACACTTGGACACAATCCTATCCGTGCTGATATATACGTAGACTTAGTCTAAGTCTACAATGCTGACTTACGTTGATTTGACATTAACGTTCAAGCGATGATCACTAGCGGAAATCTCGTCTCAATCGCTTCGCACGTATTGATTAAGTTGGATTAAGAGTGTAATAATAAACATAATTAAATTACTTGTTTAATTTTTTTGTTGATGTAATAAATATACAAATATAATATATTGTTGATATAATAAATATATAAAAATAAATATTTGTTTAATTTTATTTAAATAATATAAATTATTTGAAATTAATTTGAATAAAATATGTAAAATAAATATTAAATAAATTAAATTAAGAAAAAATTACAGGCCACAAAATAAAAAAAAAATGGGTTTGCAAATTAATTGTGTAAAATTGATAAATTTTTAAAATAAAATCGGATTGAAAGAATCTTTAGAAATAGAAAATTTAAGGCTTTTAGTCTATTAGCTTTAATTCCGTTAAAAAATACATGAAAATCTAAATCTAAAATATTATTTAAGTTCATCAGGTTTTAAT